AAAAAATTAACCACAAAAATCAACCCTAAATTCTATCTGAGTGATAAATCACAAAAATCGAATTGTGCACCAGCACCGCTAAAGGCAATGAAAATTTGTGCTTTCATTTGATAAAATCGATTCAAGGGTTTGACGATTCACCCACTTCATGTGGGTTTTACAAATCTAGAGAGAGCGGGAGAGAGGTAATAGTCTTCAAATCTAGGGTTTGTTGGTGGGGAGGGGGCAGGGCCTAAGAGAGAGAAAAAAAAAAGGTTGGGAGTGGTGTGTTGGGAATGATGGTGGCGATGACAGTTGGGCTGAGAAGACTAGGTGTGGTGGCATGTTACAAGAAAAAGGCAGGGGCTCTAGGGGATGTGTGTGTGTGTGTGTGAGAGAGAGAGAGAGGAGAGGAGAGGAGAGGAGAGGAGAAGTGGTAGTGGTGGTCATCAGGTGGGGTAAGGGATGAGTGAGATGTAAGAGGAGAGAGGAATTTTTTGTTGACTCTTTAATTTAATTTTTTGGTAATATATGTATTTATTTTAAATTAGATTTTAGGGTTAAAAAAATCATTTTATCACTTCTGTTAACGCCGGTCATCTATTTACACTAATAAGGGGCTGACGTGTCATTTTAGAAATGTCAAAGTTGTGTGAGTATAATTTACCCTCACTGCCAACAAATTTTGGCATTTTCATATTGCCTTAATTGGTTTATCTTGGATGTCTTCAACTTGTTAAACAAACTTTGTTATTCGAAATGCAATAATTTTTGGTCCTCAAGGTAATTCTGTTGTATTATTCGCATTTTTAGGACATGCAAGTAATACTAAGATGTTGCTATATATAGTTGAATACATACTCATCTGATTTTGTACTGCAATGTGTCATATCATCTTTTACCAGCATGCAATTTTATGGCACCTACTGACTCAAAATACAAAAAACAAAGAGTTTGGCGGATACCTTAGGAGTGTGCTTGAAAGTGAGTTTTGCTGCAATAGCTGTTATTTAAGCAAAAAAAAAAAATGATATTAGCGTCAACCTTCAGAGTAATATCTGTTACTAGAAAACAAAACAATTTAAAGTTGATCAACAACCAAACGTACCAGATATGTTGGTAGGTTCTTGGGGCATATAAGTGATGGTTGAGGTACCACCATATACAATTTGATAATTAAATCAAGTGAAGGGGTGCAAAATGATGAATCAAGTGTGAAACCCCTTGGACAGAATTTTGTAGTATAAACTCCACATTTTGTTGACCTAATGAAAGAGGAAGATTCTCCTTAATAGGCCAGTTGTCAGCAGTATTGTGTGATTTTATCTGAAAATGTTTGCTGAATGTATATAATCACTTCTGGTCTGGGCATAGTAAGAACACATACATTCACGCAATCTGCATGGTGAGCTTAAAGTAATCATATTGAAAGTAATAAAAATTACCGGATCAAAAAGTAGAGTGTCGTTGAACTTTGAAATTTTTGTGAGGATTCTGTCAAACTGAGCCACCTCAAAGGCAAGCATTGCTTTCTAGAAATAAATCGCTTCTAACTATACCCACAAATAAATGAATAAAGAAACTGGATATGCATAAGGCAAGTTACCGGACAGAAGCATAAGTAATATTAGAACTTATAACAGAACTAGTGCAACATTATCCTTTCAGCCCATCACAAAATAGAAAATTGGTTAGTTATATGATAGACTAACAAATCCATCAGTACATTAGCTGAATGCCAACATAAAGACAGAAAATTTTATAGTGTCCAACCCAAGAACAATTTTTGAAATATATATCAATAGTATTAAGGGGAAAATAGGGAAACAATTTGAGGACGTCTTAAATTTGACTATTGTTGTTGTCTATTGAGTGTACCTGATAAGTATGGTCATCAGTTGGTCACAGTTATCCAGAATTTATTTTGAAATGGTTAATTCATAAAGAAATCTCTCGTTACCAGAAACACAAATTCCTGGTAATGAGCATGATGCTCTTAGATGAGGACTTCTGGTATGACCATCAACCCGTTTCATGTATAGGCTCTTTTGCTAATCATCATGGTCAATAAACAAAAAAAGAAGAGAATTGTTTCATTTTGTGGATGCTTAATGTATACCCCATTGTAAAAGTGTTCACCGCCATATAACTACTGCCTCACTGCCTACAAATTTTAGCATTTCATGCAACCTTAATCGGTTTATCTTGGATATCTTCAACTTGTTAAACTAGCTTTATTATTCAAAATGCAATCATTTTTTGTCCTCAAGGTAAATCTGTTGCATTCTTCGCATTTTTAAGACACTTCGGAAAAAAGACAAGCTTAAGGGAGGGCATCTCTTTTTAAATGAATTGACAAACACAACCAATACTTTCTTCAGCCTCATTTAGAAAAGGGCCTTCTATAATTGACATCAAACCCTAAAAAAGCCCTGATAATATATACAAGGAATACTAAAAAGTTGTTTTATTAGTTGAATGAATACTGATCTGATATTGTACTGCAATGGGCCATATCATCTTTTACCAGCATACAATTTTAAGGCACCTACTGACTCAATACAAAAAAAAAGAAGAGTTTAGGGGATACCTTAGGAATGTGCTTGAAAGTGAGTTTTGCCGCAATAGCTGTTATCTAAGCAACCATAAAAATGATATTAGAGTCAAACTTATGTGACATAGTAACATCGGGTCCTGGAAAACAAAACAATTTAAAGTTGATCAACAACCAAACGTACCAGATATGTTGGTACTTGGTAGGTTCTCACGGCATATAAGCGATGACTGATGCACCACCAGATATAGTTTGATACTTACATCAAGTGAAGGGGTAGCAAAATGATGAATCAAGTGTGAAACCCCTTAAACTAGAATTTTGTAGTATAAACTCCACGCTTTGTTGATGTAACAAAAGAGGAAAATTCTCCTTAGGCCTGTTGTGAGCAGCAGTGTGTGGTTTATATGAAAATGTTGGCCGAATGTATAATCATTTCTAGGCATAGTAAGAACACATACATTCAGGAAATCGGCATGGTAAGCTTGGAGTAATCATATTGAAAGTAAAAAAAATTACCAAATCAAAAAGTAGAGCATTGTTGAACTTCGAAATTTTTGTGAGGATCCTGTCAAACTGAGCCACCTCAAAGACTTCTAATTATACCCACAAATAAATGAATGAAGAAACTGGATAAGCTGAAGGCAAGTTATCGGACAGAAGCATATGTAATATTAGAACTCATAACAGAACCAGGGCAACATTATCCTTTCAGCCCATCACAAAATTGAAAATTAGTAAGCTATGTGATAGACTAACAAATCCATCAGTATATAAGATGTTCAAATGGTGGTACTTGAATGCCAACATAAAGTCAGATAGTTTTCAGCAAACAGAAAGAGCAAATTGTACAATAGTATCTTGCCCACAATGATCAGTCTAAACTCATCATTGTGTAACTAGACGATCAAGAAGAAATTAGAGGGAATCTGCCATTGCTTTTATCTCATTTTTGGAATGTCTCAGTTTTTTGTGCATGAGTTTTCCACTTAGAAGGGATAAAAAACTAAACTCAGTGGGAGGAGGGGTGTCTTAGACAGCCAAGTCAATTCTTGGTCACTTTGCACATGGTATGCACCGAGGGGCGGAGCCAAACATCTTCTCGATGGGGGCAACCTAAACCAAATAAATATTAAAATTGTTAATGTTCACAAAAGAATAGTTTTATTAATAAAACGTCAATTAAAGTCGCAACCTATTTACAAGAATGCTATACAAAAAGAGCCAACAAAAAAAACTCACGATAAATTTATCTATAAGAAAAAAAAATTTTGAACCAACAAATTGGGCTCAATCATATGTAGTTGAATTTTAACAAACAATCAAAATTAACGTAAACTATGATTATTCTATTAAATTAAACCTGGGTATAGGAATTACTTAACCAATCATAATAAATTTATTCAAATTACCAAATCAAAACAATTTAATCTAACACATAATAGAGGACTACAAGTCTCAATTCCAATTCAACATATAAAAATAAAACACAAGAGAGGACTATAATCTCAAATATCAGTTAAATATATAAAAAAATAAACCATAGAAGAGGACTACAAGCCCCAATTTCATATTTTCACTTCAACGCGTAACAAATAAAATACAATAAAGGGCTACAAGCCCCAATTCCAATTCAACATGTAAAAAATAAACCACAAGAGAAGACTACAAACATTAAATTTCAATTGTAACAAATGAACATAAAACAAAGAAGAGGATTAGAGGACTACAAGCCCTAAATTTAATTTAACGTATAAACATAAAAAAGAAAAGAGGACTAACCTATTTTACATCATATTAGTTAATCTTTAAATTCTCAAATTGTCGATATCATCTTCCATTGATGCTGATACGAGTCGTGCTAGTGCAGAGGATACCCCCAATACATTGCTACACAAATTATCAAATCATCAAAATTTTGTTCAAGTTCAGAATATTAAATGTTTAGTTTATGTTATTATGGAAAAAAAAAGTTCAATGGGGAGGGAAAAAATTAACTCTAATTATTGCCCAACAATTAGAAATTTACAAAATAATCAAAATTGAAGAAATCGTAATGGATGGGTTACCTCTCGATAGTCTAGGTACGGTCAGCTCCCATTGTCTTCGAAAATATCCTCTCAAATGGTGAAGGACTTGAGCTGCTTCTAGACTTGCCACTGGAAAGAAGAACTTGAAAAATGAGGAGGAGAAAGATAGAGAACGAAGAGGGATGGAGAAAATTGAGAACGAACTACCAGTTGAATCATCTTCGTGTTGGAAGCTTGGAGCTTTCGAAGCTGAAGTGGTGAACGACGGAACAAATGGGTGGAAAGAGACATTTAGCCTTTTAAAGGAATTTTTTTGACCCATATATTTGTCAAAATATCATAACCACCTATAAATCTAGTCAAAAATTTCAGTGGGGGCAAATCTCTAATAAATTCTAAAATTTTTGAAATTATATTTACTCTCCAAATTTTTTTAAAATTCCACTGTAGATCCGCCACTGGATGCACCCAACTATAAACAGCTTGGCATATTGCGAAAGAAGGTGGGATTCGTTGTCTTGTCAAGAGTTGTTATTTCTCTCTTTTGCAAAATCCTTGTGGTCAATAAACAAACCAAAAGAGAATTGTTTTCCTTATGTGGATGCTTAATGTATTTCCTATTGCAAATATGTTCACCATCACATAACTACTGCCACGCTACCTATTGCATTCTAGCATTTCATGCTGCCTGAATCAGTTTATCGTGTATATCTCTCCAACTTCTTAAATTTCCTTTACTATTCGAAATGCAATGATTTGCAGGTCTCCTCAAGGCAAGTCTGTTGCATTCTTTGCATGTTTAGGACACTTTGGAAAAAGAGCAAAGTTTTAAGGGAAAACATCTCTTTACAGCCAAATTGACAAACACAGCCAATACTTTGATCAGCCTCTCATAATCGACATCAAACCCAAAATAAGGTTTCATGATATTCAAGGATCACGAAGATAGTGCTTTATTACTTGAATGTATACTGATCTGAATTTCATACTGAAATGTGTCGTATTGTCCTTAACAAGCATGCAATTATAAGGCGGGTGGCACCTCACCTACAGAAAACAAAGAGTTTAACAGATACCTTCTGAATGTCCTTGAAAGTGGGTTTTGCAGCGACGGCTGTTATTTAAGAAACAATAAAAATGATCTTAGAGTCAACCTTAACATGTGAAACAGAATAAGATCTGGTCCTGGAAAAGATAGAAAATTTTAAATTGGTCAACAACAGCAAACGTACCAGACCTGTTGGAAGGTTCTCCGGGTATATAAGCACTGGCTGAAATGTAAACCAGGGGGACGTTTATCACAAGAAAAATGGAACAGTTAGGGTGAATGAACCTCAGCAACCAACTCCAATGGCTGATGTACCACCGGAGATAATTTGATACTTACAGTCAGTGAAAGGGTCACGAAATGATGAACCCTAGTGTGGTCAACTCTATCTTTCTTAGTCCATTGCCTAAATATGTCAGTTTATGAGCATCTATGCTTTCTATTTTCCCTTCCTTCCAATCTTTCATTCTTCATAAAAAACAGAGCATTAATTCTAGTGTGATCATTTTCCCCCTACAGTTAAAGGACAAAATGCAGACCATGCATAGGTTTGCATGTGTCTTCAGAAAATCTGACTGGTGAAGAAATGATGTGTTCTAGCAAAACTTTACATGTTCATGAAAAGGATATAAACTATATAGTTTAAATGAGAGAGCAACCAGCATCGGCATATCAGTAAAAGAATAAAATAAAAGGATATACCACTAAATCATAACAAGATCAAAGAAAATGAAAATACCTGAGCAGTTGTAGGGCAATTTACAAATAGGTTCACCATCTCCAATATCGACATCAAATACTGGGAGAAAACATATCCAAGATTAACATTAAAAAGGGAAAGAAAAACACATGGACAAAAAGCAAAATCGGATTAGGAAAAGGTAACCATAATCATATTGAATTCAATTAAGAATAAGACATTTCATGATATCATCAAGTCCATCAACAACTTCACCTATCTATGTCAAAAGAATTATTACTAGAAAGGTTAAAGATTATAAAAGGGACAAGAAGCTGATGCTAGTGAAGATATAAGAATTTCAAAAACATACAAGTGACTATGCTCCATCAAACACTAAATAATCTATAATGTGTGTGTGTGTATTTGGCGTATTAGAGTGTGTTATTTTTGGCATATTACTATGTGTATGTGTTTTTTGGTGTATTTATGTCTTCCAACATTTGTGTTTTTTTTTTTTTTGTGTATTAGTATGTATCTTCCAACATAACTTGAAAGATATCCAAGCCATTACAAAGAAGAACCATTTATAGGGTATCAACCGCGAAACAAATGCAACCAGTGATGGACAAAACTCCCTTAATTACCTGAGAAATATGTATCAAATATTCAGCTTTAATCACATTAAAAAAAACAGTTCTCAAAAATTTATGGACAACGCCCACAACTATGTTTAATGAACACTGTCATAAATTGCACAGCAGGCTCCCAACGATTCCCACCAAGAACAATAATCATAAACATGCAAAAAAACATCTACCATACCAAGCTATGGATGATGTTGCAATGTCCAAGCCATCCAATGCAATGCCAGTGACTTGCACTTGATGACCTTTCAGTGACTGAACCTTCTCTCCAATTGCCAAATCCGACACCAAAGCATGAGTATCCATCCCACCAGATACAATACCACCTTCTGGAAACTCCTCCTTCAGTGAAACCCAAGCCAATGGCCCCACAAAACTAGTATGGCCCAACAGTATCAAAGACATAGTATAGTCCCAAGGCTGATCAAGGAACTAAGCATAAACAAAAAACTCAAATTTCTTGAGAGGTTCATTGATCCAATAAAACACGAAATAGCTGCTAGTTCTGCAAGTACAGAACAAGAGTGCAACATTACCCATCCATTAATGGATAATCCAATGGATTTCAATGGTATTTTGTATTCTTAGAGATTTCAACGTGTGTTTCTGGTCTAGCTGGTACCCTGTGTGTTGGTGTTTGTGTTTTTTTTTTTTTTTGTGTGTTGTGTGTGTGTGTGTGTGTGTGGGAGAGAGAGAGAGAGAGAGAGAGAGATGATATAAATCAAATATGAACTTAATTAAGTGAACAAATCATCGTATTCTTTAAATTTGAGGGGAAAAAAATAAACTTGTTATAGTTTACAACCAAAGAACAAAGTCTAGCATTTTCATGCTGCCGTAATGGGTTTAAATTGGATATCTTCTACTTGTTAAACCAACTTTATTATTCGAAATGCAATCATTTTTGGTCCTCAAGGTAAGTCTGCTGCATTCTTCGCATTTTTAGAACATGCAAGTAAAAATAAGATGTTGCTATATATAGTTGAATGCATACTCATCTGATTTTGTACTGCAATGAGTCATACCATCTTTTATCATCATGCAATTTTATGGCACCTACTAACTCAAAATACAAAAAGAGTTTAGCGGATACCATAGGAATGTGCTTGAAAGTGGGATTTTCCGCAATAGCTGTTATTTAAACAAAAATAAAAATGATATTAGCGCCAACCTTCAGAGTAACATTTGGTCCTGGAAAACAAAACAATTTAAAGTTGATCAACAATCAAACGTACCAGATATGTTGGTAGGTTCTTGATATAATTTGATACTTACATCAAGTGAAGTGGAAAATGATGAATCAAGTGTGAAACCCCATAGACAGAATTTTGCAGTATAAACTCCACACTTTGTTGATGTAACGAAAGAGGAAGATTCTCCTTCATAGGCCAGTTGTCAGCAGTAGTGTGTGGTTTATCTGAAAATTTTCGCTAAATGTATAATCACTTCTGGTCTGGCATAGTGACAATACATACATCCACACAATCGGCATGGTAAGCTTAAAGTAATCATATTGAAAGTAACAAAAACTACTGGATCAAAAAGTAGAGCATTGTTGAACTTTGAAATTTTTGTTACGGATTCTGTCAAACTGAGCCACCTCAAAGACGAGCATTCCTTTCTAGAAATAAATCGCTTCTAACTATACCCACAAATAAATGAATAAATAAACTGGATATGCTGAAGGCAAGTTATCGAACATAAGCATAAGTAATATTAGAACTAATAACATAACCGGCGCAACATTATCCTTTTGGCCCATAAAAAATTGAAAATTGGTAAATTATATGATAGACTAACAAATCCATTAATACATTAAATGTTCAAATGATGATAATTGAATACCAACATAAAGACAAAATTTTAAAGTGCCCAAGCCAAGAACAATTTTTGAAATATATATCAATAGTATTAAGGGGAAAAAAGGGAAACAATTTGAGGATGTCTTAAATTTGACTATTGTTGGTGTCACTTGAGTGTACCTGATAAGTATGGTCATCGGTTGGTCACAGTTATCCAGAATTTATTTTGAAATGGTTAATTCAATATAACCCTGCCATAAAGAATTTATCGTTACCAAAAAAAATTCCTGGTAATGAGCATGATGCTCTTAGATGAGTACTTCTGGTATGACCATCAACCCATTTCTTGTATAGGCTCTTTCGCTAATCATCATGGTCAATAAACAAAAAAAGAAGAGGATTGTTTTCATTTTGTGGATGCTCATTGCTCAATGTATACCCCATTGTAAAAGTGTTCACCACCATATAACTACTGCCTCACTGCCTACAAATTTTAGCATTTCAAGCAGCCTTAATGGGTTTATCTTGGATATCTTCAACTTGTTAAACTAGCTTTATTATTCAAAATGCAATCATTTTTTTCCTCAAGGTAAGTCCGTTGCATTCTTCACATTTTTAAGACACTTCGGAAAAAAGACAAACTTTTTAGCGGGGCATCTTTTTATAACTGAATTGACAAACACAACCAATACTTTCTTCAGCCTCGTTTAGAAAAGGGCCTTCTATAATTAACATCAAACCCTAAAAAAGCCATGATAATATATACAAGAAATACTAAAATGTTGTGTTATTAGTTGACTGCATACTAATCCGATTTTGTACTGCAATGGGCCGCATCATCTTTTACCAGCATGCAATTTTAAGGCACCTATTGACTCAATACAAAAAAACAAAGAGTTTAGGGGATACCTTAGGAATGTGCTTGAAAGTGAGTTTTGCCACAATAGCTGTTATTTAAGCTACCATAAAAATGATATTAGATTCAAACTTATGTGACACAGAGTAACATCTGGTCCTGGAAAATAAAACAATTTAAAGTTGATCAACAACCAAACGTACCAGATACGTTGGTACTTGGTAGGTTCTCGCGGCATATAAGCGATGGCTGGTGTACCACCAGATATAGTTTGATACTTACTTACATCAAGTGAAGGGGTTGGAAAATGATGAATCAAGTGTGAAACCCCTAAAACTAGAATTCTGTAGTATAAACTCCATGCTTTTGTTGACGAAACAAAAGAGTAAGATTCTCCATAATAGGCCAGTTGTCATCAGCAGTGTGTGGTTTATCTGAAAATGTTTGCTAAATATATAATCATTTCTGGGCATTGTAAGAACACATGCATTCAAGCAATCGGCATGGTAAGCTTAAAGTAATCATATTGAAAGTAACAAAAATTATCGAATGAAAAAGTAGAGTGTTGTTGAACTTCAAAATTTTTGTGAGGATCCTGTCAAACTGAGCCAGCTCAAAGACAAGCATTCCTTTCTAGAAAAAAAAATCACTTCTAATTATACCCACAAATAAATGAATAAAGAAACTGGATATGAAGGCAAGTTTTCTAACTATACCCACAAATAAATGAATAAAGAAACTGGATAAGCTGAAGGCAAGTTATCGGACAAAAGCATAAGTAATATTATAACTTATAACAGTACCAGTGCAACATTATCTTTTCAGCCCATCACAAAATTGAAAATTAGAAGCTAAATGATAGACTAACAAATCCATCAGTACATAAGATGTTCAAATGGTGGTACTTGAATGCCAACATAAAGTCAGATAATTTTCAACAGAAGGAAACAGCAAATTGTATTGAATACCTTCTAAATGATTAGTCTAAATTTATCCTTAGATACCTTCTGAATGTGCTTGAATGTGGGTTTTGCCGCGACAGGCGATAGCTGTTATTTAAGAAACAATAAAAATGATGGTAGAGTCAACCTTAACCTGTGAAACAGAATAATATCTGGTCCTAGAAAAAATAGAAAAATTTTAATTTGGTCAACAACACCAAATGTACGAGACATGTTAGCAGGATCTCCAGGTATCTAAGCACTGACTGAAATGTAAACCAGGGAAACATTTATCACATGCAAAATGGAGCAGTAAGGGTGAATGAACCTCAACAACCAATTCCAATGGCTGAGTACCACCAGATATAATTTGATACTTACAGCCAATGAAAGGGTCGCAAAATAATGAACCCTAGTGTGGTCATTTTCTAGTGTGGTCAACTCTATCTTTTTTTTTGGCTGTGTACTCTATCTTATTAATTTCATAGCGAATTCGTATATTATTTATGTCAACTTCATATTGAGTAAATGTTGATCTCATTGAAAGTTCTTAGTCCATTGCCCAAATACGTCGGTTTCTTCAAAACAAACAAAGCATGAATCCTAGTGTGGACCAATGGGCCTTTGGTCCAATGGTACTCTTTACCTTGTGAAGGTTTTGCTTTTTTGAGGTCAATGGTTCAAGTTCCCCTCCCCCCTCCCTGAAAAAAAAAATCCTAGTGTGGTCATTTTCCCCCAACAGTTAAAGTACAAAATACAGATCATGCATAGGTTTGCACGTGTCTTTAGAAAATTTGACAGGTGGAGAAATGATGTATTTTAGCAAAACTTTACATGTTCATGAAAGGACATAAACTATGTAGTTTAAATGAGAGAGCAACTAGCATTGGCATACAAAGTAAAGGAATAAAATAAAAGGACATACCACTAAAGCATAACAAGACCAAAGAAAATAAAAATACCTGAGTGATTGTAGGGAAATTTACAAATAGGTTCACCATCTCCAATATCGACATCAAATTCTAGGAGACAATGTATTCGAGATTAACATTAAAAAGGGAAAGAAAAACACATGGAAAAAAGGCAAAATTGGATTGGGGAAAGATAACCATAATCATGTTGAATACTTGAATTCAATCAAGAATAAGACATTTCATGATATCATTAGGTCCATCAACAAATTCACCTATCGATGTCAAAAAAATTATGACTAGAAACGTTAAAGATTCAAAAAGGGGGAAGAAGTTGATGCTAGTGAAGATATAAGAATTTCAAAGACATACAAGTGACTATGCTCCATCAAACACCAAATAATCTATAATATGTGTGTGTGTATTTGATTTATTAACGTGTGTTATTTTTGGCATATTATTCTATGTATGTGTTTTTTGGTGTATTTGTGCATTCCAAAATTTGTCCTTTTTTAGGTGTATTAGTTTGTCTTCCAACATAACGTGAAAGATATCCAAGCCATTACAAAGAATAACCATTTGGAGGGTATCAACCTTGAAACAAATGCAACCATTGATGGACAAAACCCTCTTAATTACAAGAGAAATATGCATCAAATATTCAGCTTTAATCACATTAAAAAAACAGTTCTAAAAAATTTATGGACAATGCCCACAACAATGTTTAATGACAAATGGTCATAAATTGCACAGCAGGCTCCCAATGAATCCCACCAAGAACAATAATCATAAACCATGCAAAAACTTATCTACCATACCAATCTACGGATGATGATGCAATGTCCAAGCCATCCAATGCAATGCCGGTGACTTGCACTTGATGACATTTCGGTGACTGAACCTTCTCTCCAATTGCCAAATCCCACACCAAAGCAGCATGAGTATCCATCCCACCAGTTACTATACCACCTTCTAAAAACTCCTCTGTCAGTGAAACCCAAGCCAATGGCCCCACAAAACTAGTAGGGCCCAACAGTATCTTAGACATACGATAGCGCCAATTATCAGAATCGAATGACTGTCTCTCAAAAAAAATCGCTATGCAAATGTTGTCACCACATATACCACAAACATAACAATCATAAATTCAGCAAATAATGTTAATAATCACAGTAGAACTAGATACCTGGATCATTATGTGAATTAAGTAGAAATTAATGATCTTGGCTATCTAGGTTTACTTTAAATTTTCAATAAATAGAAAGACCAGAACATAGAGGTTCATGGCAATATCAACATTGTCACATTCGCATATTTCACAAAGCTAAAATTAATTTAACAAATACTAAGCAAAACTAGTTGTCCCGAACAGTATGACTTATTAAAGTTGAAATTACCACTCACCGTATATGCAAATTTTATTGAATTATTCAATCCATTTAAAGACCCCAAACCCCGAAGTAGACATTGTCAGGCATTATGGGGCACTGGCACGAACCAATTCGCAGTAAATTCATCATGATTCAAAGTAAAACTAGTTGTCTTTGCACACTATATAAATCAATTAAGTTGCAATTTAACAATCCGTGTGTGTACAGATCTAGATTGGATGCCAAGAAAAGGAAAGACTGATTGTTCATTATATCTATAGTAGTAATTATACAAAAATAATCATCAGAAGATCTATATATAGCGAAATAGTGATGAAAAATCATACGTCGTCTTAATGGCCTCGAAGTTGAGAGCGTCATCGATACTCTACGAAGTCGAACTCCATCGGCTAGGGAGAGAGAGAGAGAGAGTATGAATGTAAGGATGGTTTTAGATGTCTGTTACAGAAAGATGATTTCGTGTTTTGTGTGTGTGTGTGTGTGTGTGTGTGTGAGAGAGAGAGAGAGAGAGAGAGAGAGAAGAGAGAGAGTGGGTATAACTGACTGTGCGGAAGATTTTAGGAGGAGACGAGAGAGTGTTGGCAACGGTATACAGGCAATTCCGCGATTGCTTGATCTCCAAGGTGCGTAGCGTTTTTACCGTTTGGTTTCCAAAAACGAAAAAGAAAAAGAAAATTAAAAGTTGCAAATACATCAAAGCATTTTCAAGGCACGGGCCCAGACTCTATTAGACATTGCTGACCTGGGTCCATAAAATTAGGCCCGAATTCGTGGCTTGTGAGCTCAACTTATTGTTTGAAGTAAATGGGCCAATGACGTGTGCTGTTGAATGATTTGTGAAAGGGTGTAGGCTCGTGACCAAGAGAGGTTTTTTGGAACTCGCAACATTTTTTATAACTTGTCTAGTTTTATGTACAACCCCAAAAAAAATTGGTAAAAAGGACACTTTGGAGCAAATGGACCGAAATATCCCGACTAATATAGTTAATTTGAAAATTAAAACTCCTAAATTTTAGAATTTTCTTATATTAAAATTTTTTATCTCTTTATGTATAGTGACTGCTCCCAAATTTCAAAATTACAAGGGTTCCCAACAACGTTGAAACAAATTCTTAAAAAAGGGGAAACAAATTGTTATGACTGAATCAAGCAAAGGCCAATAAGAAAATATTTAAAATCGACTTGTGCTCACAATAACTGAATTTTTAGGCACCATTATAATCAATTATATCTCTTGCGTTTGTTTTGTATTCTTTCGTGCAAGTTTAGGGTATGATTCCATACTTGAATTTGTCAATGAGCAATGCTATTAAGATTTAATTTATTTATCTAATTTGTTAACTTAATTTATTATGACATTTGAATTGACTGTGAGTCTCATCAAATATTTAAACTTGATGTTGGTCCAATAATTCCAATGAAACTACATTAAATTAGTTCAAAATTTTCAATTACTATGTTTCACAAACTGTTTATTGGATAACTCGGTAAGTTCTTTAAAACTCTCATTTTATCGTTGAGGTTCTTAGGAGCTTCTTGTTCATCCGCGTCTTCTATGAAATATTGGATTTTTTACTTCAAAGTCCAGCGAACCTCTTCCTCCTTTTTTGGAAAATTTGTTTATGGACATTTAATGAAAGATATGTAAGTTGGTTCCAGTTGTTGAATTTGATCAGCAAATTGAGAAGTTAGCTGAATCAATCTCTCCAACTTGGGTGCACAATGGTGGTCTTGGTGGCACCTTAAACCAAGGCACGCCATGAGATGGAATCAAGGTGATACGGTTAAGTGGTTTGACAGGTTGGGGCGGACCGTGGCAGCATGAGACCACCCGGTTGAGCATGACAACACGTGATGAGCTCAATTGAGGCAATATTGGTATATAGCTTCGAATTGCATGACATGGGCTTGACCAGCATGCACAATGGCCCGTGGGCAAGTTTAACTGCTGAATTGTGGGCACATGACTTCTCAATGCATGTGACCATGAGGATGTGACCAGTTGCTAGTGTTGACTCAATCAAAATAGTTGTTAAACATGCCCTAGTCTGAGGGAGGCAGTTCTGGGTGTTCTTAGCCACATTCTGATCTAGGTGCATGCAGATAAAAGCAATTCCACATTAGTTGCTGAAGGGGTGGAATTGTCTACCAGATATTGCGCAGAGAGACAACCTTGATGATTAATGCGAGACAGAGAGTGTTCTTATTTTGAGTTCCTCGTAAATTGTAAAGAGCTACAATATATAAGATTTGAGAGTGTTGTCCCAATAAATTCATGTGTTGCCTTTGTGTGAGTTTATGTGTCCCTATACTTGAGTTGTGTGGCTGGTTGCAGTGGCAAAGCCTTCACGGGTAACATTAAAAGAAAAACGAATTGTTACCCCATGACAGTTTGGTATCAGGGCCAAGTTTTGACAGAAAGGTCGACTCATAGCTGGCAGAACGAATGCAGATTTAAGGGAAAGGGTGGCACGTTTAGAGGAGTTGGTTGGTTCTCCATAGTCCGATGATGTTGTGGCCCTTTTTGTGTAGCTTGAGTTGTTGTACTAGTAGTTCGAGGGGATGCGAGTGTCACAAGAACAACTTAAAAATGCTGAATCTGATCACTTTAGTCAGATAAAAAATTGAAATTGTTGATATGCTGGCCACAGTCTCTACATGGACTGATGGTATGAGAGAAAAATTGAGTTCCCTTAAGACGGATGTTTCATTGCTCAAGAAAACATTGCAGAATGCCTTTTTGAGTTCTAACAGTGAAAGCATGCAAAAAGCAAATGTGTCTGACCCTAGGCCTTTCACAGGCAGTCGCAACGCCAAAGAGTTCGAGAACTTTTTATGGGATACGGGGCACTATTTTAAGGCAGTCGTATGCCAAATGCTGAGAAAGTAGATCTCACCAGCATGTATATATCTGGTGATGATAAATTATGGTGACGAACACGATTAGAGGACAAGTCTCGTCCTCAAATCATTACTTGGGATGCTTTATCCGCTAAAATGAATGAACAATTCCTTCCAAGCAACACGGTTTGGCAAGCCCATGATGCTTTGAGAAAGCTTCGACATATAAGCACTGTGAGGGAGTACGTGAAGCAATTCTCATCTCTAATGTTTGACATTAAAAATATGTTAGAGGAAGATAAGCTGTTCAACTTCATGTCTGGCCTTCAAACATGGGCGCAGACTAAACTTCATCGATAAAGAGTAAAGGATTTATCCATTGCTATGTCTATAGTTGATGCGTTAGTTGATTACAAGACACATGATAACCTTCGAAGAAGAAATCTAAAGAGAAATCCAAGTTTCCAAAGAAGGACAAGCAAAAGAAGAAGGCCGAGAAGCCTGACATCACAAATAAGCAGATTGACAAGCCCTCTACGTCAAAGGGAGGTGCGGACTCTGGCTGTTTCATCTATAATGGCCCTCATCATGCCAAATATTATCCTAATAAGGAAAAACTTAGTGCCCTCATGGCTAAGGATACTGACTTTTTAAATGAGCCTACACAAGTCAATCCATTGCAGCTCCTTAATGCAATTCACAAAAAGGAGACGATGGCAAGGAGGGGACTGATGTTCGTGCAAATTCATCTGAACAGTGTGGTTGTCTAGGTAATGGTTGATACAGGCGCGACGCATGACTTTGTTTCTGACCGGGAGGTGCAACGGCTTGGCTTGACTTTGACAAAAAGACTCTAGCCAAATCAAGGTTGTTAATTCCGAAGCAAAACCAGTTGGTAGCATTGCTAGAGAAGTCCCTTTGAAAGTAGGTGATTGGCATGTGACTTTATGGCAATCCCTCTCGACGATTTTCAGGTGATCCTTGGGCTAGAATTTCTTATTAAGGCAAAGATGTCGGTTGTGCCTCATTTGCATGTGATATTCATGATGGACATGTCAAGTCCCTGTTTTGTTCCCCCATCAAGGCCAAATCTTCGAGGGAAATGTTGTTTGCCTTGCAAATGAAAGATGACTTGCGAAGAGGAATAACAACTTACTTGGTTGTTCTACTTGAGAAGGAGGAGTTCAAAGCATTGCAAGTTCCTGAACTAGTGCAACAATTGCTATCCAAATTCAAGGACGTGGCACCCAAAGAATTGCCACCAGATTCCACCAAGGCGGAAGATTGATCATGTCATCGAGTTGATTCCAAGGGCAAAAACCCCCGCCCATACGCCTTATCGGATGTCTCCATCAAAGTTGGTGAAGCTAAGGAAGTATCTTGGTGGTTTATTGGACATTGGATTCATTAGACCTTTTAAAGCTCCCTATAGAGCTCCTGTCCTGTTTCAGAAAAAGAAGGATAGATCCTTACAACTTTGCATGGATTACTGGGCCCTTAACAAGGTGACTGTCAAGAACAACTATCTAGTCCCACTCATTGATGAGTTTATTCAATCAACTGAGGAAAATATTTTTTTTATCAAGATGGACTTGCAGTTGGGATATCATCAAGTCAGAATTGCGGAAGGGGATGAAGCAAAGACAGCTTGTATGACAAGGTATGGATCATATGAATTTTTAGTTATGCCTTTCGACTTAATAAATGCCCATGCCACATTTTGTAATATTATGACCAGTGTATTCCAGGAATACTTGGACCATTTTATGGTGATTTACTTGGACCCTAGAGGAGCATGTTGAGCACCTTAGGTTGGTTTTGTCAAAATTGAAGGAAGTGCAGTTTTACTTGAAATCAAAAAAATGTGAGTTTGCTCAAAAGGACATCTCATTCCTCAGGCACATTATTTCTGTGGGCATAACGAAGATGGACCCAAATAAAATTGAGGCAATCGCATATTGGCTTGTCCCTACTAAGGTTACTAAATTGTTTTCTTTCCTTGGTTTGGCGAATTATTATTGAAAATTTGTGAATAACTACTCAAAGAAGGTCATTGTGTTGACTGATCTTTTGAGGAAATATAGGACTTCAAACTGGTCCTATGAATGCCAGGAGGCATTCGATCGATTGAAGGCGGTGGTGATAACTAGCCCAATTTTGTGACTTCCTGACTTTGATTTGCCTTTTGAAGTTAATACAAATGCATCAAACTTTGTTCGAGGAGTGCTGGTGTAGAATGATCATCTGGTGGCGTTTGAAAACTGAAAGCTGAATGATATCGAGAGGTGGTATTCGATGCACAAAAAGGAAATGACAACAGTCATTCACTGTGTCAATGCATGGAGGCATTACCTGCTGGGAAAGCATTTCCTAGTGCTGACCGACAATGTGGCTGCTAGCTGCTTCAATTCCATGGAGAAATTGACACCAAAACAAGCAAGATTACAAGATTTTCTTGCTCAATTCCACTTTACATTACATTACAAGTCTGGCGGTGTAAATCAGGTTGCAAATGCGCTTAGCCGAATCCTAGCTGCTGATGGATGGCTGCATTTAGCCAAATTGCTGGGGATATGCTACAAAGAATTTACGATCAAACAAAGGTCGATCCCATGACCATTTTGTTGCTAAAGCAGGTCCAAGAAGGGGTGACTCGACGATTTTGGATAAAGGATGATGTGCTCTATGCCAAAAGGAAGGAGGCCCTATGTTTTAAAATCGGGCGGACTTCAACAAATGTTGCTGAAAGAGACTCACAATGCTTGGTGTTCAGGGCATCTAGGATAGGAGTTGTCCCTTACCCTATTACCGGAAAGTTATTATTGACCTCACATTGAAGCAGATGTTGAGTTTTATGTGTGTACTTGTTTGGTATGTCAGCAGTATAAGACATAAATGAGGAAGATAGCGGGTACCTTGGAATCTCTTCCCATTCCAAGCAGACCTTGGGAGAGTGTTTCATGGATTTCATCAATGGGTTGCCTAAGGTGAATGACTTTACTTCGATCTTTGTGGTCGTAGACAGATTTTCGAAGTATGTCACTTACATTGTGGCTCCAAAAATATGTTCTGCTGAAGTTACAACTCAATTATTCTCGAAGCACATTGTCAAGCTTTGGGGCATTCCGCTTGATATTGTCAGCAACTGAGATACGCATTTTACTGTCTGGTTTTGGACGGCCTTGTTCAAGTTGCTGGGCACACAGCTCAACCTCTCCACCAGTAATCATCCACATACAGATGGGTAGACTGAGCGGATTAATGTAATGCTGGAGGTGTATCTCAAGCATTATGTCATAGGGAACCAAGATAATTGGGTGGATTTACTTGATGTCACCCAATTCAGCTACAACTTGCAGCAAAGTTCCTCAACTGGGATGAGTCCATTCGAGTTGGCAACGGGCCAGCAGCCTTTCACTCCACACAGAGTGGCCAAGTAGAAATCTCAAAAAAGATGTCCTGTAGTTGATCGCTTTGCTTGGGCCAATCAAGAGAGGACCGATGAGGCAAAAGACTACTTGACATAGGCAATGAAGAGGATGGAGAAATGGACAGATGAGAAAAGGAGGGTAGTAGAGTTCGAAGTGGGTGACAAAGTGATGCTCAAACTTACCCCACCAATTTGGAAGAAAATCACCTAGAAATTTGCACATAAGGGATTGATTCAACGCTATGACGGTCATTTTCTCATCACAAGAAAGATTGGAAAATTGGCCTATAGGTTGGATCTTACCAGTCGTCTCGAGCTACATTCGACTTTCCATGTTGCATTCTTGAAGCCATACGTTGAGGACTCTAGCGGATATGTTTGGCGTCAGACTCCTCACAGAGATAGTAGAAGCTATCCTTGACCACATGACTGAGGGAATGAGTGATAAAAATAGAAGGACTTATTACCTAGTCAAGTGGAAAGTGAAAGCACCGCAAGAAGCCACTTGGGATAAAGAGACGACATTGTAGTAGTTCGAAGATCTTATCAAGCAGTACCATGCTACCATTCCAACGAGGTCGTTGGATACTTTAGGTAAGGGTGACTTGTCACACCCTAACTAACTTGGGTAAACAATGGCAGTCTTGGTGGCACCTTACACCAAAGTACACCAAGAGATGGAATCAAGGTAATGCGGCTAAGTGGTTCGATAGGTTGAGGTGGACCGTGGAAGCATGAGACCACCCGACTGAGCATAGTAGCACGTGGTGAGCTCAATTAAGGCAATGTTGGTGCATGGCTTCGAATTGCATGGTATGGGCTTAATCCAACATACACAATGGCTCGTGGACAAGATTGTCTGCTGAATTGTGGGCACATGGTTGACACATAGCTACTCAATGCATGTGACCAGAAAGATGTGAGGAGTTGTTAATGTTGACTGAATCAAAGCAGTTGTTGAACATGGCCTAGTCTGAGGGAGGCAGTTCTAGGTGTTCTTAGCCACATTCTGGTCCAGGTACATGCAGATAAGAGCAGTTCCACATCAGTTGCTGAATGGGTGGAACTGTCTTCCAGGTGTTGCGCAGAGAGGCAGTCTTGCTGACCAAGTCTACTAGAGAATAGACAGATTGTATGTAACAACCATTGACAGATAAGGGTGCCATCTGATATGCTCATTGTATAAATAGGGGTGCTTGGGCATTCTTGTGAGACAAAAGAGTGTTTTTGTTTTGAGTTCCTTGTAAATTGTAGAGAGTTTCAATATATAAGGTTTGAGAGTGTTGTCCCAGTAAATTCGTGTGAGTTTGTGTGTCCCTATACTTGAGTTGTGTGGCTGATTGTAGTGGCAGTGCCTTCACAAGTAGCCTTAAAAAAAAACGAGTTGTTATCCCGTGATAGCTAATGTCTTCAACCAATTATCTATCCTAAACTTTGTCATAGACCGGGGCTTAGTACACTGACTACACAAACTTTATTGCAAGCGTAACTATCCCAATCAGTGCAACTATTATTTTAGTCGATGGCCTGCCTTTGAATATCTCGTGCATATCCTAGTTTTAACGTGGATGATCTGCTTTTGATTAGACCAGAGAGAGAATTAGTCAAAGTACGTGTAAGTTGACTCAGACATTCTCAACCGTTGAACCAAAAAAAAACTATTATTTTAGTCAATAATGCACATCAAATGTTTGATTAATTTTACTGCTTATATTGAGTGGATGATACTGTTAAATTATCTGAAGTCAGTAACAAAACTAGCAACAGAAAATATACTATGTTATGTCTCATCATTGTGTAGAAAGAATGAAACAATTAGTTTACTCTATACTTCAACAGTCATTCGATTAAGACCCATGTATCTCCATTTCTCTTTCTCCACAAAATCTGCATCCAAAAACCTGGAAACAAATGCCCAGAGCCTGTACATGTCATCAAAGTTTGTCAAGAACCCCAGTGAAGCAGTGATCACAGGTATACCAGTTTCATATCTCTCTGGTCTCCTCTTTCTTCCCACTGTTCCATCTTCTATACTTCTTCTCTCTAACACCCTCTCTCTCTCTTTACCATGCTGGTCAGAGAACCAGATGTTATGCAAGAATTCATAGCCAAGAGAAATGTTGTTTCTTCCAGCTAGCTTCTGTACAAGTGTTGGATCAACTATTTCCCCTTTCCAATCAAATATATTAAATGCAACAGCTGGTCCTCGGTCAATTCTTAACTTTGGTCCATAGATTCTAACCAAGGGAAATCCATTTTCAGAATGTGGGTGTAGAAGACTCATCAATGCATTCACCACCCAGTTGACCAGATACCTTACTCTGCTACTGATCAGGATCAACCCCAAAGAATCCGCATCATCCAAGCCCCTACATTGAATCTCTGCACTCTCACTCATACTAGTACCAATTCTTTCGCATTGCGTTGTGTACTGTGGTTTGTCCAATTCTACAATTTCTGTGAACGATAGTTCCTTCTGTTTCAACCGGACTTGTTCGATTTCTTGGATTTTTTCAGAACTTTTTTCACTCTTCTGACCAGAAATTGAGCTGGATGATGAGCTTGGCAATGGCAAATCTGATTCATCTTTCTCTAACTCAAATTTTATTTGTTGTTTGGTATCTATATTAGTAATGGCTGATTGGTCAAGAGAATCATATAATCTTGAAGCTGGTACAATACTAACAATCCCTGTGCTTGTAGTGGAATTCTTTAACACTGAGGCACTGGACTTTTTCACAAACAAGCAAGCAAACCCAGATGGGTTTTCCCCAAAGACCTTGAAAAAGGAGCAAATGAGAAAGTCTGGCTGAAAAAGAGAGAGACCCAAAGTCTCCATATCCTTAGCTCCTAATGCAGAAGCGTCAAGCAAGACATGCCAACCATTCTCTCTTGCAATGCTCATCCATTGATGAGAATACCGAGTTCCAGTTATTCTAGACTGAAGTGGGAAAACAAACAGTCCCCTTTTCCTTTTATTTCTCTTACTCACCAACATCTTCCTTAGTTTTCTCGAATGGATTCTGAGAGAAGGCCACGAAAACTCGGCCGACATTATTCGGGCACCTTTCTTCTTCGATGTATCGATTATTGCTTCAACTGCATCACTCTGGTGATCATAAGTGGTAACAAGATTTGGATTAGACTGGAAGGGATAAGAGTCTGCTACAAGTTTGAAAGCAGATGATTGGTTTGCAGTGAAAACCATGGAGTAATCATCTTCGGAAATATTCATGAATCTCATGATTCCTTTTCGGATTACAGATTCAAATTTCGATTCTTGGCCACCGTACAGTACCTGAGAATTCAAATTTGCCGACTTGTATGAAATTTCAAAGAAGGGCACAGTGGAGGCATTTGAATTCTGCGTTAGAGGCGGAGATGACGATGATGATGAGGCCATTGCAGCAGTGGAGTAATGACCCTGTTGCTGGGAATAAGAGAAGAGGCCATGACCAATGTAATCAAGACAAACATGGTTTGAAAGGGAGAGATGATAATAATCCTGTGCTCGAATCTCGTCGGCCTGACGGGTTCTTGAGTATTGTGGAAATGCTTTGTTGAAATTACAACACAATTCAGATAACGGAGGGATGGATTCATGGTTGGTAAATTGGGTGTTGGGGTGGAGAGATGAAGCCGCGGCAGTGGCGAAATCAAACTGGGAAACGGTGGCGCTGGTGGTGGAGTTGGGTGTGGAACCATGGGGCCCAGGCAGGGTGAGAAATGAAGCTGGGCAGCAACCATTAAAACAGGCTGTTGAAGCCTCTTTTATGCAAAGTGATTGCATTTTTTCCCAAGTGTTTTTTCGACTCTTCTTTGAGTGCTTCTCTTTGTTGCCTCTCTTCTGGTTTCAGCACTTCTGTTCTAGATTCTCATTGGATAATTTCCAGAGAGGTTGCCTTATGGGGTACTATGTGAACAGGAAAGTATACTCAATTGACTATGTCTTTCTTTTCTTTTATTGGTACATTATTGACAATGTCTTTCACAATTTCCAATGTTTCCCTTGTTTCCTTCACTAGTAATGCAAATGTAGAGTTGGACTTTGGCTGCAATTGCTCATCAATCCAATGTGAAATTTACATGAAATTGTTGTGTATATGCATACCTTTAAGGCATGTTTTATGTGGGATTTTTAGGGTGAGTTTTGTTAAAATATTCCATGCATCACCTTATTTCTTATTTGATTGCAAATTTTAAGCTCGAGATTTGAATCCCAGCCTATAATAGGCCCGCGAATAATACCCATGTATAAGGGTTTCAATAAACGCATGGGTGCGTGGGTTTGGGTGATTTTACAATTTCATAGCAAATATCATAATTAATATGTGGGTCTCATGTGTATTTGTGTCATTTATCAAATATGAGATTGAATATGATATATTGTTCAATCTCACGAACGAAACCTAAGGATTGGGTTTTGAAAAGTTTCATAAATTCAATCTAATTCTTATCTTAAAAATTATCCAAATAGTCCTTTAGTGAGTTAGAAATATAATTAGACTTATTTAATATAAACTAATACGAAATAATTTACACACGATTCGAAAAATGGACAGACACGACATATACCCAACATAACATAGAGCAATAGTATATAAATACACAATTTATAATTCATGTCACACGAAATTAACTCGACCTAACTTATATATTATACGAACTTAACACAATTCAGCTCATTAACATATTGACCAGAAGAACTTCTATTTCAAAGTTGAAAAATGAACAATTCACATCAAGGGTTCTAAGATTATGATGTTTGAGAACGACTTCTCCGTCAGCTCATCTAACTGTCGATCTATTTTCATCATATTGACCTAATCAAAGATCAAAGTTCCTCCACTAACGTGTTAAGTGAAGTCGCCAGTGGTTCTCATAGAGATAAAAAGCAGTTTGGTATTTAGTAGCTTGACAGTTCTATCTTTGGCGATAGAGAAAAAACAAACGGAAAAGGCAAGGGGGGAATTTTGTAGTGGCCGGCACTATTTATCCATGCAGGCCAGAAGTTTCTCTGGAATGATTCTCCAGTTGCCTACCAGCTGTGTGAAATTGTCTCTTAGGACTATACAACGCCAGTAGTCCTTAAATTAGTCTATGGGATATTTTCTAAAGTTTGTGTAGACAAGTCTCTTTTTTTTTTTTTTCCTTTTTTTTTTGTTTCAACGGTCAATCAAGAGTGTCTGAATTAACATACACGCACCTCGACTAATTTTTTTGACCTAATTCTAAAAAATTATCAAAATTCGAATTCAAAATATATTCAACTACTCCCGACAAGTCACTTTCGTCCGCGTGCTTTTTCGCCCCCACAGAAAAGGGCGAAAGGCAGGTCACATTTGTCTTAACCATAGAACTAAATCAATGGAAGACTCTCTTTGTCAAGTCTCCTTTGTCTTAAATGTTGCAGAGATACCAGGGAAACTGTCATGAAATTTCTCATTTTGTACCGCAAAAGGCTACAATACCGAGAGAGATATTGTACTGAATATTAATTAGTTTTTGACTAATCTCGACTTCCCTCTGTATATGAAGAGTAATTTAGAATTTTTTTATATATATCACTAGCGATCGATACACGTTGAATCTTCTTTGGATGTATGTTTCAGTATAATTTTTTTTTATTTTTCTTTCTTATTATTTTGTCTACCTCTCTCTTCCAACTATTTGAGATAAACAATTATGAAAAATTATAAAGTGATAAAGGTAATTTTATAAATATTTAAATAAATATTAGTTAGTTTCTTAGTGGAAGTTGAGGGTGATTATTTTGGACACGTGGTAATATAATTGTTTTATTCCTAATTTAATAACTCAAAACTCTAGAAAAATAAAAAGAGGGTGGGGATTTTTTAATTTTTTTTTGGATGACGAAGGGATTACCTGGCCCGTCATCGACAAAATAGAGACGACTTAGTCACTCAGATTCGTGAGTCCAAATAAAATTGAGGCAAATTTCGAGTGTATGAATCGATCCCTCAACTCATACATCAGTTAAATTAGGACATGCATTTTAATAGAAAAACTTTTTAAGGCCCCCTACCAAGAAAATAATTTTTTTTAGTGTATAGAAAAATGGAGAGAGCATAAATCATCACTTTTTTAGATTTTTCTTCCCATAAGTGTGTAGCATTTATTTTCACTTAGACTAATTCAAAATTTTATGTTCTAAGTTCTAATAGCCTCAACTACCATGTTGACAAAAAAACCAGCAAGTATGTAAAAGTGTACATGCAACAAAAAGATTCAATAATGTTGAGAGTGGGATTTGAACCCACGCCCTTTCGGACCAGAACCTTAATCTGGCGCCTTAGACCAACTCGGCCATCTCAACCTGTTCGCTGTAGGGTCTGATAGATTTTAATTTAATCATATTTCTAATGAATCTTCTTAGCTTCTCTCAAGTGTTAACCACATTCTCTTTTATATTATAAACTATTTGTCTCTCTTACGGACATCGGTGTATCGTGGTAGTTTGAATTCGTGTCAAACATTAATCAATTTTAACCTAATTCATATAATTAATTGTGTGAGATGTTTGAACCCTAACCAACATTTTAATCATCGTGTCGTGTTAAGAGTATCTTGTATAACTCATAAATAAAAAAATATAAGACTTCATTAAGAAATAACCAAATTAGCACTCATAATTTTTCTATAAACTAAATATTCACTAGATCCAATATAATAGTGAAAACGAGTACAAAATCCGCTTATTTTACAAGAATTAATGGCTATACTCCGTAAAAAATAATAAATACTTGTCATTTTATTTATACAATACTAGTTAATTGTATCAATTTTAAAATATTTGTATTTGACACTAATTCAACATTTTTATTATTAATATTAACAGGTTATGTTATTTTCAATTTCATATTAATTTCAAACTATAATGTCATGTCATATCAAAAATTATTATCCCTAACTTCCATACCCTTTTCAATAATAATATGTACACCACATTTGTACACCAGTTAATGTGGCATGATCTTAACCTTTAAATATTCAATGAATTTAGCGAAACCCACTAATCTAATAGTTCATGTTGAGGTAGTACACAAAAGTGATTCTTATAGCATTTTTGTACACTTCAAACCCTCACTCTCTCTCTCTCTCTCTCTCTCTCTCTCTCTCTCTCTCTCTCTCTCTCTCTCTCTCTCGTCAAGCTGTTTACTGGTATATTACTTTAGAGTATAGCAACAAACATATAGGACAATTTGTTATAAAGATCCCTGTCCCATATGAAGATCAATTCTGAGTCTCTCGTAGTCACTTATCTCTAAAAACAATCTGTCTACCACTTCGTTGCTATAAAATTTATTGGAGTCCAACAGTGGAAGAACATGATTTTTCCTATATTGCTGACCAATTTACTGCATTGATACATGAAATTTAAAAATCAAAATCAAAATTCAAATCCAAAACAAAACAAATCAATCAATAAAACAGAAAGGTGAAGAAGATAATTTAACGAATGAGGGCCCTTTTGGGATGAGAGCACAAACTACAACTACAAGAGACTAAATCAATAGAGAGAGTTGTAGGTACAGCAGGTAGCAATTATAGATGCTATACAAATTAAGAGGGCAGGCAGTAGGGTGGCATTCAGGAGTCTACTCTCCCCCAAATACCCGGCCAGGGTGATCGTTCCATCTGCAATCACTCGAGCAATTGTCCCAGCTTCCGTTGATAGTAACCCACCGTTAAAGGTTCCACGAGAAAGCCTGGATGACATAACTCGAGAGAGGAGTGACAAGTTGACACCTGGTTTGACAACAGATTGTAGGATGTCAAGAGATATGACGAATATAAGAGCTATAAAATCCATCCATTATGTTATAACGAAACGACAATGTACATTATATTTATTGACAATCAATTTATCTTTCAAGCTAAACGAACTAAACTACAAGAAGCATCGTTTGCAGATATATATCACTGACATTCGGAGGAAGTGTTTACATTAGAACTACAAGCATATTTTGAGAAGAGCAGCAGCAGCAGGGCATATCATGGGTTGTAGGGAAGAAGTAATATGCGTACATGAAAGCAAGTGGGAGCAAAGCGTAGGGATGGAGCAGGGGCGATAGCAGTTAGTTGGGAAACAAGCACAGAGAAAGTAAAACGAGTTAGGGTTGGTTTGGCCAGTAGAAGCACGTGGAATATATGCACCAGGACAACATCTAGGTGAGCAGCATATTTGAAGCTGTATCTTTCACGGTTTAGGTAACGACCCCAGAAATCCGAAGTAGCGCATGTGAACTGAAAGTCCATACCTTAGGCCTATCACCGCAGAGTGCTTTCCAAGAAGCCAGGTCCTAAAGTCTATATGTCCTTTCACATATATATTATATTTCTTGACTAATAATTGATCTTTCAAGCTAAACCATAAGAAGCATCGTTTGCAGCCATATATCACACATTTGGACAAAGTGTTTACATCAGAAATACAAGCACATTTTGAGAAGAGCTTCTCCTCCCATATGTACCCTTCAGTTTGTGCTCGTTTATATAATTTGTATGCATGAAAAACATAATTAAGTAGGTCATAAAAATTACCTTCTAATACTTCAGCAGATACAAACATTATGAGTCCTGAGCAGACATATTGTGGCACAGTATATGGGTCAATTATGTGGAAGCTTAGGAGTATGCCCAAACAAACCATAATTTCGGATGCCAGTAAAATTTGCCTGAAACAAGATTGATTATGAAAAATTGATTACTAGATCTTGATAGACAACAATTATAGATCAAAGGTGCTTCCATGTCAATATTATAAAGTTGAGTTACACATCATGAACAGTAGAAACAAAGTTATATTTTTTAAGGGTACAAGTAGATGCATTTAGTCTGCATCAACAACACTTCAACAGACATGGTCAATAATTGGACATTTCAAAAACAGACATTCAATGCTCAAGACAGAAAATTATACTAGCAGCAGCACTAACGAAATAATAGGCATAGCTCATAGCAAAAGATGTAATGGACATGCATTAGTTTGAAGTACATAGGCCCGTAAAGCCCACATAGTGCCAGTTTTTAGCTCCATCAATTATTCAGGGCAAGGACTAATAAGCTGGAATCTAAGGTTTGATCGGTAAATATACTAAACAAGTAGGGTAATTAGTTGATGAAAAACTTACAAGAATTCCTGCACTATTTAGGAGATGGACAAGAAGTAGAAATAGGGAACGAACAATAAATATAAAAATGAAGAAGCTCATGTTGTTTTTGGAGTTATCAACATCAATTTAAAGTTTCATGGCCAAATTCAGAACTATTCAACTAAAATGGAGTCACAATGAGGAACTTGTGCATAACTTAGGAATATCTCAAATTAAAAAGCCACCAAAGCAAGCTTGGCAAGTATAATCTTTTCAGATAAATGTAATTTCCAGGCATCTTGTTTTTCTCCAGGCCAAATATTGTTTCCCACTCCAGGGCCAAACAATTTATAACCTCTAGTGGCCAAACAAGTCCTGGTCAACAGCAGCCACTGATGAACTGGTCATATCAATCAATAAGTAGTGCATTCCGTCAGCAGGGGGCATCAGTGGTTGCCTTACCAGGCAGATTATTTGTCTTATAGAATGGAGTATAGGATATTGTTGGTGGCGCTAGTTATGAAGTTACTGTGAAAAATTATGAGACAGTGCTTTTACTGTTGTAGAAAACACCTTCATGGCAAAAATTGCAGTATTATTTTTGTCACTACTAATTAACATCAATGTTCTTAAGGAAAACATAGAAAAAACTACCTGTCTTCAAACATGTTGCTTATGTAGCTTCCAACAACAACATTTACTGGAAGAACTGTTAGGCCAAGGCTTGCAAGAAATATTGACACTCTGCTGGTAGACCAATTAAAGTAGTGTCTGGTAACGACACTGGATTCTGAGAGTAGAATCTCCATTGCATATTTCAGCATGAAGTAAATCAGCAATTGAACCTGATAAATGATAAACTTCATTGTGAGAACTCAAGAAAATTTGAATGTATTGCAGCTAGCCAGAGATAGGGGACAAGGTACTTTGCATTTGAGAGTCTGAATAAAAGAGAAGAAATTTGATTAAAAAAAATTTACATGTCAGAGCACATGCAACTAGTAATGTATAGTTTATGTTTGTGATTATGGAGTTAATAATCTGTAAAAGTAGATGATTTCATGATGACGATACTAATGATTCTCATTGCAAAAGATGGATATATTAATGAGAATTTGAACATATTCTTGAAAAATGTCAACAAGCTTCAAATTTTTATTTTCCACTTCACAAGATGAATAGACATAAACACAAACTCTCTGATCTCGTGCAAAAGTAAGCCTGATAAACGATACATCAGTACAACCTATTCCAGGAACGTTCACCAATAGAACATCTTCAACGGGATTAGTCGCAATTGTTCGTATTAGTAAACTACGGCCTCGTTTACTCCTTATTCTCTTCTTCCTAGTTCCGTACTTCTCCACAAGTCATAACTTGCTAATAAAGCACAATACTAGAGCACAGATGTTTCCTAAGATCCATAAATCTCTTGCAATGTTCCATTTTTTAGGCAAGTCAATGTTTCTTACTTTGGTTTAGGAACACAAATCATAACTTGGTCTAAGGGCTATCCATTAGGTTGGGTTGAGCAGGGCTGACGGAGTCATGTAGAGGAGGTAAAATTCAAGCCGACCCAACCCTGGGACATTCTTATGAGGACAGCCTAGAAACCCTTATATTTAAGAGTGTATAGTTACAAACCTAAAATTACCAAAAAGATTAGGGATTGTTAAGAAAGAGTAATTCAACTTGTGCGTCTACACCTACTAAACATTAGTGCTCTAGATTAGAATCCAAAGGGCTGCAATTCTTGGGAGTAAATTAAATTTTCCTATTCTACTGGAATATCTAAAGAAACAAGTATTTGAGAGGCTTGTATAAGTTGAGAGCTCAGTGTCAGTTTTGGAAAGTTATAGTTCAATTGCCTTTTGTGCTGTGATACCGAGAACCTTCACATTCTTGATCTTGGATAATTGTATAACTCTGCCTCATTGCTATTGCAATTATGCTTATGCTACGTATGCAATCCTTTCAAAAAAGTCCAAGTCTTCAATTTAACCAAACGATAATGGACAGGGTGCCAACTCAGCTCAATCTAAGGAGTTTTTTCCAAAAGGCATGCACATTTTTTTTTGTGTGTGTGTATGTGTGTGTGGATTTCGAATTTGGATAAAGCTGCAAGTCAATAAAGCTTTTTCAGCAGTTGGGTGATTATATTAAGCTCACTGATATTTCCAGGTCGCACAGAACAACAGAGCTACTTCACAAGCTAACGGAACTGATTTGATAGTACCAACACCCCTAATATTTATCGTTTTCTTTCTTTCTTTTTTTGTTCTGTTTTTTGACTTTGTTGATATGCACACCACATGCATTCCCAGTGGTTGACCACTGACAAGCAAATTTGAAATGTTAATCAAAAACGTTGAAATACATTGCAGAATAAAAGCTTAGAGTCGAACAAATACCTTTACAGAAGGCGTAAGTAACCTATAAGCTGAACCTATAGAGTTAGCTGGTTGACGAGAGTTGTTAGGAGCTTCTTCACTTGCGTCACATTCTTCGTCACCATCTTCATCCTGTTGGTTTTCCTCTGAGGTTAAGAGCAATGGTTGAGCAAGACCATTCTCAAGTTTATCATTCTCAACTGGTATCCAAAAGATCCAACATCCCTAGTTAGATCATTTCTATGAATTGACGGGGAAAAAATAAGATTTTACTTTGAAACAAGAAAGGAGCCAAGACTTGTATAAAAGAGTCATACACGTGATCAAGAGAATTAGTAAAATAACTACATATGCATCTATAGAAGGACCAGCTCAACATTTGCCTGAAGAACAACCAAATTTAAGTCATGATGGTTTAAATTTACTTTATTTTTCATCTTTTCTCAAAAATTACTGGAATCCTGATATCCCAGCTCTTCAAAAGTCAAGCAACAAACCCTCAAAGATAAACTCCCTTCATACCTCACAAGCTAAGGTGTTGGGTTGGGTCAACCTTATGGTCATATACCAACAAGGTTATATACACCAAACGAGAGTTGTATTGGTTTGACTAATAAAAAAAGGGACGAGTGCTTTTGAGATACATAAACTCCAAGTGCAGAGATTCGTTGAGCTACTAGTTGCCTGATATTTTTACATTTTATATATCATGCCCAGAAGTTAGGCTGAGTTGCAATAGAATTTGAAGATGGGTGACGGCGATCAGGAAATTAACTCCCACTAAGGTATTTATTACTGGAAAAAAACACAACAAAGGGGGAATTTTTGAGAGATCGAGATATAAGGACAAAAAAGGGAGAAAGGATAGGAGAGGTGACAGAAGTGAAATGGATACAGTAGAGATATAAGAGGAAAAAGAATGAGGCAATGGAGTTCCAAGAGTTGGAGATAAGACAAAGTAGAGAAAAATGAGGATGAGATTTGATACGAGAAGGAAAGAGATCACACTAGCAAAGGAGGGAAAAGGTCGAGAGAATAGGCCTTTCAACAGAATTATTTATCTCTAGCACCTGTACTGCCTTCACTTCTAAAGCAACATGGCCAGGAAAGGAAATTCAGTATTTCAAAATTTTTAAAAAACAAAAGCAATTGACATTGTTCCTTTAAGGATATTGAAGTACCAAAATGAATAAGCTATGTAATGACTAGGACATCGTATTCATAACAGAACCAAGCAATACTCCAACTTTTGAAGCATCATATTTTGTATCCAGCTATACCTACTGGGACCTCCTATAGTATAAATGAGATCTACTAAACTATATCCCATATTGTCCTAACAACAAAAGCAATATTGGCAATTGAAAATTAAACCAGAATGAATAGCATGATAGACATTAACATACCAGCATTAGATTTTTCTGGGTTATGGTTCTCTACAGGCTCACGAGAAGGCTCTTTAAATGAGATCCACAGCCATAGGAGGTAAATTAACCATGCCACAGCCATTACCCAACCAGGCAAAGTCTCTTGATTGAAGGTGATCTTGGAAACCTTAAAATTAGTTTGCAGTAAGCCACCAAGTGCAGGGCCACATGCCATTCCAAGAGCACTGGCACTAACAAAACCTGCCGAAGCCTGCATGCGGATATTAAGTGGCACACAATCACTGATATAACGTCGATTAACTGCTCTAGCAGAACCCAAACTGCAAAATTAGGAAAGAAACAGAAAACATAGTTATGTCAAACTGTATTATGAGGGGAAATAATGAAGTCAAATAGCATGTAAGCTCTTCAAGAAATATGATTACAGTCCGCACTCTACTTGTACGCCTCAGTGTTTTACCTTTTTAAAAAACAACCAAACATGTTTAGAATGAGTTCCTACCCTATTGTGCAACTAATGGAAGTATTCACCACCTCTTATTTAAACTCAACACAAGTCAGCAAAGCTACAAAACAAATATATACTGATCTGGGACACTTGTGACTCATGTGAGGATGCCAAAAGAAATCTAGGGGAATTCACATGTTCTGTAGATTCTTAGACATAAATGTACTGTTCATTTTCTGTCCTATTGCTCCATCTTCCGGTAGTGTACATCATTATTTTCTCTTTTTCTTAATGCCAGTGTTGTATGGACCTTCGTTGTGAAGTGATCAGGTTTTCTTCAAGAAGTTAGGCTTGTTTTTGAAGCTCATTCTGATGGGAAAGATATATTAAGAAAAAACACTTTAAAATTTCTCAGCTTACATCAATTGTCGATTGCTAGAAGATCACAACAAACTTAAAGCAATGTATAGTCACAAGCATGACTTTATAGATTTTAATTGATGGGAAAGGACAATAAATGACATCATAAAATCAAACACCATAAAAGATCTAATTATAGGATTTCATTTTATTACCCAAAGTGGGTCTTTTTTATCTATACCAAACATGGGTCTTCTATACAAGAAATTGAGAGGCCTGGACATTCACTCGGATATTTAAGGAAAGCACTCAGAATAAAGTTATCACAGACTTCAAACAAATATAGACAGACACAAGATTTCCTGGAAGAACAGGTAAAAAGCAAGTGCTCCAATAGAGCTCAGCAAGTCAAATGAGCACACTCACACACACATACAGAGGGAAAGTTACCCGCAAAATAGACGACCAAGAAGAAGAACTGAGATTGAATTGAGATCATAAGCCAATGCATACATGACATTCCCCACAAGAAGAACTATACTGCTAAATACTAGAGGTCTGAAGTAGGATTTGTTAGACCAAGCACTGAAATACACCGACGAAAAGACCTGTGCAATAGCCATTGCACCAATCACAATCCCACAGACTGTTGCTGCAGCACCAAGGCTCATGGCATAGTCATCCGCTGTCGGAACTATAATATATGTATTCACCATATAAAGAAATGTGTTTGCCAAGTTCAAAAGCAGCGACATAAAATGGTATCTTTGGTCATCAACATGTTCCTCAGCAGTAGGCAGCTCTTCTTGCATAATAAGTGCATGTTGTGCCAAAAAGTGAAGGAAATCCGTTGAGTATGTTAATCTGTCTGCTGCCGCTTTTATTGCATCAATGACAGGATCCTGCAAAGAATCTTGTATCAAATAAGCAAACACCAGACTGCTACCCAGCCTAAAAATATTCAAAAGAAAGATAAAATAACAAAAAGAAAAACAAAAATACCCAACCTTTAGGCTGCAATGAAATATCAGAAGACAAGCGTATACAGACAAACTCCTTTTTAAGGAGGAGAGAGCTACTAAAGAGTTGAATATGTAAAGTAAAAAGGGAAACCTGGAGGGGAAGACCAGGCTGATCATAAATTGACAAGTAGCTTCCCTGACGGTCCTGAAGTTCTGCAAGATTGCGAGATATGGCTCCCACAACTGCCCCCAGACCCTGCATGTTCCATTCGTTGTCAATGATAGCTTGATTCACTACAAAGGTGTGAGACATAATTTGTAAAACCTAGACACGGTATCTACTTCTCTCATCTACCCCAACACCAACATGCATCTGGGAGAGTCACATTTTAAAGTTTACTGAAATCTAAAACTGTCTACAACGGAAAGAAAAGGGTGAGGAAAACAAAAAATGTCATTTGACTTAAGCATATTACCACATGCTTGAAGACTTGTTGAAGCTGGGAATAAGGATGATTAGCACGAGTTTTGACATAGTAATTGGTGAATCTATAGCCAAAGCGCTTGTCAAACTTTTTAAGGATCTTACGCAGACCAATTGCATTTATCTCCACAAAAAAGAGAAGCTTTAAAAGATCTTGACCAACTGCTCGATAAGCTTCCCGTAGTTCAGCTATTTTGGAAATATCTGGCTGCTCTTGAAGAAAATCCTGTTGTTCATTAAGCTTGGCTATCCTGCTTGCAGATAGTCCTTGTTGTTCCAACAGAAAGAGGACAATCTTTTCAATCTGCAATGCAATGGTCATAACAGAAAAAGAATAAATACTATAAAATATTGATCGTTAACATGATCTCTATCATGGAACATAGTAATCCTATAATGCAAGAAGCGTCGTCTTTTTAATGAGATTCAAATTTATTACACACCTTCATGTCCACAAGGAAATAATAATATAGTAAAGCTACATAGAAATCCACAGTATACGTCTGCCATGTCTCAGCATGTTGCCTAAGGGCCACTGTTGGCCTCCACTGATCATTGTTCTGAACTAAATAGACCTTTAAACAACACAATTTTAAACCCCTTTTTGAAAATAAAAGGTTTACTTTGAGCAGGAGCTCGCAGGTACTTGGCATTCCATGAGACATTTAGAATCTGGAAATCTTCATGAGAAGATCAATGAACTGAAATCATGTTCCCCAGTTAAAAGGAGGTCTGAAAACTCTTCAATGGCCTTTTTGAACTTCCCAAACAGATATTGGAAAAATGCATAAGCATTTTACCAACCAACTTCCAAGAAAATTTAAAGAGTCCATCATGAGGCCCTTGGGATTATAACATCCTTGTAGAAACTTTGATGCACACTAAGTTTGAGTTGTACATGGGAGTTTAAAAATAGACTAGCCAATGAGTAAGAGATGCCGAAGCTGGAACTTATAATGTATGCTTGTAGTTGATATCTACTTGGAATAAAATGTATATGCACGAATTTAATGTAAAATGCCATCTTACCTGGTGGTCTAGCATTCTCGAGAAATCCTTAAGAACATGTCGCCGATCTAACACTCCGGCTTCAATTTGGCGAGAATATTGTTTTACTTTTTTCTTCATTAATTTGTAGTTGATGTAGTATCTGAGGTACGCAAATGTAGCACATCATGAACATATATAACAAGTTGCCATCCAATTATGAGATCAACTGTAGGAATACACATTCTGGATTGACATCATTCTCTCTCTCTTTCTCTCTGTATCTATCCATTGATTTTGTCTCTGTTCAATCACATTTCTTCTCTCGTTCACTCAAAAAGGCATATATAGTATCATAGCTGGTGAAATTTCAAAGATCTCTTCATCCTTGTATGGGCAGCAGATGAATGTTTGTCTGTCATACAACCAGCATTTTTCTAGTCTTTTATGAAGCTTCTTCATCAAATAGGACACCCATACATTACCATCCTGAATAGGATTCTAAGTGATGTAAAGTTGGTCCTAAATTCATCTTTCCATAGTGCATCAGAAATAAGCTGTTATAGTCATAGAAAAAATAAAAGATGATATACTAGCATGTGTTCACTAGGATTGTTTATTATGACAAAACGACAGGACAATCCTAGATAAAGAAAATACTCTCTGCCAACCAAATAGCAAAGATTACTGCATTTTGTTGTGATTTCAACAAGAAAAAAAAAATTGATGTCAGGCAAAATGCAAATCCAAACTAGCTTGAAGTGAAATGCATTGGATGTTACCCTTGCCATTCTTGAATTTGTCTTTCCTTCAACTTTTTCCCGAAAGCAACCATCTTTCACTGTAAGAAGAAAAATTGTAAGAAGACGCCATGATAACACTACGATGATATGTCATCATACCCTCAAATGTATACTGCACCACATCAACTTGATTACAAAATAACAGATAGAAATTGCACCACCGAATTTGCTATCTCAGTCTATGCTGCAGAAATGACATTAGATATAACATCTACTATTCTTATAATTTCAAGGGGTTGAGACCTATATGTGCCAGACACATATCACCATAACCATAGTTGCATAGCATGTAGAAGTTCTTAGAATTTACATCTTGACACTATTACACTACTTGAAAGAGTGTTCAACATTAGAAAAAAGAAAAGTTTTGCTCCACTGATAAAATAAGGCATACTGGCCCAAAAGCACTAGAGTAGCCAGATGAGCAAATGCATATAGTTTCCAAATCTTTTTGTTAATGACCACATAAACGCTTTCTGGGATTTCACCGTCGATTGTCCAACTAACAAAAAATAGTAACCGACATTTCCTATAAAATGAGTAACAATTCCACCAATTGTGAAGAGAATGCAGATGTTATAGTATCAATAAGTACTAATTTTTCTAGTCAGGCAAGATCTCAGACGTTGGAACAAAGCTATATTAAAGGGAACAAGAGCTCCAAGCTATCTGCGTTTGATTCGACATGAATATTCATATTCTATGAAACTTATTGATTTGATTTGCCCCTCCATAGGAAGTGTTCACTTATATGGCAGGGGGGGAGACGACTCTCTTTCGATGTGGGATTGCCTTAAGAAAGGGTCCTATTGGCGAAGAGAGGTAAAGGCTACTGACGGGTCGCCCGCGTGGGTTAACCCAGGTCAAGCCGAAATCCTTAGTAGAGAGTTCTACCCCTCCTCCATAGGAAGTGTTCACTTATATGGCAGGGGGAGACGACTCTCTTCCGATGTGGGATTGCCTTAGGAAAGGGTCCTATTGGCGAAGAGAGGTAAAGGCTACTGGGGGCCGCCCGCGTGGGTTAACCCAGGTCGAGCCGAAATCTTTAGTAGAGGGTTATACCCCTTACACTAATAATCATTATCAGAACTGTCCCGAACACATGAAAATTTAGCAATATATCGTTCCATTTGAGAAAACGGAGTACACAATTAGTACACATGTAAGCTTATGAAGTACTTGTCAGCACGTTCACTCTTTCATATACCCCCAAACAACTATATTCCTCACACAACATACGTGATAATGGTTTGCAATTTCAAGAAAACTCAAAATCAAGCAAGTCAATAAAAATCCAATGAAATACGAATTCATGTAAACACATAGAGAGAGAGAGAGAAGAAATAACAAATACAGAGAGAGTGTTCTATTTCTCTGAGTAAAATTTGTGGAAGTTTGTGAGAAGAGAATTTCAAAGAATGCCAGAGCTGATAAATTTCGCTGAGAAACATGAAGGAGCTATAAAAAATCACCACAACTGGATCGAGAGAAGCTGGAATTGGCTGGCGGCCTAGCTGGTTGCACACAATTCAGAGATCTTTTCGATAAATATTTGAATTTGCCGAACAGAGTAACCAAATCAATGATGCCTCACTCGCGTGATTGTGTGTGCGCGCGCGCGCTTTTGTGCATGTGTGTATGTGTGTGTGCATGTGATATACAAAAGGGAAGAGACGAATAAGATCCGGGAAGAGGTCTGGAATGTTTTTACTTTCTTATCTTTCTTCAATTAATTATTTGATAATAGCAAAATAATAATAAGAATAATTGTTTGATTAATCAAATTTTAAGGGGAATATAATTATCAAAACCTTCCCTATTAATCCAAGGGTAACCTAGTGAAGATAGTGATAAGTTGTAAAACGTCTTAAATTCAAACCGTAACTAACTTGTTTTTAATCGAACTGAAAAGATGACTAATAGAAATATACAAAAGCTGACCTAATAAATAAAATGCTAATAATACAATTTAATCAATATTTCAAATACAATTCTGGAAAGCAATAATTTTACAACTTTCAAAGAAATTCAAATGTCATATTTTTTAAATCATTTTTTTCAGTTTATGCGTATTTTGATTACTCCTTTTTTAAATTTGTTCAAATATAAGTCATCTAAGATATTCTTGAGAAATAAATTATTTATGATTTGACTCCAAAAAATTATTAAAATTTAACTTCATGACATTTACATCTATAACTCGATTCTATTATAATTTAAACTATTCATTGGCAATTGTGCCTTTTGTATACTCCTGATTAAGCCAATGACTCCATTCAAAAGGCTTGTCTTTCTTCGACAACGGTTGGTACGAGTGGTGTCACTGTTTTCTTTTATTGAATTGACTAACCATATTGAAAATCGACAATCTTGAATAGTCTATTTTCTAGATAAAAAGTGGGACACACTATCATCTATAGTCTATTTTCTGTCATCTTCTTTGTTCTTATCAAATTATTTGAGTAGATATAAATGTTATACAGTTTTTATACACATAAAATTACTTTTTATAGGAGACATTTACAAAACTAACCAATTTCAAGGTACATCAAAGGTTTTTTTTTTTTTTTGATACATCAAAGTTTAGACAAATTCCGTAGATAGTCGCATTCAAAAAATTCTTATATATACTTTTAGGAGTTGATTGTGGTACTAAAAAAATATTTTCGATATCATACCTCTATTTATTATATTTATGATTGTTTTATAATTACTGTTATATTCCAAAAAATAATAAAAATATTTACCACAACAGTAATAAAAATATTTATAAATATAATAAAAATACACACAAAAATAGTAAAAAAAATAATTTTTGTATTAAAAAAAAGTAGTAAAAATAATTACCACAAAAATAATAATTTTTTTTGTTGTAAAATAACTCAAAAAAATTATAAAAATATTTATTAAAATAATAAAAGTTAGAGGTATAGTTTCGAATTTTTTTTCTTTAGTACGGTAATCAAGCCTATCCTTTTTAGAAGCTGAAAGGTTTTTTTTTTTTTTTTTAATTTTAGAGACATTCCTTCCATCTTGTTATTGGACAGATAAAATTAATATGATATCAATTTTTTTTTCTTAATACCACAATTTAGCCTCTTGATAAAAATATTTATAAATTTAATAAATATCAATACACTACCTATTTTTTTTCCGGATACCATCCAAAACATAAACATATCTGACTTTTTCTATTTGATTATGCCAACTTGTCACATCTGCCAAACTTCTTTGTATAGAGTCTATAGGCGCCGCTTAGGCTGTTTACGGGTCGAGTTATCCACGCCCCTACTATTCCACCAAAAAAAATAAATTTGAAATTTGAAAGGTTCAATAGTTAGTCCGTTTAATTCGGATCTCAATATTCTTAAAATGAGAATTTAGATTTGTTCTCAAACCCATTATCCAACCAAAGTCCGGCCCGAGAGCCTACCTGTCAAGTCCAACCCGTTCACATAGCCTAGCCACCTTTTTTTTGAAAAAAAATAATATGTTTAAAACATTAAATTCAAAATTTTAAAATAAATCTCTTAATGTCAAAATTTTAAATATTATAAATAATATATTATTTTATTTTTCATGTATTAAGCATGTAACGCCTCCATTGATTTGGGCAACATGGAGACATACATATGGATCTCTCGTCACTTTATTTGGGTCTTAATAGCATGCGTATGTGAATGGATTAGATCTTTATTTAAATTTGGTTTGAATTTAAATCCCATTAATTGTGTATAAATTTATATATTTTTTATTATTAATTTAAATTTGAATTCATTATATTCAGTCCGATTAGTCCAATCCAAATTATAAATTTTGTATTTTTATAAATCAATGATGGAATTAAGTGATTATTTAATATAATTATATTAAAATTTAGGTTTAATTTCTTTAAATACAGTAAATTAGTTGTTCAGATTGTTTTGGATTATCAAATTAGATATCCGATTGTTAACAGATTTAAACATGAGATATAAAAATAAAATTCATCAAATAATTAAGTTGAATTCTGATCAAAAATTTTAAATTAAATTTAGATTCGGATCAACTAAAATTCAAACTAAATTTGATCGATTAACCAACCTAATTACCAGTGTGCTGACAATTTGTCCTTCTCAGCATTGGGGGCATTGTTAGCGCAAAACAGGTGTTTTTTTTTTAAAACATGAAAAAGGGTTCAATGGGATAATGGGGTGAAACCCTTACGTTGACACATTTGTAGTAGTTCTAGAGCTCACGAGTGAGATCTAGACGATGAGAAATCGTAGACGGTCTCAAAAGCCAACTCAAATTATAGTCTAACCCCTCATAAAACACATGTTTAAAGTCCCTATTAAGTTATCATTTGCAAGTAATCAAAAACAAGTTGAGAAGATTGCTTGTTTTGTATTGCTCCAAAATTGACTTTGGACGGCATTACTATCTAAATATCATTCACATCATGAGATCAACTAATATGATTCATAAGTAAGAAAATTTCATTTATCATATGTAATATCTACAATATCTTCCCAAAAGAATATGTCAAACAATGACCATAATATCAAAAAGAATATGACATGTTATGACAATTACATTCCAAATAATCAAATTTGATTTGTAGCGGAATAATAAAATATTAGACTCCACCGAGTCTCAAAAGGAATTTCTTAGTCTGGCATATAGGAGAGTATAACCCTAAACATCCACCTCGAAATCCACGTACCCGTCTAGTGGAACTTCCAATGCCTCGGTTCCTCAACTACAAGCTCTTCCTCTAGCACATAATCTGAAAAATATGTTGTTTATAGGAGGTGAGCACAAAGTTCTGTAAAAAAAAATTTCCAAACTCGAACAAAGTTTAGAAAACATATAAAACAGTCGGTCTCATTTTACAAATATCATAGACATAGCTTTTGAGAGAAAACAGGGGCAATTCGATCTCAAGTTTATACAATAGCAATAAATTAAATAAGGAAATAAACCAATTTTCCAACAATAAGTCATTTCCACAATCACCATTTTCACCATAAACCATAACCACCGTGGATCTCAATCCACCGTTTGCACAATAAACAATAATCAATAATGTATATTTGTATCTCATGTATAATGCATGATTACATGAATAAACATATCGAGAATATCCTGGCCCACACACACACACTCAAATCCTCTAAAGGATATACAACTTTAGGAAAGGCGTATGCCAACTCATGGTAGTGACGAATTCAACCTAGAATAATATATTAACTCTCATCCTCGGTACCTGTGAGTGAATAGTAGTTTAGTCTTCACAAGACATCAACCCCACTACGAGTGGTACGAAAAATTTAAACCCACAAGAATTAAGAAACGCATCTAACCACTCTACGATACCCGATTAACAGCCACCCATGGTTATCCAAACACCCACAAGAGATACAATAAGCAACCAATTTCTTCAAATTACAAGCCAATCCAAAATCCTCAAATATCACATATAATATTACAATAGAACCATTTAAGAAAATATGTATGAGATCATCATAAATATCATTTTATTGTTCAATATCAAACACTAGAGTTTTGAAATCAAGAACAAAGGAAAAATAAAGAGAAAAATTCATTTCTCTTGAAAATTAGGGTTTGAAGATGAGAAAAAGAGCTTCAATGGTTACCCAATCATAACATTATTCAAAACATGGTAATAATTGTAAGAATCGAAGATTTAATAGCATACATATAAGATTTAGAATCAAAGAGTACATATATATATAAACCCTAACCTTAATGTAAGAGAATGATAAGAAACTATTACCTTAAATCCTTAGTTTTGAGTGAAAAAGATGAACATTTGATCTTTCCAATTGAATCAACACTTGAATTTCTTGTGTTTTTCCTTCTTTCTTCTTCTCTAAGGGTTTCTTGGGTTAGAAATATTGAAATGGGGCTTAAAAATGTGTGTTTAAGTATTTATAGGGGAAGAAATGGTGTCTTGTGCACGATTCTGAAAGCCAGAATTCGTAAATCACGTTCAAACGTCACTAGTGCAAATTAGTGATTAACGTTCGAACATCACTTGGGCTTTCGAACGTTGGTTGCTCCCAGTACTTTTGCATTTCCATCAGAGATCTGCAAAGATCAAAGTATTGAGACTCACTGCCGTTCAAACATCCATTCACGTTCGAACGTCCTCCCAATTTCTGCTGTAATTTTCAGTGACATTTTAACCTATTTAGAGATCGATTTGAAAAATGTTCATGAAATACACTTTTGTAGCCCTAGAAGTCTACTATCTACTGTCAAAATTTCAGATCAAATGAACATAAGGATAAAACGTTATGATACAAATACTAAGCAGTGTCCAAAATCCTTTCTATCTAATTTTTTTCTAAAATGTGTTTTCACTCCAGAATACTTCCAAACTTCTACAACATGTCATATTACCTCAACTAACATTTTTATTTCTACTCTTATAATTCACCTAATTTATGCATACATCATTACATATATTAGCGTTTCAAAAATAATCACGTTGTTATATATCAAAACAAATAGAATGTGAGGGTTTACATGTTTGGAGTTATAAGAGGACAACAAAGATTGGGGTTGTCTAGGGAATATTATTACCTCCAGGTCACCACTTGACAATAAAGCAATTACTGGTGGGCAATGGAATTGTATGTAGAGCTATTAGTCGAGTCGAGTTACTCAATTTTGGGTTAGATATGATTCGGTTTAAATTCGATTCGTGTTTTAAACGAACCAAACTTAATTAATTTTTTAAATTTGTTTAAAAAAATAAGTCTAAAAGGCTCAACTCGAGCTCAAAAAACTCAGTTCAGTTCAACTCTTTTATATGTAAAATAGTCAAGTTACTTAAGATCAACTAATTTTTTAAATAAGCCAAGGTCGATAGATTTGAGATCAAGCTCATAGAATTTGACTCAATTAAAAGTATGCGGGTGTTTGGTGATGAGGTTGGCAAAATTTGTGACATCATGGAATTGTCCACATAGTATACTTTTTTCTTGCCACTTGTTTTGCCTCTACTAATAATAGTAGGTAATGGCAGGTTGATGTTGACAAATAATCATACATTAACATCACTTCAATTGGATCCTTTTCACGTGATAGGAGTAGGATAAATGAAAATGGAGTAATAAGCAATCCTGAAAATGTACTTGTATCAAAATTACCATCTTCATTATCATAAGCATAGTTAGTATTATGATAGAAATAGAATCAATAATCCAAATTTTTTAGAAGTATAATTGAAAGATCAAAAAAAAAATATATTATTATTATTATTTTTGGAGGCTCGGGGCATTAAGAATGAATGACTTGTATTATTTATATAAAGTTATTTTTGTTTCTTAAATTTGAACTTATAATCAAATATCAAAATTTTGATTTGGTATATTATTTCAATTACTTAGTAAACGAAAAAGTTTTGAAAACATAATGAAAACAAATAAAAAAATTATAAATTTATTTTAAAAATATTTTAAAATACATCAAAATATCTCCAAACAAATAATGGTGGAAACATGTCGACACCTCAAAATATTCTGAAACATCTCAAAATATTAAAATTTAATTTTATCACTGAATTGTTTTGATTTCCTTAAAAACGAAAATATTATAAACATTTTGCCAATTTTGAAACAAAAATCCTTGCTTGTAATTTTGTGATAGTTAGATTAATGTTTCGTTTGGTACGATAAAAAAATGGAAGGATAAAAAATTAGAATGATGAAAAATTGGAGAGATAAATAAAATATCATATTCGGTAAAGAAAAAAAATAGAAAGAATAGAAAGTGGATAGATGAATTTTTCTTCCAACTCACTAAAATTAATCCCTCCAAAATATGAAGGAAAGTGGATGAAAAATTAATTATTTTTGTTGAAATGTAATTTATTTGTTTATTAGTCATAACCCGTGCCTGAAAACACGATAAAATATAAGATTCTAGCGTTTAAAAAATTGAACACACTATACCAAATTTAAAATTAATTTATTTGCTTACATCATTTAAAATTAATTTATTTGCTTACATCATTTAAAATTAATTTCTTCTTATTATTTTCTAAAAATAGCGTCAAAATTTTCTCAAAATACATAACTCTATAATTTTTTTTTAACATATGTACACTATAATGTATGAATAATATATGAAATAAAAGTTGTGTTAAAATACAAATTAACTAATATTAAATGATTGAACATGTGACATAATTGAGTCAGGTGATTTTTTTTGGGAGAAAATGTATAGGAGATAAAAATCCAACTTCCATCATGTTTTATTATATAAATATATCATATATATATATATATATATATATATATATATAATGTTTACATTCATTTCATATATAAATACAATGATAAAGTATATATTTATATTTTAAAAAAAATTAAAAATAAAAATTTTAAAAATAAAAAATATTTTTTCATCTTATCAATCACAAAAAAAAATTAATTATTTTTATTTTTTATATATTATATCAAACATAAAAAATAAAATTATATCATTCTTATTTTTTTTATTAAAGGATAAAAAATATATCTCTCATATTTTTCGTTATTTTTATAAAACGGAACATAATAGAGCAAGTAATGGACATGAATATTATAATATAAAATAATTGAAAGAAAAATAATAAATAATAAAACCTAATAATACAAGCATTGTCGGAGATAAGAGAATATGTGGTTTTAATGCACGTGGACAAAAATAAAAGACAAGAAAAAAAAATAATAAAAAAAAGCATGTGGTTGTGGGGAGTAGGTAATAAAGCACATGTGGCTACATAACTTCAAACCAACAATACTAAGAAGTCACATGTACCATAATTAGTACATCAGCCGCCCATGTTAGTCTATACCCAACTTCGTCTTTGTGGGGCATTGACAGTGACAATGGATGGCCAGCCTTCTATTATATTATATTAGAATAGAATTATTCTCATTACTGAGAAATAAAAAAACACCACGTAGATCTGGTGGGATCCATACAGCTCCAACCCACATATTTAAATTATTTTTTATTTTTTTGACCCCTTCGATTAAGGTTGTATTTATTTATTCAACTCGACACGTGAAAAGGGTTTACTCTCCTTTGAACTTTTTGGTAAGTGGGTTTTTGGGAGGGAGGGAACATGAGTTGGAGACTAAATTTTTTAAACTCATGTTTAGTAACTGTGCATTTAACCTAGGTTTTGAAATTCAGTCCGATTATGAAACCCATGGAGGTAGATTCATATGTGGGTTTGGGGGTTTCACATTCAAATGACATTATACCTCTTATATATCTACACCCATGTTTTGATTAAATTAGTTAAGGGGCATAATAATTTTTATATAAATAAATTATCATAATAATTATATATTCTTACGTATACCAAATATGAGTATGAACAACATTAAATGTTAAATCTCATTTTTGAATCTCATCTTTGGGTCAAACCCGAATTTGGACAATTCAATCCAAACACCTCCCAAAAAACATACCAAACAAGCCTCTAGTGGTTCGGCTTGGTCTCACTCTCTTCCCATACTATTCCTCCCCACTAAAAGAAGCGTTTGAAAATCATTTCCGAACGACCAAGTCATAATGAGATTAAAAATTGATGCTTCCTTGGCTGTGTAGAACATGGATTAGCCATACCTCCAAATAATTTTGAGTCTTTAATCTTCTTTGGACTTATTCTTGGTCATTGATTGAGAAAGACAACTGATTTAAGTCAAATAATATAATAAACAATCTTTACATATGCTAAATTCTCATTGGTAACCCAAAAATAATTTTTTAATACCTTGAGTGAAAATTGAAACCATAGAAACAAGTTTGATTTATTTTGTATGAGAGATTTGATAATAGATTCTCCCAATTCGAGATCACCTATCGATATAAAAACCCATATGATAACAATAGAATGTTACTAGAATTCAAGGGAAAATCATAATCACAACCATCTATGATCAATCAAAAATTCTCAATATTGATCATAATCTTTTATGATCAATCATGCTCTTTAAAATTATTACTTACACCTTAAAAAAATATAATTTTTAATACAGCATCGTTGACGGCACGATAAACTTCCCCTAATTTAGGTGACATCCTTTTCCGAAAAATGCTTGATTTATGATCAATCAGCCCACCTGCCCATAAGTAAACAGGAATAGACAACATCCATCTACTGTGATACATTGAGTTGTTGACACTCCAAGAGACAGCTGAGCACTGATTCCTTTAGAAAAACACTTGAAAGTTGAAGACAGAGACCATCACACACAGATAATTGTGGGGTGTCATGTTAAAACATAGAAAGGTTTGTCAGACATTGTATTAGCCGAAATACCATGTCACCATCTAAAGGAGAGAGTCTAGAAAAGTCTATACTTCATTGCAAGGTAAACATATTAATACAACACAAAGAGAGGGATTGCCTTCAGAGCTTCTCTTTGCTACTTCCACTAAACCTTCTTCGCCTATAACCACGAGGCGAACAAGTTTCAGTGGAAGCAGCAAAAAGAAGCATAAGAATTGCACTTCCCTAAATTAATGTAGGCACAAGGTTCAAATTTAAAATAAAAAAAAAAAAAGAAAAAGATGTTTACCCGTTATAAAACAATGTCATATCGTTCGGGTAGGGTTTTATCTTTCTTTATGGACTACATTGAGCTACTGCACAACATACAGAGTTACTGAAGACCCGAATACAGTATCCTCCTGTCTCACATCTCTAAATATAACAGCAGGCCTCAAACTTCCAAGATTTATATGCACAATCAAATTGGTTCATGTAACCACCTTGACTGATAGGTCTTTGCCCTTTGAGGAGCGATTAGCTCCAAAGCGTGATGTACACACTTGTGATATGAGAAGTCTTCGACTGTCCCATCTGCTCTTACCAACAAAAAGCAGCGCACATTTTCATATTTAGAGTGATACCCTACCTGTAAGAGAAACCAAGAAAGCAAAAGATAAAATCATAATAACAGCAATCAACCATTACTCACCAGCCAACAGTAAATAGTTTAATTCCAGAATCATTCAAGCAAGTTCATCGACAACACATTTGAATCGCCATAGACATTACAATTCCCCAAGGTCATGAAAACCATAATCGTACGCTCTGTTTATATTTTCCTTCATGACCAAAAGCTGAAAATTATGACAACAATTTTTCATTATCTTCTTGAGAACTAACCATGGGAAACAAGTTTTCCATTAATATCTGGGGAATTTTTAATGATTATTAAGGATTTTATTTTGGTTGTTCAGCATTGACAATACAGAACGGTCTGCTCATAAGTTAAACAATCCAAACAAATGTTCTACAACTGGTTTCCAATACTGGCCAGTCAATGCTATTGCCAGTCTTCAATTGTTAAGCCCCAAGCCAAAACATCATTGTGAACTTTTGAGCTCAACATATCCAGTCCAGACACTGTACTTGGGGTAACAAGCAATCCTATCTAACATATGCATTCTATTTCGGGGAATACCAGTCATCTAAGATGAATATATAACGTTCAACTATTGTACATTCAGAAAATTTCAATTTTTTTTTGTTTTCTGCATCATTCCCTCTTTTACTCACCTTAATTTCCTCAGCTCCAGTTCCAATCTTCTCACTTCTTCGAGGATGAAAATACAAAGCCATCATCACGATAGACTTGTCCACCTCACTTAACTCATGATTAATTGCATACCTACAACATTGGGGGAAACAGAAAAGCAGCAGGATCACTGTTCTGTAAAAATTTAAACTTACTATTTTCATGAATTTAGACCAAAGACATCCAAGAATTGTTAGAAATTAGGTAAAATGACCAACCACAACTCAAAATCAACTATAAACCAGCAAAACTCTAGCAATGATATGGTTCGATGTTCAATTCATGTTCATATAGTTGTTGCCCTAAGCATGCATACTTCTCAGTGTATCATAGTTTAAGTGGCTTTACTCTGCATCTTATGTATGGAAAACTGACAAGACCTTTACACACACAGAGTGGGTCATTGATCCTGTACATACAAGGACAATTATGATCTGATTGATATTTGGTAAAATTGCATATGGCATTATATAAAATACTCACTCAGAATCTTACTTTTTTTCTTGGGAAATCTTTCATTGTAGCATTGGTGTAGAGCTAGCTTAAACAGGGAAAAAGGAGGTCAGTTTGTTCTACATATTTATGCTTCTTGGTTCATCAAGAAGAATTATGCCAACAGACAGTAATGCAGCATAAGCTCAATAGAAAAACCTCGTCCACCACAGCAATATTATTTACAATGAAAACCCTCTATTCAAAATAATTTTTAATTTCATCACAAATTGGACCCCCGATGTTGATAGTGTTGGAGAATTGGTTGGACAAAGAAAAAGCATCCAACTCAAATCAATTTTGCATTGAGTAGAGAGGTCCACAGGCTCATATAGTAGTTGAGGAGGTGTTATAATCCATGTGAGACAAGGTCTAACATGTTCCCGCATGTGCGACCCTCACTTGCATGTGGAGAGATAAAACATATGAACCAAAAGACAAATTCGGCGCCATAACAAGTGAACCTAATCCACAAAAAAAGGAAAATAAGTTGAGTCTTGCACAATCCTTTCTCAAGCCCAGTTCTAATATCTTGGAAATGCATCAAACTCAAATCCAATTCGTAATAAGCGAAGACTAATAAGCGAAGACACACAAAGAACTGTATACTAGTTTGGGAGGTGGAACTGAATCCATATGGGACAAACTCGAATAGACAGGAATTAGCAGCTGTATAAAAGCAATGACAAAAAACAAATCTCATTTTATTGTGAAGGCATCTCCCTTGGTTCCACAGTACAACAATGATACAATTTATGCAAAGTGGCACTTTTTTTTTAATAAACTTATGGAGTAAAACTTTTACATTTCTGAAACCATCACCCATCCCATTTCAGGACTTGAATACAATAGCAGCAACCTGCCGCAGCGGTAACGAATGGAAACAAATCCCTAGGACAATTTATAAAAAAACCCAAAAGCCTAAGATTTCTAAAGCGGAAACAAATCCCTAGCCTTAGAAAAGTTGTCAAAAACAAATAAACACGGTCTAATGAATTAGGAAACTTTCCTAGAATACTGCTAATTAAATCCTAATTCTAACAACACAATAAAATAAAATAAAATATACAAGTTGTCAATCTCATTCTACATCAGACCCCCTTAACAAAACTCGTCGTCGAGTTTCCATTGATTGGAACAATTTGGTGTATCTATTCTTATCTGCATTTGCTTTGTACTTCAAATTAATCTTTTCTATCCCCACAAAAATTGGAATAATGTTTGTGTCTGCCTCTGATTCAGGAATCAAAAAATTTACAAAATATATTGTAGAAGCCTATGAAGTAGCACCAGTCGTCAAATCAAACTTGCTCCTTTCATCAGGGTTCAAGGTATCGGCTGAGTCCGATATGACTCGGCCACTCCCGATGCGATAACAATATACAATATACAAAAATTGCGAGTCACATCTGAATTGGCGATGACTCGATCACGACTCGAACATATCGACTCAACTCTACATGACTCAGATGATTCACATCGAAATCAGTCCAATACGAAAAAAATTTTGCAAAGCCCCACGTATACAAAAACCCATAAACACATGAAAATATGAGATTTTTAAACCTCAGATGGCAGAAATCAGACGCAAATATGCAGATTCACCCCCCGTTTTGCAACTATATAACCACAAGAAAGATTGTAAAGACATATTTATGAATCCTATAGACAAAACCCCATCTTCTTATTCTTCTTCATCAGTTTTTTATCTCCTTTTTCATTGTGAACCCGTGGCAAACAGCCAAGTGATAATCGGTGCCTTCTTCGACTTCACTTGTAGGCTCTCTCTCTCTCTCTCTACCCCGCTTTGTGGACTGAGATGGGTGAAACGTCTTTGAGATGCAAACAGTCTTTTGAGAATGTCTGATTGGTGGTGGCTTAATCTAATTATATTAAACACTCAAACTTTTTTTTTTTTTACCTCTTGCTAATTTTAACTATTGATCGATTTTTTGGACAATTGACTTTTGTGTACACTTTTGTCTAAAGTCTACTTTGGCTAAATTTACTCTTTGATATACCATGGGATAGATTAGCATTTCTTAATTTTTGAATATTTAAAACTAAATAATGAAATTATAATAGATTTATATTCAAATTATTAATTTATTGGCAATAATTATGACTTGGTAAATTGTTAAATAATTAATTGAACACTTGTAAGGATAAAGATTTTCAGTAACGCTCTTATATTTTATTTTCATTATGTTTAATGTGTTTGGGGATATATTGTAGACATATGATGCATGAATAATGCTGTTTATATTTTCTAAAAATTTTTATAATTTTTTCAAAAATTTATAGACCTTCTATCTAACATTTTGAGAGAATCGACCCATACCCTACTACAATGCCGCGACCGATGTGTATCAGTGCCCTCCAAATCGATAGCTAATACCACGAGGTCCACGACCTTGAACCATGCCTTTCATGGTACTTTTCTATAACCATCTCAACATACGAACAAACTTCAATGAACTTGAAAGTGCTCACTTGGTGAATCAATGGAATTGTTATGATGATCAAGAAAATTATCCTCATATGCTTTCTTATCAGAACATTTATCTTCTTTGTAAAACTCCGATATATCTAGTTCAACTACAAACAATTCAGTTGTCGTATCATCACCTATGGCTTTACCGTTACTTTTGTCTTCTTTTTCCTCCTTTGAGTAACCTTCAAAAGGCACCCCAATATCACCATAACTTCACTCGATTTTATCATCGTCTACAATATTTTCTTATTCATAACTTTCAATTTTTTTCTTTTTACTTACTTGCACAAATTTTAAATGTGGGAATATTTGAATCTGCTTTTTTCTCTTTGATTTCTTGATCCCTCTAGGTGCTTGAAAATTCACATTCATCGGTTTCTGATATGAAATTTGAGACCCCTAATAACCATTATAAAATGAAAATGATCATGACCCAGTATTACCTTGAATTGATTGTCTCGGCCCAAAGTTCCAAACTCCCTTTATCGCTTAATAGATCGATGTGTATCATATTCTTAAACTTCATTGCAATGTGCAATAGGTGATACTTGGGTAGGCGAACCACAGAAACTCTATCTTAACGATGCATAGGATTAAATCTCGAATAGGTTGAACACGAGTCCTATCGTCATTCTGCACTCTATCTCGATTGAGATCCTAGTTTAAACCCAATATCAACTGGGCAACCGTAGCCTGCAACTCTTGCAAGGACTTTGCTGGAACTATTGTTGTTGTTGTCGTTGAAAGTCCAAGAATTCAATTCTAGGGAGTCTTTTTCCCATGATCACCGTCATGGAAAAATTAGACAACAATTAGCTAATTAACGATCATGTCAGGTCAGTCAAAACTCTGATATCAATTGATAAAGCGATAAATAAGGGATACGAGGAGATCACCATCTCTAAGCTTATAAAACAAAAACACTCCGACTCCAATCAAAAAAAGAGCAAAACTCTCAAAATATTGTAATATTTTGAATTGATTAACTAATTAGAATTCGTAGTAAAGAGGACAATTTATAAGAAAACCCAAAACTCTAATATCTCTAAAACGAAAACAAATCCCCAATATTAGGATTGTTATCAAAAATAAATATTCACATGTCTAATGAATTAAAAAAATTGACATGTTTTAGGCAACTAAAACTCCTAAAATACAGATAATTAAATCCTAATTCTAGTAACGCAATCAAATAAAATAAATATAAAAAATGTCAATCTTTTTCTACATCACAACCCCATGCCACTCCATTACCTCAACCACCACAAATTGGCTATCATTGTTGCGAACCACTGAGAATCACTTCTCATAAACACATTTTTTGTATGAACCATACTCTTCGAGGCTAACCCCAACCAGTATCCAACCTACCAAAATAACCACTATATCAACTAGGGGCGTCAAAATATGTCGTTTCAGGTTAATCGTGTCGATTCTGTTTTGGGTTCCTATCGAAAAACCCCAAACCCTAACTTGACTCATTTAATTAATCATGTCAAGTTGTCTAAACTCTAACCTGATTTGACAATTAAATGGGTTACCCAAATCCAACCTATCGAGTTGTCTAAACCCTAACCTGACCTAACAATTAAACAGATTACCCAAATCCAACCTGTTTAATATACGGGTAGTGTTTGAATTAACACACATAACACAATCTATTTAACATGTTTAACCTATTTAACACCTATATGTACCTGTTTAACCAATTTCACAAATCACATGTTTATCTCCATAGATCTGAAATATTCGATAGAGATAAGATTCAAGCCTAAGGAGGGACGATGCCGGAGTGAAGCCCTTCATGCACACAGCCTGTGCTTGTGCCTTTCAGCTTCATCCTTTGTGTAAGTGACTCATGTGACAAACAGGCAATATAGGCAGCGGCTCTGGTAGGTGGAGAGGAAATGAAATGGGTTTAGGTTTAGGTTTACTTTTATTGCTTTTATAAACTTTGATAAACGATAAGATGGGTCTACAACGGGTTAGGTTGGGTTCGAGTTCATACATTAGGTCAATCCATTTAAAATATATGGGTTAATCGTGTCAATTTTAACCTGAAACCGACATGCATTTTTTCTCGCTGACCCATTTAATTTCGTGTTTGACCCCATTTATTTCGTGTTCGGTTCGTGTCGGGTCGAAAATTGACAATCCCTAATATCAACCACAATAGACCTACAAATCCCCTTACCTTGTTCAAGGTTTCAATGACCTGGTCACCAAGGTCAATAAAGATTGAAGGTCTTCCAAGCCACTTGAAACTAGTTCCTCTCTTATCTTTTCCCTGCGCGCACACACATTAATCTCTTAACCTTATTATGATATGATCATTTTGCTTTTTTTGCTCAAAAAAACTCCCTGCGAGGAATTGCAACATTAAATTCATTAATGCAAGAACTACAATTGCAGTGGTGACTGCGTTTAGTCATCATAAACTTGGTACTTCAAAAAACTCTACTCAAACCACAAATACTGGAGTTCCTAATATACATAGAATGTTATTATCATATATAACACTCTTCTTAATCAAAGAAAGATCTTTGACAATATTCGCAAGTAGATAGGTGAATACTTGCATAACACTACTGCAAAATTCAATATGTCATAATAAGCAATGTGTAACGACACTCCTGCAAAATTTGCTGGTATTTAATTACAGAAAACTGAGAAGAAAAGAAGAAGCTGGGAAAAACTAGGAATCAGTCCCAGAATCCCGTGGGCAACACATCTAGGGTTAGGTTGGCATCACACAAACCCACAAAAAAAAAACCTTCAAAACGCTGGAATTGCCTAAAACTGATCTCCGTTGATGATTAATGATTACATGTGAATTTTAAGACCCAAGAGATCTATTCCAATATGGATTATGACTCCTAATTGGAGAAACAAGATTCATGTAGCCGACTCCAAATAGTTGGAATTAAGGTCTTGTTGAATTGAGTTGATTTAGAAATTACAAAATCTGACTAGTTTAACCAACAAAATCAAGTAAGGTGGCCTAAAAAGCATAATAAAACTCAAAATAAAACCCATGGGTCACCACTGCAACCCATTCCAGAATATTTGAGAATGGCAAAACAGCCCTTGGACCCCTAAAACATTACAGACCAAACCTATATAAATATCTGAACTAGAAGAACATAACTCATATGAAATACAAAACCAAATCTAAAAAAACTCAAGCAAGACTAAACTATGTAAGGTCTCATTTAGGTGTCGATTTTTATGGCATGTCAAATTTCATATTTTGGAATACATTTTGATTTGCTTGTTCTTGAGCATCTTATGGACTGCATCAGCCATTATAAACAAATGTATGATTCTCGTACAGAATTTTGAACCTCTAAATATGCAATTTTATTATCATAAAGTAATATCAAGTACATAGCAAAAAGGAAGGTCAACATACTTGTGCAACATATGCTTCAGTGCCTGAGACAGCCCCTGAATGTCCCTCAGCGAGAGAAAACTTCTTAATATTTTCTTTGATATCATATTTTTACATCCTTTTGCATCAAAATCTCCATATGTGCGTAGACGCTGAGCAAGACGTTTGCCTGACATATTGTTGAGTTCATTATTTGCCTCAGCCTTGATGTGTTGTTCATGAGAACCGGCATGGCTACCCAACAGATTATAGATATCTTCAGGTTTAGCAAGTTGGTGTCCCTGATGAATGATTACATAGAAGGATTAGATCATTCAAAAAATGCATCATTCTACCATAAAAATGTATTCTGTTTTCCCCGCGTCCCAAAACCATGTGTGCAAAACAAGATCAAGGAACCACAAATATCTAGGGGACAAAAGTAAGAATAAATTATAACATGGCAGAACATTTTTTTTTTATTCTTTTTTCCCCTATACGAAAACAAATTAGCTTCCTTCAATAGTTGGCTACATAGCTAACCACCAAAGCAAGGGTATCAAGAAACCAACATTCCAAATAATTACCAAATCATGCTACAGATCAAATGTTAATTACCAATCAAGCAATACGCCCCGAGCACTATGATAAAATGATGATTTCCAAATTAGGTATGGTCATGACAGGATAATTAGATTAACCTCATATAAGCACTATATGAAAGCATCTGTACACAGGATAGATGGAAGAATAATTAAAGAAGAAAAAGTGAAACTAGATTTTTACACGTGTGTAAAACTTTAACCTTCAATATTGGATACATCTGTCTAATTTTGGAAAGCTAAGATACCGAGGAGCAATATATTTACAAAATCAGTAAGTAATTGCAGTTCCTTATATGGAAGGCTATCTAGCAGAAAACAATATTAGGAATGCACTCTTGCAATCAAGCAATTTGATAGAGTCAGAATATGATAACACTGAAAAAAGGGCTTTTTTGTTGTGCTATACAACACCTATACCATTACTAGCATTGCACCAGGGGCATTGCACGTGAATAGTTTTTATACACAAAAAATATTAAAACATATTAAGTATATATGGATCTGAATTAAATATAATCTCAAATTTACCAAACTTAATTTTTCATTACTCTTATTCTATTATAAAATTATGAAAATTTTGTATGTTCCGAAAATTCTTTGTTTTAACTAGTAAAAAAAAGAAAAAAAAAAGAAATAATTAAAGTTCTATTTTTTTAGAATTTTGTGATTGAGATTAATTTTTCATTGAAGTTTGAGAAATTAAATTTTTTAAAATTCATTTGATTAGAATTCCACTTATAATTCCTTGAATAAAATAAAAATAATTGTCAATATATATCTTAATCACATTGGAACCTTAGTATAATTAGGAATTAGTTAGGTCAATTGGGATAAGATTTAATATATTACTCCATTATATATATTATCAAGCATAATAAAATTCTAAAAAATTCAAGTTTCACTTAAAAATAGACTACAATATCTATTTTTACACCAAATGTTAGTACAAATTAGAAAGTTTATTGTGACTGAAGAATTAAAATGATGTAATATAAATTGATTTAAAAAAACTATATATACTATTATTTTTTATCAAAGAAATGAAAAAGTTAAATTTTTCGATGAAAAAGAAAATAAATATATGTACGCATAATGTTATCTTTGCATATGAGATAAGTAATATTAATTTGATAAAAATTTTGAAATTTTTTTGAACATTTTATTAAAAATATAATAATGTATATTTTTTTGAAAATAATATAGTCAATCAAAAAGTTTTATAAAATTTGATATCTATACATAGAGAATAGATAATTAAAAGAGATGATATACACAATTTGAAATTTTAAATACATAAGGATATGATAATAATTTAAATATTTAATTGTGAAATGATAGAATACTCTTTGCAATCCTTTATAAGGGTAAAATAGAAATTCAAAAGTTTTTATCTTAAGGTACTTTTATTAATAGTATAGATATAGATAGATTGTTATGTTATGCATTATTTTCTAGATTAAGGATAGTTTAGTACTTTGTATTATGCGACTATATATATTTGGGTAACCTAATACTCCCTCTCCAAAACCCTAACACCGTAATAATCTAAAACTGATATAGTCCACTAGTACTTTGTATTATGTGACTACATATATTTTGGGTAACCTAATACTCCCTCCCTCCGTCCCCCCCCCCCCCCCAAAAAAAAAAAAAAACCTAACACTGTAATAATCTAAAATTGATAGTCCACAATAAATTAGTCATGTTAGCTATGTTTATCTCAAGTATTTAAGCAACTTTGGATAATTTTGAACTTCAACTAGTTAATTTATTTAAAGTGATACTGCATTAAAGAAATCAAAATAGTAGTACATGAGAAGTCCATGTTAATAATGACGGATATAATTTCACAATGGCAATCAGGAATATCTATGTATGAATATACTCAAATATTTTCCTTTTAAATTAAACAACCAATTTGGTGCAAGTTGAACTTGAATACCCTGAACTTTTAGTTTAATCACTACTCACTAGACTCGTCATATCTAGCTGCAATCCAATTAAGAAGTATATACAATATACCTTCCCAGAATAAATAATATCAAAACGTCCACCAGTCCCTATAGAAGGAATCTTTCCCCATGATAATGCATCTACACTACCCTGAAGATCATCCACAACTCCCATTTTGGCAGCTTTAATCAAGCAATCTCCTGGGCTCTGTAACAAATTCAGGAATGCAAACATTGATTTACATAACTACACATAATTTGCTTCAGTATGAGATCATAATGACATAGAAAAAGAAGGATAAATGTAAATAAAAACTAACAGAAAAACACGCTTGCATGAAGGGTGAAGAGACAGAAAAGTCCTTTCTTTGGTGTGCCAACCCTTTGGCATGTAAACCAACAAACTCTCCTGTAGCTGACAGACAATCTGCAGCAAGATGCAGATGTTCTGGAAGAATAGTCTTGCCAGTATCATATATTGCAGTCTTCAAACTCTGCATTAAAATTGCATAGTATTAGCTTTTTTACCATCTATAAATTCTCTTTTTCTCTCATTCTTGGCAAGATTTGAACCTAAGACCTACCCCACAAGATCTTAATCACTTGAGGCGAGGCCCAGAGTTTTTTCACATTGCTAATTAAAAATATTAGCTGTTCGCATAAATGTCAATATCAAGCCTAAAAATATGGAAGGAACGAAACTTACACTGACAAAATGCCTCCGTGCAACATCTATACCATAGGCTAAAGTTAAATCATGAATATTATCTGGATGACTGCGTTCCCAGTCAATCATGTTCATTATTCGGAGGCAACTATACCTAAGGACACTCCAGAATCTTGTTCTAACGCAGCTCTCCGACATGAAAACACGCAAATAGAGTTCACCCGGAGAACTTCTGTAAGATTTTGATACATTTTGCTGATCTTTCCATAAAATGTCCACCTTCTTGAAATCCGAGAATCCTAAATAATATGCCAAAAATTAGAAATTCAAAGATAACCAAAGAATGCATCCAATATATCAAGCACATTGTAAGAGAGAATTTTTTTTTGGCTGTAGCCCAAAATAAACAAAAAATTAGTCCAATCATCATTTGATACCAAGTTTGGTTAAAGTATGGTCTGAAAGATATTAAATACCAGCCCCATGCTAAAAGTATAACAACCTATACTTGGTATCAACCAATACCACATAATAGGTGGTATTAAATGATGCATGATTGGTAGTAATAACAAATAACCCAAATGAGAAGAGTATCCCTATAAGCTAAAGAGTTGTGCATTTATGTAGAATGCTTTGTTTGTATCAGTTACAACCACACACTAATACCTCATCCAATCAAGATATTGGTATTAGAATAATGGACCCACACCTTATACAAACCTTGATTCCATCATGATATAATAGGGATATGATAAAATGGTTGATCAATTGACAATTATTACTACCACTATGGAAAAGAATAGAATTAATTGTTCAATCCCATCCCATACTATAACCGAACTAAACATGAATGTGCAGTCAAACCTCCAGCCGTTAGTAATCTCGTAGATAAGAGAGGTTGTTTGCTAATAGAATTATCAAACATTTTTTCATCCGAAAAGTTATTGCCTATTTTGTCCACAAAGTAACATTTTAAAAACATATACTGCATTCAAGTTTAAGGAGGCCCCCATACTGTTTTTTTTATCCCTGAATATTGTTGTTCATAAAAACCATATAATAAATATACAAGTCTCGTGAATTTTTTATACTGATTAATCAACAATATATAAGACTTATACTATCAATCCAGGATATTTTACTAACCGAGATCATTAATCTTAATTAACAGCTAAGTAGCTAATCAACTCTAGGGTAAGGCACTGGCGTTTTTTCCTGTCACTGCTCTTTGTTGTTCTTCCAGAAATCAACAAAGTACTACCCAACTTCATGGCCCAGAACACATGGCTATTATTAACATAACAAAAATTTAAGAACAAGCTTTAGAAACTCCAAGTCTATTGCAAAAATAACTCTCATGTAGTAATCACTCTAGACTGCAAAGTTGAACTTCAACAACAATTACCAATAAGTCAAGGGTCATAAGAAAGTGGTTATAACGCGTTACAGACTCTCTTACAACAAACCCAGTGCTTTCTACCACTCCAATTGTGTTGATTTAACTAATAATAACTGCTAGTTTCAACACAAACGGAATCACCCTTCCTGCCCTTCTTTGAAATTGAGGTACACATACTGTCCTACATAGTATGCCAAGCCATCCTTCGATTTTGTGGTGGTCAGCACACCTAACACTTGGTAGATCTCTTATAACAGCTGTGCCAATTATTTCAAGGTAGAAGAGTACAAACTTTAAAGTATTAATTCCAGAAATTTGCTATCTTTCATGACATCAACCACTTTCTCACCTGCTTTCCGATTCCAGTATTTTCCTTCCAGATTCCCTCTCTTCTTTTCTTAATTCCATATCTCTCTACATAAGCTACAATCATGCATATCATACATGCACCACTTCTAGTCAAATGCAAGGGTAGAGTTTAATGTGCAAGCACCCAAAACAATATAGGAATTTTGGGCTCAAGTCAGGAGGTTTGAGACCCACTTTTATGTCTCCTTCCAAAGGCAATCTTCTTGAGCAGAAAAAAATGTTATACACAAAAAAAATTTTCTAAACACAAGCTTCTCCCGCATAATGAATTTATAGAAGAACAACATTGAAGAACAGGTTAAATCAAATCAGTAAATAACATTTCAAGCAAAAATAGCAAATGAAGTATTATCGAGATTCTCAGTTTATAAATAATAACCTTTTACAACAGTTCCGAGAAGGTATGGTATCACAATGTCTCGAAGCACATCCAACTGTCGAGATGAATTCTTGGAACTTTCAGCTATTGCAACTGTGATGCAAATTGTGTCATCATTTCCTTTCTGCGCATGACCTACTGAACAACTCCTGCCAATTTATAAGTGTAGGTCAAAAAGAAGACACTAGGCTCCAAGCAAGAATAATTAATAGACGTTAATAACTGCAATGGATCAGGAAAAAAAATCCACGACGCTCTGATTTCAAAATAATGGAACTTTTGCAGGCCTGAACTAGTACAATTTTGTTGCAGAGTGGACCACAAACCATAGTTACACGTCTTCCAGGAATAAAAGTGATTGTAGATCTCTCTCTCTCTCTCTCGCTCTCTCTCTCTCAATCTTAGTCTCTCCACGTTATTCTTACATATTCTAGTCTTCTATTATACACAACACATTCGAGAGCAGCAGCTAACATAGTTCTATAAAAGAAGCAGCTTACTTGCTCACTATGTGCAAATCTGGAAGATTGATTTTAGATTTTACTCCACTGCAATTACACTTTCTGTAGAGTGCATCGATGATAGATTGCACTTTAATTCTTTTCCTCCTCGCAAGGTCCTGAAAGAACACAAATTTGATCCCACAGAATAAGATTTAACTGTAACCCAAAAAGACCAGTGTAATAGATTGTACTACCTTGCATATGTCAAAATGGCAAACCCATGGACTAAATCGTGTGCGGCTACCGGTCTGGGGGGAGAACCTAGTACCATACAAAAACAATTAGATAAGAAACAATTAGTCCGGTTCCTATCAAAAGAAACTGCAAAAAACATCTTAAGAACAAAATAGATGCAAAAGGTGAAAAAGGACAAGCTCAATTTAAATCCAATGAAAACAGTCATAAAAAAACTTACAATATCATGACAGTTGAAACAATGTCTGAAAATAGAATCCTTTCCAAATGATTCTTCACTTCTAAAGCCCCATATTCAAAACCATGGGTCCATCTTTGGAGTTTCCTGGACAAATAGAGCGAAGCAGTTTTATCGCCCCTACTGTTTTTCACACCGCATTCCAGTACTTTCTGTACAGTCAAATCAGATTTCCACAAACTTTTGTCAACCATATTGAAAATAACACTACAATGTCTGCAATTAATTGACTAAAAGTTCTCCAACCATTGCCAAGATTCAGCCAATCAGAATGCCCATAAAAGCTGGCGAAATAGCTCTTGCATGACAGCTTTTTATCAGAAATCTTATACGTCTTCTCAGAATCCTATTTGAATGTGTCATACACCAGCTGGTTCCGTCCCAATCTAGGTTCAAAATTTTCATTTGTTTCCACATACAAAAATCATAATTAATCACAAATGGATTTCATTCTTGTTTATGTCCAGCTTATGGTAATCTAAGGAGTGTCCTCACGCTTTACATCCTTTGATTAACTACAGAACTAAACTGTAATTTAAAATGCATCGCTCACTACAAATTTGTAACAATGCTGATAATAACTATAGAAGTGGAAAAGCCACTCGACAAATGTTGCACACACCTCTTTCGTGTCACTAGACTATTACTTATTGGAAGGTAAAAAAGTATACCAGAAATAGTCTGCCAAGAAAAATCTAAGTTATTTGTGTTCCTTTACTCATACTTGTTTCTTTATTTATCAGTTTGAGCAGTATTTGTAGTAAAAAAGAAAGAAAAAAAAAAACAAGGCTTAAATGAACTGGCTCCAAAAAAACATTCACTGTGAACTCAAGTAGCCCCACCCCTTCCACAAAGGCTAAATTGTTAAAGGTAGATATAAATCAAGCAATATGAGGAAGGAGAAGCGGGATAGAATTCCAAACACCTTCAGACAAAGAACATCTATTCAATAATAACTTGCCAACAAAAATTGCATATCACTGACTGGTTCAAGCATGACTTTATGAATATTAAGGTGATTTACCTAAACAACACAGTAAAGGATCAAGGTCTGGATGCGTGTGTGCACCACAGAAAGAGACAGAGAAAGAACCTTTAAATTTAACAGAGGTGATGATTCAAGAGGACTGATGGGTTGATCTAAAGCACTGTATGCGGCTTCAGAAATGGCACACGCAGCCAATGAACCAACAGGATGGCCCCCTACTGCACCAGTACTGTATGCACTCCCATTTAGGCTCCCAGTCATGCCATTACTCGGAGGGGAAGTATCCTCTATAGTATAATAAAACTGAACAAGTTGATTCCCATAAGCATTTCTTACAGTTCCATCATATCCAATGTATAAATCACGCATGAAATACATAAGCCTACGGGTCAAAGTCCCAGAGAGGTCAGCATGGCCACTAAAAGAACTGTCTCGACTTGTTAATGAATGGACAAAACACTCCAGAGGATTTAAGCCCGTAAGGAAAGAATTTTCAATCACAGCACATGGGATGTGAGATTTAGCACATCCAGGATCATCTTGAGTTTTATGGAGTAAGGCAGGTGTCTTGTAATTATTCCATGCCGTACAAGAAAGCTGGTGGGGAATGCTAAAAGATAATGGAACCAATGAGTGCTGCATACCAAGACACATCCCATGCTGGACTAATTTCATCAAATTACCCTTGCTTCCAGCCTTTAGCATAGCCAGAAGAGAATTCTCCTTGCTTGCGTATCGATAGACTAGGTATTGAATATCCCAGAACACCTGCTTAAAGGCAGAAATAGAAGCTTGTCCCAATGCAGCTGACTTCTGCTGCTCATAACACATGCGCTCCACTCCAAAATCTACAGCATTTTGAGACTCTTCAAAACTTCCAATGAGAAAATCCCGGTTATAATTCACCATCAGTAGTCTGATATGAGAAAGCCGTTCTGCTTCTTGCAAACCACAAGACACTTCATCAATCATATTTGTTCGGGAGTACGAATCAGAAGAGAGGTAAAAGTCGGACAATGACACACTCAGTCCCCTCATTGACAACCACTCACAAAGAACTTCCTGAGCAGCATGCAGGAAACCGAGAGCTTCACCTTGGCAGTGTTTAACAAGACTATGGAAAAGGTTTCCAGCACTGTCGCGTAGCCAAGAAGACCCACTAGAAGAAGAGATAAGCTCCCCTTTGCTAATACGTACACCATTTGATGGAAACAAATAATTGAAATCTGGAGGAAGGAGCAGGCTGAATAATTGTTTCCCGGTCCACAAACAACATGATGTTGCTTTGCAATGATTATTTGGTGAAGGTGCTTTGATAACAGCAGGCAATTGCAACTGATGAGGACAAAACATTTGCAGCTGCTGCATTTGGAAAAGATTCAAGAGCACCCCATCCTCCACAACCAAATGAGCTGCGGTCAAACTATCATGACTTGGTGACAGAAGGTTTCTACCACTTTGACCATTAATCAACTGCCTGTTCAAAGCAAGGAGCTGATGGAGCTCAACTCTAGAGTCCATGGACTGAGGAACATAACCATGAAGGCAGTCACCATCAAAATCTCCACGAAAAGGAGAACAAATAAGTGGGTTGATAGAGAGAACTGAATTAATTGGAAGAACTTTAACAGATAGGGCAATAAGGGAATGGTGATGAATAGATGGAGGCCTATTTATCAACACAATATCTCCATCATGGAGAGGCCTAAAAACAGTATCCCCTATCTGCAACTCATCCATTAATCTGACACGAACTAGGCCACCTCTTCTACGAACAAAAACCTCACCCTTTTCAAGAATCCTCAAATCACAGCAAGTGTTTAGCTTATGCCAGTTATATGAATTCAACTGCTCAGAAATTTGCAGCCTTTCTGCAATATGACAGGGCACACCAATTTCACTCAGCTTTATGTTTGGGTCACCAACAACCACCATGCGGAAAGCATGATCACTTCGCTTCCCAAGAAGAAGTTCCTTGACAAACTTCATACCAGACATTTTGGAACTCGAATCTTTAGCCGGTGACTTTTCAGCATGTATCTGCATAATACAAAATCTGAATTATGCATATAAATTTCAGGCCCTCTCCCAGATAAGGTAAAGAAAACATGGGTATGTTGCTTACCTTGGAGATTTTAAGGCAGTCCAAGACCCGGGTACTCAACTCATTGGCTGTCCCTCTAAAGCCAATCAGCTTTCTATAAGCCCTTGTGCGTTCATCCTAAAACCATCGACCAAGTAGAAGCAACATGAAATAAAAGATTAAAAGTGAGATTGTGCTATCACCAACTATATATTACCAGACAAAAAGCGTGCTGAAAGAAACATAATCACTTACAAAGATCATATGCTGCCTTAGTTCTGTCACACGATGACAATTGGGAGTAACAAGGAAACAGTTTAAAAATATTGAATTTTTCCTTTTGAGTAACCTTTCAAGAAACCTTGGATCAACATCTTTCAACATGTTATACACCTGAAAAACAAAAAAACAAGGCAACATAAATGAACATCAGATTAGCATAAGAAAAAGTATAATTACAAAATAGAAGCAAATCCTTCACTGTGGCTCAGACGAAACAAAGAATACTTAATTGGAAGTACCTATGACAAAATGCATACGATAGAGCAACTTATGAAAAATGGTTTCAAAAATTTAGGTTCAAACGGCATGTGATAAACAAGTAGCTATAGCCTATAATTTAATCAGATATTCGATTCATAGATGTCATGAATTTCAATATTACATATATTTGCTTAGCGTCAGCAGTCCCATAAATGCTCCCTTACTTTTAGAAAGCCATTGCAATGAAAAATTATTTGGAAAAGCACATGAATCATACAGCTTCACATTTGGGATCAAAAATGCTATTTTGCAAGCATAATGGGCTCAGGAAAGACCAGAAAGCTGTAGGAGAGGCATGTAATGGATAACAAATGGGCAGCTTAGTGCACAAGGCTCCTCGTCACCTCCTACTACGTGGACTAGGAAGGGTGAGGGTGAGACATAACAAATAATTTCTCTCCCCCCCCTGGGGAAATGTGTGTGTACACATACATCCTTTCTTCACTTTTGCTCTGTACTTTAAAATTTACTGGTTTAGTGTGCCAGAATACTTTATGACACTGTTGATGTCTATTCACTCTGTCAAGTCAGATATAAGATAAACCCAGATGGGGGAATGCAAAGTACAAGTACAAACAACTTTATCCATACCAATCTTCATACTATTTAGATGTGATGTCCACCTCCGTGAAGATAGACAAATTGAACATGAAAGCAAAACATATTAAGGATTTGAGCAATGCAAAACAACTTATACATAAGTGCGAAATTTTTTCCATCATCTGCAACAAGAACTCAATTGCCTAGCTTGGCCACAACAGGTTGATCTTGATTCTACTTCCTGTTCAGCATAGTTAATACGGGAGTTGCTGCATCCAGAACCAGACGAACTGATACAGTTAAGTGCAACTTTCCAGTCGCACAAATCTAAAACACTCATTTGATTTCTTTTTTGTTGTTTCTGGATAAAACATAAAATTGATATTATAAGTGTGTATATATCCATCGAAAACTTTGGGAAGGGGAGAGGAAAAGAAAAGTAGAGGGAGAATGGTGGGATAGACAGAAACATGTGAAATAAGTCTTTGTTGAAGAGGTTGGGAGAGGGAGGAGCACTCTCCACCAACTATTTCCCTAATGAACAAAATTAGACAAATAACATAAGTCCAAAGGGGATATTTCTTCCCATAGAAGTAGAAATGAGGCAAACTGCCTCTCAAAAAGAAGATGAAGACGAGAATATGGCAGGCCATTCCAAACATTAAACGCAGTCTTATTTTCTCACCTATAAATTAAACATGCTGGATTTGGCCATTCCAAACATTAAACACAGTCTTATTTTCTCACCTATAAATTAAACATGCTGGATTTGGCCATTCCAAACACAACCTTATTTTATCACATCAAATACACAAATCCTCATCCTTCAGAGTTTTAAAAGAAAGATTTTCATCTGAACTATGCACAACCTTAAAAGGACCGAATGTAAGTATGATTTAAACCACTAATTCAATATTCTGCATCACACTGTTTTCAGCTTCCTTGAATTTATGAAAAATGACAACTTCTTTATCCTATAATATCATTGGCAATCAATATTGTCAAAAGCATCAGAATCATAATTATAGGAAATAAAGTATAAACAAAAAGAGCTTCAGTACTAACGACTATATGGTTTGTCAATGTATGTCAGGGTTCCATCCTTAAGTAACAAGATGAACAATAATATGCCCTAAAAATCTAATAAAGTCCATCACTATAACAGACATAATAGACAAGAAAATTCACTGTCAAAAAAAATTTAAACGGAAATAAGGAAAGACACAGGTAAAACATCGTCATAGGTGAAATGGTGGTAGGAAATGCTACCTGGGCGTGCGATAAAACTCTTTTGTTTGGTTTCAAAAAACTTTCATCCTGCTGCCCATCATGCGGAATAATATCCCAATAATCAGAAGCCACACCGCCTCCAAAACTCTTATTTCGGAACTTCTTTGGCAACTGTTCTCTAACTTCGGCTATAATTGCAGTCTTTGCAAACATATCGTTAGAAGAAACTTTAAATCGCATTGTTGGATATAGATCTCTTAAACTTCCCTGTATGTTGACCAAAACATCGTTCAGAAATTACACTAGCAAGACAAACAAAGAGACAATATAATAGCAGGACGAACTTACATCACAATATTTGCAATTCATAGGCCGACGGTGCATAGATGTGGAATCAGCATTCTGTAAATTCAAAAAAAAAAAAGGAATATTATAACCTAGAAAAAAAACATTTAGCTAAAAAAGAATGTAGTTCAACAACTGGGAGTGCAATGATAATATTTTTGACAAACAAAATGACCCTCACTCTCTTGCAGACACAACGCACGGAAAAGAATCTTGCACATTGTGTTGTTTCCTCCATCAAAGCAAATATAACCCATTGGAATAAATAGCAACAACTAGAATAACTTCACAACCTTAATAAAGTTTGCCATGCAAAGCACCACAAACACTTAAAAGTAAGACTGGATTCTGTAACAATTTCAGCCTATTAAGAGCCAAACGATGTCTAGGCAAAAATATGGTCTCCATACAGGAATATTCTGCCTACTTGTCAATACTAGGGTCATTACTCATTTAAAGAACCAGTACAATACTACACAAAATTGATTGTAAGTTCATGGCAGAAAACATGATTCTTAAGAGTGTAACCTTTGAATGTTCTTAACCTTTGAATGTTTAAGTAAATCCACTTCAAAACAAATATACAAAAAACCTGAAGAAAAATATCTCAATTAGATGCAATGGCAGAATGTCGACAGCACAAAATGAACATCAGACCAACCAACTCTCAACACTAGGAACTACTATTAGTCCATACAATTATGAATTCAATTCTCATTATACTATCAGGAACAAGTAATCCCGATAAAATGACACAGAAAAGGGATGCAAATATCGTTCACATAGAAAGTTTAAATAAATAATGCATCCAAGAAAATCTGCTTTCAAGTCCTTAGTAATACAAATACAGCTTCATTTGTCATTAACATGACTATGAAACAGAACTCAACTCTATAAAAGATTTATCCCCAACTACACTCCAACCCCCTTTAGTGGCAGGGGTGTAACTTAGAACACATGCATCCTTCTATACATAACACCAGCAAAAACCAAATTTAGTTAATTAATCATATAGAATAGCAAAATCATATTCATAGTTTGATGGCATACTAAACAAAAATCATAGAACACTGACCATAAGACAACAAGGTTAAATATATTGCAATAGACTATGCTACAGAGACTCCTTCTGACCTCAAAAAACTTAAGGCTAAGCACATGGAGTGTAGTACCTGACCTTGACCTTATCATGCTGAAGGGATTTACATCCCGGGCAGATTTTATTTAGGATCAGTGCAACTTCTGATATGTAATATGGATCGAGTATCGTGAACGGAAATTTGAATAATCCAAAGTGACCTGCAAAATGAAGATTAAAGGTGTGGCATATTTCAAGTCACAATAAGAACAGGAACTCCTCAAGTTAAACAGTAATCCTAATGTTCTCTATTGGCACCTTCACAGGTTCTCACATCTTTGGCACCACATGTAAGACACTGAGAAGTTGGATTAGGCAGTCCCAATGCAGGATCTGTCACTTCATTGACTCCTTCAATTACTTTGGCTGATGTCTTCCCCTGATTCAATAGCGTGATTGTATACAGCTTTATTTGTTATAGAAATACACACTTGAACTTCGGAAAACAAATACTACACATCTGCTATACAACTGCTCCCCCACACCAGACATGATATACAGGAAAATGACACAAAACAATACATATATATACATACAGAAGTATACAGCAGAAAGCTAAACTGACAGGGTGATGCAAACAACAGAATGGGCTTTGGAACAGTAGAACCACCCCTAGGGTTATAGTTTCTTAATTATTATAGCAGAACTCTTAACTGTTGACTCTATCTCAATTAACGAAAACAGAAGCCACACCAGCTTAAAGGACAACGGCTTGTTCAGCATTGAGGTCTGTCATTGTTAGCCAATAATTCCAAAGGAGATACATTACAAATGCAAAAAGAAAAAAAGCAGACAAATATGAATTACACCCACTACAGCTCTCTCGATTACTACTTTGGTTGTTTTAGAAAGCACTGAAATTAACTCAAGAGACCATACCAACAACAATGGCATTATTTGCTAGAACTGGTTTCAAAAAGGCGAACAGATATAGATATACAGAGGTACATGCAATATAGGGATTTATCAATAGAACGTAATAGGGCATGAGCATTAGACACCTTTGTGATGGTTTCACAAATACAAATATTGATTTGCATGGCCATAATTACAGCTACTGGACCAACCAGCCAACACAAATTTGGAGTAGTGTCAACGTTCAAAGAATGTAAATGAACCCCACTAAAGAGCAATTAATCAGAAGATGTGACATGTATATTCAACAGATACTTACTGCATCTTCCTCACTTAGAATGTTGAAAGTTATGCCAGTGAGGAGGCCAGATGGCACTTGCTCTTCTGCATGCAATTCATTGTCCATTGAAGGCTCAGTAACCTCCTTTCTTCTGGAAACAAATCAAGTAAATCAAACAGCATTCCCCGAAGCATTAAAGGGAGGACAACCGTGAGCATTCACTACAAATATTGAATGATGAGCAATTAAGTATTAAACTGATACTCAAAGAAGACTTGGGGTGAATCATAAAGTTAGCACCCATGTGAAAAGAAGACTCGAGGCTTAATATCATGCGAATTATGCATTTATGTAGTTATGTTATATTATATATGTGCTGATCAAAATAAAGAAACAAATATATTTTACCAAAGGTGATCTGCTAAATAATAGGGATAGACACACTCCTATCCATATGGCCCCAAATTCAGTTGAAGACAGGATTTGATCCTATGTCTGTGGTGCGACTGCCGTGGACTTTAAAAACTCGGCTGGCTATCATTTTCAAGCAATACCAGAATAATATAAACTGTATTAATTTTTACAGGCATTTAAATTGATGTACTTCAGTGACCTATGCACTGGCGAGTTGCAAAAATGTAACCTCAAATCGTGGTAATTCACAAAAAGATCAATCTTTCAAATGGCAGACTTAAAGAATAAAAGGCCCATCGTCTGACATGCGTAATGGATCTATCTCCTGAAACATGTTATTAGAAGTTTTCATTCAATCCTGAACAATGTCGCATCAAAATTATGAATCTGAAAGAGATGTAAATACCCAATTTCGACACAGAGAACAAAGTCGTTTAGATTTCTATCCTCTCTCTGATGATCCTATATCTTATGACTCCTCAATATAAAGTCAACAGACAGAGTTTTGGAACACAACATGAAACTGATTTTTTATTTTTTTTATCAATCTAAAATAAACACATAACACAACTGATGGATGTGAATAAGTGATCAGTTACAGACATCCATAATACTCGCCTCATCCCATTATGCCAGTTCATGAGTAATTTCATTAAAGTAACTAATCATAGAACACATTAATCATAAGCACATTGCCCAAATAATTGATTTTTAAGAAAATCAAAATAACAGGCAAAACAATATAGCACATACTACCAGTGTTGTTCAACAAATTGAATCTTTTTAATTCTACATAACACCATTATTCAAACTCATAAATTCCCTCAACCTTCTCACCACATTGCAATATTCCTCAAATCTTGACCCATCAAGAACCCAAGATCATCATTACATGCAATAGCACATACGTGCACATATATTCATTAAAAAAAAGACATGATCAGCAAAGAAAAGCAAAAACCACATCAAAAAGTGAAAGAAAATCAACCCAAATCCAAGAAATACAACACCATCATATACATACACATCCAACATTGATCACGAACATCCAAGAATCAAACAAAGACAACGAAAATAAACAAAATCGAAGATTCTACCCACTTTGTTGAGTTGAGTTGAGTCGAGTCGAGTCGAGTCGAGTCTTTCTAACAGAGTCTCTCTCCCTCTTGCTCTCTTTTCTTGCGCTTAATCACCGTTTCAAGCGAGAGAGAGAGAGACTCCAAGAACTGAAAAAGGGCTCTTCTGAGAGAACAGCAGAGTTGAAGCAGAGATAAAAAAAACTCGTGAAACAGACCCACACACACACACACACACACACACACACATATATATTTATATATATACATACATAAACCCAAAAGTGTAAATAACGAGAGAATCAAGGGCTAAACAAATAGCGTCTCGGGACTCGAGGAAGAGAGAGAGAGAGCCCGTCGCGTTCCTTTCAACTAAACAGAGGCTTGAAGTGGCGACGCAGGTTATACATATTACATATACTTGGGTTTATGTCAAAACCCTTTAAGGAAAGTGTAATTACTATTCTGACCCTTTTATTTGTATTAATGGGCGACTTTCTAAATTCTAATTGACAGCAACGGTTCTCAAATTTCCTAAATAGCTCAAGGTATTTGATTAATGTTGCTTCTCCACTTTTAGAATGTCATTATTTTTAATTCCCATTGAATTAATCATTTTTTATTTTAATTAATTTTTGGTCATCGGTCATTGTGATTGAGATAAAATTGTGGGTTTTTTTTTTGACTTGGAGAAGTACGATATAATTATCGAGGTGAAAGAAAAAATAAGATGTTAATAATAATTAATTTTTATTTTAGTTTTTGCCTATAAATACTGCATCATACCAAATAATATGAAAAATAACATTAAAAAAAGTAAATTAAATACCAAATGACACACTTTTCAAGTAATTCTAAAAGTAGCAAGAAAAAAAAAGAAGATTCTAGTGGGGTTTGCCTTTTTGACTAATACGATTGCAAAGTTGCATAATAGATATAATACTAAGAGCAATGTTATATAATTTAAATTTGTATTTTAAATAAATGAGAATCATTAGATTAGTGGGTTTTATTTATAAAAATTGATGAGACTCACTTATCCAATGATCCTCTTTTATTTAGAATAAAAATTTGAATTATAAATTTGAGTTATGTAGTATTTCTCTAATATTAATGCATAAAATACCTAATGTTGTCCATTGGTTTGAAGGGAATAGAAACCAAAAAGTACAGGCTTTTTGTGGGGACTTTTAATAATGGTAATGATGTAGATGTCATTGCAAAAAAACAAAAAGAAAATTTTAATAATTATATATTTACATGGAACTGCATATCACCCACAGACATATATGTGGTGATTTCTAAGACTTGCACATAATTTTAAGTTTTTGTCATGTGAAAATTATACTTTCATATCAGGTATATTGCAGAAAAGATTTTATTTATGACAAAAATGATACGTATGTAGTTTTTTTTTAGGATAAACACGATGACATCGCTTGTTTTTGTAAATATTTACTTTTGAATTAAAACTACTACTTCTTTTAGTTTAAAGTTGTATTTTACAATATATATGCACTTCTCAATTAGTTAGCGATTGAGACAGAAACCTAATCTACTAAAATCATCTTTAGATGTATTTCTCCTCCTCCTTCTCGATTTGTACCACCAACGTTAGGCCAAAAAATTGAATACACCACTAAAAAACTTTAAAAAAAAAACATTCAACCAATAAACACAACGATCGCCAACTTCTTTCTTTATCACCCTTTCGTCGATGTATCTATCTAGCATTCCAAATATAATTTTGAAAAATACAACCTTCACCTCGATCCATAAAATTGTCCTATTATCTTGGTCATCATCCATACCATCTAAACTCTCATATTCCATCATTTTTTTCCTCTTTTTAGGAGTAAGTGTGTTGGTTGGCAAAATGGTTAGAGTATGTGTGTTTTAGCAAGTGTAAAAAGAACAAAGTAAAGAAACATAAAAAGATGAAAAACTGCAAAACATTGAGTGGTAAGACAAAAGAAATAAGATATAATGATAAAAAAAGAAGAAAACGAAAGAGAGCTAATGGGGTGTTCGACCAATCAAGATGAATTTTGTCTGGAAATGGGGTGTTCGGGGGGAGAATGGAAAAAGAAGAAAGATAAACGTTGAGAAAGACAGAGGTGTTCGACTATGGGAGAGATAGATTGATTGTAAGATTTTCAACAAAAAAAACATTGTATTAACATAAAGATAAAAGTCGAGTAACTTTTAATAGAACACAATGACGAAACATAATTCATGTAGTTGACTCAATAAAAGTTAGAACAAGACTTTGTTAAATTGAGTTGAGAAGGAGAAAATTGGATAAATAAGGGCTCGTTTGGTAACGTTTACGGTTTTTTATTTTCTAAAAAACAAAAAACAGAATCAAAAAATGAAAAACGTCGTTTTCTCGTTTTTGAAAATCGTTCATCGTTTACAAAACGATGACAAAAAAAAACGGTTATCAAACGAGTTTTTTTTTTTCTAAATATCAAAATAAAAACGAAAAATATAAACGTTATCAAACGGGACCTAAATCATTTGTTATTAGTGTTTTTAGGGGACAAAACTTGCAGGGGTGTCGATGTTATTTCAGAAATAAAAAAGATTCCTCTTGAATTATTGACAAATCAAAAGGGGAAATAATGCAATTTGTCCTTTTTTTAACCAAGATTTCATTGGTAAAAGGGCAATTGAGTAGTTTTACACATGGGTGTTATTGGAGTTCGGTAGGTTAAAAAATAAAGGAAAGTTGAAAGGGCACAATTGGGAACCGTGATGGACTGAAGAGCTTGCTGCTATTTCACATGAAAATGGGTTAAACTCCATAAAGGATTTCACCAGTTAGTGAGTGTATCTGTCTGTCTACCTCCATAAGCACACGTTTGGATTCTTTCGGACTTCAACTCGTAAAAAACAGTGTCAGGTTCTTATGTACTAGCACCCATTTTTTTTTAACGTTTTGGGTTAATTTATACATATTTTTTATTAATTTTATTCTCAATTTGATCAAAAATAAATGATATACGCCAAAATTAAGGTATTAATGATGAATAAATTATTGTGATATATAAACTCAGACGTCCTAAATTTAAATCTGAACAACTCTTTAGAACTTTTACAATACCACAAAATAATTTTTTTTATTTTTTATCTAATAATTATCATTTTTTTATTCAATAATTAGTATATTCAAATTAAAAATTCTGATTATGATCAATTTCAGTACATAACAACAACAACTTCGACATCTCCCCCATTTTAATGAAAATTTTACTAACCCCGTGACCCCTTTTTAAATCATCAGAATTAATAAAACTCATACAATCATGGTACTAAAAAATATTTTTTTATTAATTAAAATATGAAATGTGTAAATTTTTTATTTGTAATGCTAACTTTATTATTTTTAAGATCAATAGTCACATGATCAATAGATAAGAGTAAGTTTTTGATATGATCCAAAAAATACTCTTCAATGCCATAGTTAATATCCTTAGTAAAAATATTAAAGATAATCATACAATAATATACATATATAAGACTAAAATAATTTTTTGACATGTATAATAAATAGAATAAATCAGTGACAAACAAAAATAAATTATTTAATATGATAGAAATTATTATTTTTTATTTCTTTACGTACTATTCTTAGAAATATGGTGAGATTTAGTAGAGATATGGATGAGTTGTAAACTCATAAATCTTATGTTCAAAATTTGGTACCTCCCTTAAGGTCATACTATAAGAGATTTATTCAGTGTTAATCCAATGGGTAGGCAACTGAAATTGTCACATTGGACCCCATTTTTTTTAGATTTAAATCCAATTAAGCTTAATTTATATTCAGGTTTAATTATGACTAATTTTGTTTTTAAAGTTCCAAATAAATTTTTTATATATATAATTACCCTAATTTATCAGAAGGGCCAGAAATAAAATTTTTAGATACAAATTCAATTAAGTTCAATTTTTCTCTTAAGGTCCAAATATAATTCTTAGACACATGTTAAATTAAGTTTTATTTAAATTACAGATCTCCAAATAAAATTTTATAAAATCAATCAAATTCAATTTTGTTTAGGACCCCTAAAAATTTAATATGAAAGTTTTTAAACCCACGTTCAATAAACACAAATTTTATTTTTTAGAGGATTTTATCTGATTTGTCACAAAGCTTCACTTATGTTTCATTGAATAGGAAGGATGAAAAGTAAGAGGGATGCATTTTCTATAATTTAAGGAAAGAAAATATGAATGATACACTTTCCTTCATTTGTGTTTAGTAAGACGGATAAAAAATAAAAATAAAAATAATAATTATTTTTTTTGTGCTGGCTAAGATTAGGGGTGACAATCGAGTCATGTTGTGTCAAATTAGTGTAAAGTCATTGTGAGTTTGTGTCAAACATTAGTCAAATATAACTCAATTCATTTAACTAATTGTGTCGTGTCAAGTTGATTTGTTTATTTTCATGTCGTGTTCTTATTCGCATTCGTGTTGACCTACATAAATTTTGAATAAAAAATTTAATGCTAATATTTTATTTTCACTTAATTAAATTAATGTTAAACATGTTAGTTTCGTGTTACCATACAAACTAAAAAATAGAAAAAGTGTTTATTTTTAAATAAACGGGTTGATTGTGTCAATTTTGAGTTTGACGAATTGAATTGGATATGAGCCGTTTATATTTCTTGTTTGCGGGTGAGATCATTTCAAGTTCATGTTATAAAATTTGTGTCGAGTTCGAGTCGTGTCATCGTATTGAATCAAAATTTTTCACCCCTAACTAAAATAAAAAAAATATTTATTTATTATTTATATTTATTTATTTATATTTATTTATTTTGAATTTAATTTTTAGTTTTAAATTTATTTTTAAAATTTTTTAAACAATATATATTAAATACATTAATATTTTATCATTGTATTTATATATAAAATTAATGTATACATAATATATGTATATATAAAAAGATATATAAACAAATAAGATATCTCTCGATACAAATAATTAACTTTCCATTAACTTTTCTTTCGATTTGGGAGAGATTAATTTTGGTGAGTTGAAAAGAAAGTTAATTTATCTACTTTTTCATCCTTCTTATATTCCTTCCTTACCAAATATGATATTTTATTTATCCTTCCAATTTTTCATCCTTCTATTTTCTATCATATCAAATGGAGCAGTGGACTTGGGTCGTCCTTATTTATTCCTAATGAATTCTCTAATTTTAGCATAAATGATTTGTAGTTGACGAGATTTGGGAGAAAAAAAAGTCAAAATGTGAATCAATTAATTCGAATATTCCTGATAATATATATATATAGAGAGAGAGAGAGAGAGAGAGAGAGAGAGAGATTGAAATTTATGGTAAGAATAATGTATGGGGATGAGAGAGAGAGAGAGAGAGAGAGATTGAAATTTGGATTGGTAAGAATAATGTATGGGGATGCAGGTGGGTGGTTGTTTTTAATTGTAAAAGTGGGTTTGCATGGTCGTGTGTGATTGTGCAGAAAGCTGCACGGAAAACGTTAAACAATGTCTAGAAACATCAACAAAAAAAAAGGTTCTTTGCCAGAAAAAAAATGAAAAGTCTGGGAAAAAGGTGCCAACGTGGCTTACATGCACCGATGATAGGAGAATACAATCCGCTTATCTGCCGTCCTTAGATTTTTGTGGGTCCATTTATGATGTCAAAATTTTATTTTTTAATATCATATTTATATTTTATAACTAAATTTTATTTTTCAATGTCTTAGTTGTATTTTATATCTGACATGTATAATTTTTTTTTTTTTAAAGTTAATAATGACCAAATGCATTTTAGTAAGTTCCCTGTTTCCTATTAAATTTTGGTAGGTTATCGAATTTTTTTAAAAGAAATTTGTAACCTTATCCAATATTTATAGGGGCAACTTCTAAGTTTATGCTTTAATTTGACATATATATATTGATAAATAAAAAAGGGGTGAGAGTAAAGAAGAGCGCTCAATGATTACCCCGATAAGGCCTCACCGCTCGGATCATAAGGCTCTTAACCACGCTTAAAACACCTTTTGAGATCAGACCTAACTAGACTAACATAACGGCCAACCACCAAGTTTCAATAGAGACTCTAAGATTGAAACTCCTAACCTCAAGGTGAAAATTAAGGTTGGTATCCCACTTGACCACACTACTTGGTGGTAATTATTATACATATTCGGTATATAAATCTAACAGATCAAATTCGAATAAGTTATTAATTCAAAATAATATAAAAATTAGTTGAAATTGATAACCGTTAATATGATTCTTTTATAGAAAAAAAAAAGTCACAAAAAAGGGTATAAATGTGATGAATCAAAACCATGAAAGTGACGTGCATTAATGTGGAGTGTAAATAGTAACAAATCATCACTTTCTTTCTTCATTATTATGATGCATTTTACCATTCCATGGTGGCTATTAGAAAGATTTCCAATTCAAGCACTATCAAGTTATCGGATTATATCATACATCACCCTGAACAGGAAAGTGAGGTTCGAGCACAGTATGGGGAAAAAAATTGATAATATTTATTGGTTGAGATTTTATTTACTCAATTTCAATTAATAATAAAATATTTACTATATATGTAAAAAAGATCCATTATTTATAAGTGGAACCTTTATACATGCTTGATGATTAATTGAATAAAATTAAAAAATAGTGTAACCGAGAGAATTTAAATATGATATTTATATCGTCTTTCAGATGAGAATTACTAAATTTTAGTGCTTATATACTTTTATAGGGTACTTATGACAAAACTTATACTTTTATGGGTTTTTTTCCTTTTCATTTTTTGACAACAATGTTTCCCAAAGATGGACATCTATATGTACTTTTGGACTCAACATCTATGACATGTTTGCCGAATGATAGAATTGGCTAATTGATTTCATTCGATTCATACCAATGATATTAACCTGAGTACTTTTTTATTCTATTATTTGTGTTACAAGTTTGGATCAAGATTGAAATAAAGCATAAATCTATAGTTATATTAAATTTATATTTCAATTAAATAGCAATGTATGATTTTAAATTAAGAATGTCAAAAGAAATATTGAGGTTAAGAATGTGCATAATGTACAAATTTTATATGAATGTGTAGAACTAAGTTTTTAAGGGATATAAAGTCATTGTGTTTTTAATAATAAACTTACTAAAAATAATACTGCCTACCGCATGTTATTCATTATTACCTACTATTTGGTGTCAAATGATAGTAGTGAATCGGGTTAGGATTAATGAGAAATTAATATTGGGGTCACTATAACCTAATTCAAAATTGTTCAAATCCAATCTCTTGATACTCAAATCTAATATGTCACTAAAGATAGCGACTACGGGGGTCATTCTAGTTACAAAAGAAAATCATAGTGAAGATGGGTATAACTTTCATGCATTTTTGTTGTGCACTCTATCACATAGTGCCCCATATGCATGCACCCTAACTTCCACTTATTGTTCTTAGAATAGCTCCCTAATACTGCTTTTGCTTAATAATCGAGGATAGACGGAGGTATTTAGGTAAATATTTGACTTCCTTGAGTGAGTCATTTCTCTTCCTATCTCTTCGGATGGTAGGTCCGTATAGTAGTTAATTTTTTTCCTTTTAGATGAATTATTCATGTGGTAAGTAATTGTAATAGGTAGGTATTATAAAACTTTTGATTAGTCTTAGCTGATAAATTAGGTCGGTAACCGTTTAGAACATTTCATTTGAAGCATGACCTTGACATTAGGTTTTCGGGTCATCAATCACTGTCTACTTTAGCTCTTCAAAAACTCTAGACACTTTTTGAAAAGGTGCAGTGCCATGATCAGTCCTACATGGTACTTTAAGATATTTTTTAGTTGAACGGTCCTTTCTAAGTACCTTATTATAAGTCTTCGGTAATAGTTCACCCGTTAGTCCTGCGGGCGACGATGCTACGGGCCGCCCCATAAGCAGCCCAAAAGCCCACCGGATAATGTCGTGGTCTTTGCCAGCTGACTCAGCTTGCACTTTTGCGGTGGCCCTGTAGCCTGCCTTTCCATTCATGTTCCTAAGCACTTGAGCAGACAATCGTCATTGACTCATGGCTAGTTTTCTGACAAGTTCTGTCCCATTGAGCTTGGATGTGCTCAAATTCGGGGTTCTTTTTTAATAGAGTTAAGCTAAAGTTTTGATATTTAATGTATTTTTTTCACTTTCCTGCTGTAGATTAATTAATCACTATGAAGGATTACCTCGAGACTAGTATCATTCTTTATAAAAATTAGAGCATCGACAAGAGATGAACTAGAGAGGTTGTCCAACACATACAAATAACAAGCAGGAACTGTGTCGATTTATCCGAAAATAATACAAATTTTTTTCATTCTAAATACTACTACCTCTTTACTAAGCACAAGACTGTTTGAGAAAAAAAAAGCAACAGGAGAAGAACTATGAAGGGACATTGGGTAGTGCCGATGACCAGTTGATTTATCTAGCTCGAAATCTTTTCAGAAATGAAGAATGCTACGCTTATCAATTATTTTTATCAAATTCCCATAATTGCGTAGCAGTGAAATTGAAGGTAAGAAGCCTGACACTACCTGCCTCTTTTATACCACTTTCATACTTACTTTATTATTCCACCTTCCGTTTTAATGTCTAAAGCAGAAAAAGCAGGTAGGGAATTGAGGGTAGAGAAAAGAAAATGCTAAACCTTTATATATTAAATATGTCCAGCATTTCCACCCATACTGTAGCTCATTTCTTCAAGGATGATACCATTTAGAATTCCATCTGTCCTTTGATTTTTTTTTTCAACGATCAGGATGTCTTGGTTATTTTACACGTATCTCGACTAATTCTCTCTCCGGTCTGGTCAAAAACAGTCATCCACGCCGAAATTAGAATTTTCACGAGAGATAAATTCCTTACGATTTTTGTTCTAATGAATTGCCAAAATTCAGAATCTTGAGGTTCCATTTGAAATGTTTTGAATTCATCAACAATTTTACGCTCGTCCCATCTTTCTGAATCACCCCATTCACCTCAACGTGGATTATGTAAGAATAATTATAGATTTTAAGCACAAATTTATAATTAGAATTAAGAACTATTGCTACTGAATTTTTGGCTAAATCAACAAATATTAGAATTATGATGTGAACAAAATAATTTTAAGTGTTATAATTTGAAATAAAGCATGCAAATAATAGTTAGATCATATAACATGCAATATAAATAAACACATAAAATGTATAAACATGTAATTTATATAAATTAAATAAATTAATTTGGAATGAGTTGGTCTGCGAGTCCGAGAGGCGTGTGATCACTATCCTAAAGTAGTTGAGCCTCCGCACATGAGGGTATTGACGGACACTAACGACTCCAAGATCCAACCCAGATGTTCGCAGCAACACCTTCTTAATGGTCATGTCCATTGAAAAGTTGGAATGAACCTGACTTGAATCGAGTTGCCCAAAATAAAATAAATGATAATTGAAAAGTGGGCTGAGTGTAAAAGAAGGAATAGAAAAGGTAGGCCAAAGTGTAAAGGAAGGAATTGAAAAATAGGCCAAAATGTACCAATGATATGTGCCATTGGAAAGTCTACCGAGCAATAGGAAGTGTTGATTTCGTACACTACTAAAAATTTTCTCAAATCCACCTTTATATAGTCACTGTATAACCCATGGCTTTCAAAAATCACTCTAAATATTTGACTATTTGATTTGGCCCTTTGCCCGTAATGTGTAACTGATTTTTATTCTTTTTCATTGTTTGCCTTGAATAAAACTAATAATAATTATTATTTTTTAATATATACACTAAATAGGGAAAAAGAACTATAACTGAAATTCATAATTTAAACATAATTAAAAAAATTTAAAAACTTAATATTTATTTTTACAGATTATTCAATCAATCATATATATATATATATATTACTTTATTAGATATATAATGCTTGTGATTGTGTCATATCATGCGATGAATATGAGATAGTGCACATAAGTGATGTGCACATCATTATTCAAAATGCTTGGATTCTATTGCTTCATATATGAGAAATTCGAGAGCAAACATTTTTTTGTAGAATGTAATACGTTTTGTTGGCAATATGAATGGAGGTTCAACTATGATACTAAAAAATAATTTTTCAGCACAACGCCTCCACTTTTGTCCAATAAGAATGTTACACATATAATTTTTTTCTCGTTCACTATTTTTAAAATTTAATTATTTAATATAATACTAGTAATAAATTATCCAAACTAAAATTAACAGCACATAGTATGCACTTTACTCAACCACTTGTGCATTTTAATACAAAGCCAAAAACACAAGTGAGCTGTACAGCTAAGAATAACGTGCATCACCGCTGGTATTTGCCTACCAAAACAAATTCCCTCTCAAATGTTATTTAAATTTAATTTGTGAACTAAATAAATTATTACTATTGGATTGATAATAGACTCTAATGTTAGTTGAGACGCGCTATCGATTCAATTTTTGTGATGTATTAGGTCATCAAATAAGATTAATACATTGAGTTCAAATAATATTTTCTTAAAAAAAAAGTTAAACGAAATCTAATTCAATATAATACAACTCAAAGGGTTTTTTTTGAAACGGGGGAAATCTCTAATCTATAATCAAGTAAAGACGTGTTTTTGTCGCTCAATTTTGTGAATCTGAGTAGAACCTAAGGTAAATTCCGTGTGAATGAATTGGTTTCTCAATTCATACATCACTTAAATCAAGACTTGCACTTTAATAGAGATTCAAATCTCCACTAAAAGACTTGGATGGTTGTATACGGTTTGTCTAAATAACTAAAATTTGTCCTACCAACTAAATACGTTTTTTATCGTTTAATAGACTTGAATTATTAACTTCAAAAAAATAAAATCTTCCCAAAATAAAAAATACTATTACACCAAATTTCCGTTGCTCTCAGCCACTCGTACCTCCCACTTGACAATTACAAAAGATAATGGAACCGCTGTAAGTAAAGAAGATTTATGGAGACATAATCAATACACATCACCACGAAGGGTGGTCTAATGGGGTACCAGCCTTACTCCTCACCTTGAGGTTGGGAGTTCGAGTTTTGGAATTTCTATTGGAGTTTGGTGGTTGGCCGCTATACTGGTCTAGTTAGGTTTGGTCCCGATAGGTGTTCCGGGCACGGTCAGAAACCTCATGCTCTCACCAGTGAAAGCCTATCGGATAGTCGCACCTCGTGATCTCACCAGTAAAGGCCTATCGGGTAGTCGTTGGGCACTCATATTTACCCCCCTTTCATATTAATCAAAAAAAAATAAAATCAATACACATCTAACCATGGATATAAGATAGATCCACATGCTTGGTATACTTTTTCTTCCACTAAAATATTATAAACAAAAAGAAAAAGGAACTTATAAAGAGAGTAAAAACAAAATGCTTATTATTAATTTAGACAAAAGAAGCTTCCTTTTCAATAAAAAATTAGAGCAACATCGTGTGTATAAATAGATGCATATATCCATATGGAAGAATATAAATTTGTCTCCTTTTTTTCACCCCTAACATTTATGTATTTTGTACCAGCGTACGTTGAATATAAATTACATAAACAAACTACATTAATAATCTCTATTTTTAATATGAGTGCCCTGTATCTTGAAACTTATTCATTGATTCTTTCAATTCGTTATGCTTTTATAAATATTTAAAATATATAACAAATGTGGGATGGACTGTCATCGTTTTAAGACTCGTTGTTTCAGATTTGATTTCCTTATAATTTCTTAAGAATTAGAAGATTTTTTCAGTTCTCTTTGAATGATCGGGATCTATACATATAAACAGATTTAACTGATACAATTTTTTTTTAAAATTTTAAAAATTCAAAATTTACTTAATCTATTGGTAGAGACAAATCTTCATCATTCAAAAGAGAATTAAAAGATCTTTTAACAATTTAGTTTTTTTTGTCTTAATTAAGTTATTTCATTAATTGTTATCGTGACATTAATGGGAGACTAACTCACTCTGATCGATTTTAAAATGGACCCATAAATTTAATTGAGAAAAAATTAATAATTAGGTGACTAAATTGTAAAAGTTTAGGAAAACAAAGCGACCAACTAGGATGAAAGAGAAACCGGTTGTCCCAGTTTCCGGTTCAGGTGAGCTTTTGAAACTGTAAGATGCCAATGCCCGGTCTGGACTTCGCTGCAACGGACTTCAAACTTCCTTCTTCCTCGGTGTTTCTCCCAACAGGTCTCTCTCTCTCTCTCTCTCTCTCTCTCCTCATATTCATACGAGTGATTGGAAAAGGAAAATGTGTGTTCTGTATTGGTAAAGCAATGGACTTTGTAAATAAATCTGGTTTTACATGTTTAATGTGGACTTTTTTGGTTGGTATTCTATGCTTCAACTTGAATTTATTTTATTTTATTTTTTAACATTTTGGGTTATTTCTTGTACGCAGAATTATGGGTTGCGTCGAAATTTCAGAATATTTGATTTTGAATATGAAGATCATTTGTGTGATGTGCTGAGATTGAATTTGTTTGAGACCAACCGGAAAAATGGGTTGTTTCTAGATTTTTCTAATAACCTCTCTCTCTCTCACGCACACACACATACATGCGTCTTCTTATACCCTGAAATTCAAGCAAAATTTGAACTCTGTTTCATTTTCCAGTGTAGGTCTGGGCACGACGCAAGAAAGTTTAGGACATATATTTATAATCCGTCGTGTCCATCAGAGAAATTTAAGCACTTGAGGTGAGAAACTAATTTTGGGTTTTTGAACTGGAATATATTCTTCAGAAGTTGTGTCTATTTAGACATGAATACAAGTTACGGCATGAGAATTTAGCTCACCCAGTTGCTAGAATTTTTTTTGGAGAATGGGAGAGGGTGATATTTAACAATAATGGAATGCAAGTGAGGTTTTTGATTGGTATTGGTGGCTGTGTGGTATGGACTTAGCCAAGAGTGACAATATGATTGATCCTCCTATTCAACCCTGCAACTGTTACAAAGTTACAAACTTGACCCAAACGATTTTGGACTCAACTCAAACCTCAAAATTTAAAGATGAATACATTCTTGGAGAGCAATTGGGATGGGGGCAGTTTGGCATAATTAGATCATGCTCGAATAAGTCCACTGGTGAAGTCTTGGCTTGCAAGTCCATCGCTAAAGAAAGATTAGTCACCTCAGAGGATGTGCGCAGCATCAAGCTTGAGATTGAAATAATGACTAGGTTGTCTGGGCACCCAAATGTGGTGGATCTCAAGGCAGTTTATGAGGACGAAGACTATGTCCATCTTCTGATGGAGCTTTGTGAGGGTGGGGAACTTTTCCATCGGATTGAGAAGCATGGGGGGTTCTATGAGGCTCAGGCTCGAGTTCTTTTTAGGCAGCTGATGGAAGTGATTATGTATTGTCATGACAGAGGAATTGTTCACAGAGATTTGAAGCCAGAAAATATCCTCTTGACTGCAAAATCATCCTCCTCACCCATCAAATTAGCAGACTTCGGTCTTGCAACCTATATCAAACCCGGTAAGCTTTTATCCATGTTTGTTTTTCTCCAAAAAAAACCATATTTTTTTGGTAGTCCTGTCTTAATTTTCATTGTAACCATAAGCATGCCAATTAATACTGTTTTCTTAATCACATGCAATAGTATATGTTTTAAATTAAGTGTTTAAATTCTTGTATACATTTTTTGTATGGCCAGCATAAGCACAATGGGTTTGTATCAACAGGGAAAAATTTGTGTGGAACTGTTGGGAGTCCCTTTTATATAGCTCCTGAGGTTCTGGTAGGAGGTTATGACCAGGCAGCAGATGTGTGGAGTGCTGGGGTTATTCTTTACATTCTCCTCAGTGGATTGCCTCCTTTTTGGGGGAAGACCAAATCGAAGATCTTTGATGCTGTTAGGGCTGCAGATCTGCGGTTCCCTCCAGATTGTTGGGATCACATATCTTCATCTGCCAAGGACTTGATATCTGGAATGCTATGTGTAGATCCTTCCAAACGGCTCACTGCTACGCAGGTTCTTGGTATGTTGATTGTATAAATGTTTACTTTATATTATTTCTTTGTTAGTTTCTACACATCTGTTTAGTATCTAAGAAGCTCAAATTGTGATTGTGCATGGTTGTCTTGCTGATCAAGAAGCTGTTCAAACATTCCACAGCTTATTGCATGAATGGTCTAGCAGTAGAAGAGGACATTGTCCTTGATAAGTTGTTGGGAACTTCCAGTTGTAATGGGCATGTTCTGACCAAGCACATAGTGGTTAGGCCATCAGGCTCATCTAAATTATGCTGCCTTGCACTTTCCCATCCTTTGACCTTTTTGGTTGTCCATCTCTCAACCGTTTGGCTGATGCCTACAATTTGAGTGTTGTTGGTGGTTAGTACTGATAACGCTTAAGCTCATTTTCATCGCCACTGCAAAAGTATAAAATCACTATTTATGCTTTTGACATGACTCAAATTGAAATGCTTGTATCAGATGCATAATGAGATATGCATGGGTCCAAATTCTGTTGTAATAGGAGTAAATGTCCTTGTACAGCTCACTTCTGGATGAAGGATCTAGCACAAGTAGCTCGAGAACCACGCGAACACATTAAGCTTCAATGTAATCAACTGGAAGCAGGTGGTGGTTCTTTTGCTACCCCACTCAATAGTAGAAATCAGGACTACAGCTTTGATGATGGATCACCCGCAGTTGATACCAATGTGGAGAATTCTCCTGCATTCACCTGCAGATCATCGTTTTCTTCTTTCCTGGTGGACCCGAGCACACCATGCTCGATATCTGGATGCTGTTCTTTCAACAGCTGCTGTGAAACAAATGTGCCAGAGTTCTCGTCTCCAGTTCCTTCAATGCTGAGCTTTACCTTCTTCAGTCCAATTTCTGCTGATGAGCAAGTCAGTGGCTCATTGAGTGAAAAATCCAAAATATCAACACTGGATCGAGGTATTGAAAATATCCTACATATCTCTTCCATATGTTTTAATGAAAACCAAATCAATCAAAAAAACTGTTCCAATGCTAGTGGTTGGTGAGTCACTAGTGATAATGAGGAACATTCTACTGTAAGTCATTGACACACATGATATGAATAAAGCAAGCATAATGGGCATTGAATCCGACCCTTGTTCTTGGATTGAACTGGTTTTCTATTTGACATACAGGTTCAAGCTTGAGAACGTTATTTGTGTTGCCAGATCCTTCGGTATTAATTAGACATAAGCTAGGAGACATGGAACATGGGACAGAACTTCGCAGAGGAGAAGAAACAAGTGGATCTAAGGTTGCAGGTATCAACAGCAAAAGAAATCACACAATTGGGCATGGCGAGCTCGATCAGCTTAATCTCAGAGTGACTGAAGCAGTTATTCGCTGGGCATCCTGCACTCATATCCCTAGTGCCCCTTCTCTTAGATCTTCCCTTGTGTGGTAGAAGAATGGAATTTCAAACTAATTATTAGAGAAATGAAAGTCTTGGTTTGAAGAGTGTGCATGTCTTTGGTCCTTTTGGGTTTGATTAGAGTATAATTCACCGTTGTAGTTGCACAATTCTTAGTCATTGAAAAGCATCGATGGTTCTGCTCTCTGACCATCGAATGAAGATCCTACCATGATTCTTTCTCTGCAACTGAACCATGGCGAGCTTGATTTCACAATAATAACACGGTATCATTGTTACATCGAATACTTTCCCGTGATTTGAACCGATCAATCCAGAAATAAGCTGAATGTGACAAATTTTTTATTTGATAATTAGACAGATTTTCAATGTTTGGGTTAGATTTAGATAAGAGATTTCAGTCCAATATAATAAATTTGATAAAATGTAACTTGAGTATCATTTTTTTAGTACAACTTGAATTTGACCTGAACTAGTGAATTCAGATTCAACCCAAATTATATTATCCTAAGTTCTAACTAGAATAAAATCTGAGTAATTGTCAGCTTGCCCAAATTTCACCCTAATTTTCTTGGATTTTTTGGGATAGATGCGTACGATGGTGAGAAGATGCCCGAGCACAAAGCACATTCCATGTAATGCTCAAAATGCAAGTAGAAATCACAAGCTACAAGTACATCACCACCCACCATTTCAAGGAATCACAGAGGAGACTCTTCAAATGCACATTGTTTCAGTTAACTCAGTCTTTCTCTAACAATGATAAACACAATTCCATTATAGTATTTGAAATCAAATCTTAAAATCCCATTGCTAAAGTACGTAAATTAAAAAAAAAAAAAAAAAACCACTAGCTATTTCTGCTCTTTTGCTTTGCATCACTCTGCAAAAGGTACAGGCGAAAAAGAAAAGAAGGAAAAAAAAAGAACTAATTAGGAACTTGTAGCCTGCTTGATTTTACTAATGGGCTTATTTCCTCATATTCTTCATCTTCTTTATTTTCTGTTGGTTTCTTTTCTTCTTTGAGGTAAGATTTTGCGTTCCTTCGATTGGAGGCGGCATTTGATAATGGAATCCGATTGGAGGCTTTGTCGTCAGGCAGCATCTTCATGATGATTCCCATTGCAATGAGCAGTAGCCCAGACCCATGCTGTTCGGTTAGTGGCTTTGTAAATATCAAGTAGGACAACAGCAAAGTAACAGCCTTCCTTGCAGTTGTGATCTACATGCCGATATCAATCAATATCCAGTAGTTAAAATATCAAAGTGAAGACAAAGACAGTAACGAAGGCAATGTAATTACCATGGCAGTGGTGGCAGCCCCAAAAATAGCTATAAGCGATAAAACAGAAACTTGACCAACGAAAGTAGCCATGGCTTCAAATACCAACACACCGTACACATAAGGATGCTGAAAATGCAATAGCAAAGTGACTATCAGCAGAATTTTAACAGAGAACCAATGAATGAAATAAAAAAACAGCACCCAAGAAGAGAGGGGCAATAAGTAAATCGAGTCCACATCGATAAAAATGGTTATTCCTAATAGCTTTTGTTTTTGTAACAAGAGAAGTGGAAACAGTCCCAGCATTTATTTTATTCTGCATTCGCTTTGTCTCTTTTATTTTTGTGCGCATATAGCAAAGAAAGAACAAATATTATATTTCCTTTCTGGCCCAATAAAAAACCCCCTGTTTCCAGAGGTATAAGTTATAACTAATAGGTAGTTGTGGGAAAAAAAAAAAAGCAAGAAAAGACAGAAGGACGACACATGGAAACACATCATTGGCTGCTGGTCTGGAGAAGACTTTTACTTGCTTGAGGCATTATTTTATCGTTATTTAGCAAATAATTTATTCCAATGTCTAACTGGAAAGGAAGGACAATCTTACAAATGTTTGTAAACTAATGAAGTAGATGGTCAACTACCAAATCATTGACTTCTCCTAAGAAATAATCAAGGTGCACATGGTGGGTACGTTACCCATTGCTTAACGCGAAACTTAGGTCCCATACAAGTTTTAAAATTTTGAATAACATAATGAAAAAGGGGAGACAATGAAATGGGGTAAGAAATAAGGGAAATGCCTTACCTGTGAACAAGAATTCCAAGCCTTGAACAATTCCCCTGTTAGTACCATGGGTGGAATTAGAAAAGGCAAGCCAACCACTGTGGAGCAGAACAGCATCTCCATCTGTAAGAATCAAAATCATATTAATAAACACAAAATGAAGTGCACTTTTGTCGTGAATTTTCGGTCATGCACCTTTGATCGACAGATAATGCTAGAAAACAAGGATCACCTGTGTTGTTTCAGGATTCATGGTGAAAATTGCTTCCTGCAAATTGCCCAGAAAGGAATCCATGACTAAAGCACCCATAATCATCACAACACCAATGACGCTGAAATTCGGAGAAGTATTGGCATCTGCCAGGGTGAAAAGAATCAACCCGACAACTAGAAGCAGGGCCGACAGATATTCATGTGCAGGGTATTTTCTTCTCAAGCCAGGGATGAAGGCACCCATTACCATGACAGGTAGTACCTACAATTACACAATCACAGTAGCTCGTAACTAATTAAGGAGATGCTCTTTAAACAAATAAAAGCTTCCTACGTCAAAAGGTCAACCAATTTCAACTGGCAGTAAAAATTAAAAAATTATAGGTCAACAAGAAAAATTCACAATGCTTTGATTATTCTCATAACATAGAATAAAGTAATTAAACAATATATTAACAAAACTAGAACAAGAGTTGTATGAAGGAGAGCTGGTCTAATTTCAACATTTGAAAAAGTCGCAATGAAGACCGAATCTAAACTATTTTTTGGTGTATACCTTTGTGGATTTGAACATAATCTGAGCTGGATAGTTGAGAAATGCTAATGATCCCTTTGTTAACCCATGAGAACCCATAAGAACAGCAGAAAGCTTCACGTATGTTTTCCATGGATTCACCATTTGCTTCATGGTGAAACCCTGTAAGTATATGAGTACCAAATACACAAAGCCTTGCACAAATGTAAAATACCATCCATAGCTGAAAAAAAAAAGTGAACAGAATGTATACAGATGAATTATACCATACAATTTAAATGACAAACATATTTAGAAAAATACAATCTGGCAGACCTGAATTGAAGCCGATTATACACATACTCCTGCAATCATAAACATCAAATTATATAGTTAATCAACCCCATAACTCCATGTTGAACAATTGACCAAATTATATACCAAAACAGCTTAACAGGACAAGTCACAACTAATGTAACAGTGCACCAAAACAGACAAGGAACAATTCGAAGCTGTAGCTTCGAAGGCATTTCTAAAAGTCCTCGCCATTGAATCAGTCAAGCAGCGGCTAATTATTCTCATGTAACAATGAAACACAATCTCACTCGAACCAGGAAATTGGAAGAAATCCCATAACAGGGTAATCAAAAGAAAGTTTGAAGACATACAAAATCGAATTGACCCAACATTTTTTTCATTAAAATTCTTCATCAAACGAAGATGGCAGAAACAGCTATATCAAATCAAGAAGCACCCATTTTCTTTAAAGGATAAACAATTAAATTTATTCCCAAACTGCACAATACACATGCGTATATATCGACAAAGTATGATATTACATAACAGAGAGACACAAACAAACCTCGCAAACGCCATTCACGAGATAGCCAAAAAAGAACCCAGAAGAGCATATTAGGAATTGTTGCCATCTGGGTCGATCAGTTAGAGAAATCCCAAACAGAGATCTAGCTTGATCTTCGCCCTTCATCTCTCGCTGTCTCTCAAACCCTGATCACCCGACAGTTTGAAACAGAAGAAAAATCGACAGATTAACGGACTGGTCTGTGCTACCGTTGCATGGCACTGTGTACCGAAACAGAGAACGAGAGGGAGGTGCAAAAAAAGCGAATGGATTTGATGACATTCACACGAAAGGCATAAGAATTCGAGTAGACTTATGAGATACACTTTCTCTCCTTTTATTGTGACGCAACACCTATTCACATCACCATGTGGAGAGATAGAGATAGAGAGAGAGGCTTGAAAGCAGGAGGGTTTTAGGTGATGAAAAAGATGCTCATGAATCAACAACAATTTTGACTTTCTCGAGAAATTATTTTCTTGACACGTTAGAACGGGTATTGGTCAAATTATAGAATAAAGCTAAACTAACTAAAAATAGATGAAAAATTAAAACTAAATAATTTTATTATTGTTATAATGATAGTTTTAATTTTACTTTAATTTATTTAAAATTATTTTGTTTTTTGTTATAAGGCGTTTATTCATGGTTTCACGAGTTCGGATATTGATCATTGTAGTTTAAGTGAGTTTAGAATAGAATTGTTCACCCAAGCTAACGACTAAAAATTTTTAGATATTATGCTCCGAACAGATGATTTGCGGAAGTTTATATTTTTTGGCCGATCCTATCCGATTGAGGATAATGTTTTGACCTAAATTTCGTCCAAAATATTGGCTTGAAAGATCGGGTAGGAATGTGAAATGCATCACGAATTTTAAAATTTTAAGTTATTAATTTTTGGGTCATTTTTATAAACTCAATTACTAAATTTTTTGACTACTTTTACGACTAGACTATTAAAATATAATATATAGATATGTAAACCAACACAATAAACTAAAAAAAAACTGATTAATATGTACCATAAATAAAACATATCACAAGTCATATGCTTCCTTAACAACGTTTTTTATAACAAACAAAATAACATTGTTTTATAAAACACATTATTTAAAAAAAAAATTAAATATACATGTGGATCAGGTAGGAATGCAAAAAAATTATGAGTATTTTGAATTTTAACCCGACATTTATGAAATACTAAAAAAATATTCTATTAGTCGACTGAAAAAATATGAAAGTCAAATTATCGAGCAAGATAGAATTTTGAACACCCCCTAGTTTATAACATGTCTAGTGAGAAATAAGGGTTGCTGATTCTTATACTCTGTTTAATATGAATGATGGAAAGTAAGAGGGATACACTTTCAATATATTTTTCTTTCTTTACGTTTGGTAAGATAGATGAAAAATAAAAATAATTAATTTTTTTTTGTGCTTGGTAAGATGGAAAAATATTTTTTTAATTTTATTTTTAATTTTTTTAATATATAAATACATATTTTTTCATTGTATTTATATATGCAATTAATATATACATAATATATGTATATATCAAAAGATATATTTATATAATAAAACACAATACAATACAATTCAAATATCTTTTTAAATTTTGCTTTAAAATTAATTTAACGACTAATATTAACACCCCAAATTTAATAGAAAAAATAAACCCCTAAGAGTACGTTTGTGAAAACTTTTTAAAAGTTCTTATGTGACTTATAACTTTAAGTACTTTAAAAAAAAAAAATATAGTGTTTGGAACTATTCTACCGACACCCCCACCCCCATCGCCCCTCCTTCATCACCACAACCATCACTATCGTCGACCTACCACTACAACTACACCAATCGCCCCACCACCACAAGTACTGTCGCTACCCTACCACCACTACCACACCCATCACTTTACCACACCCATCACTTTACCACTACCATCCAAACCATTTTTGCCACCCCCACTACCCCCATCACCATCACCATCTCTACCACTTTTTCCACAACAACCACCCCCGTCATTGCTGTTGCAATCGTTATCGGACACCTCATCACCACTGCACTACCATCATCATTCGTACTACTTCTCTCTCCCCCCACCATTACCACTGCCGTCATCTTATCACCATCGCCACTATCCCACCGTCACTCCTACCACCACCACCACTGCCATCACTATTGCCACTTACAGTTGCCACTATCATAATCGATTGTCGTCATCTATCACAACCATCACTGTCTTTAACCACCACCACTGTCGCCTAACACCACTTTCACTACAATCGGTGCTTAAATTATTTTCTCGCTCCTCTATTTTTATAATTTAATTTTGGGTGTGAATACAAATATGTTTATTGTTGACCATTTTTTTTTATTATTTTGTGCCTTCAGGCACAAGAAATAACTATTAGACAAATAAGATACATTTCAACATAAATAATTAACTTTTCATCCACTTTCTTTCTAATTTTCGAGAGATTGATTTTGATGAATTAGAAGAAAAGCTCATCTATCCACTTTTTCATCATTCTTATTTTCTTCCTTACCAAACATGATGTTTTATCTATCTCTCTAACTTTTCATCATTTTATTTTTTTATCGTACCAAATAAAGAGATTAGGAGGCATGAGAAGTGATAAACCTGAAACCTCCGCATTACCAAATTGTTAGACTCAACTACTGAACCATCCTAAGAATTTTTAAAATTTAAAGTTAACTATTATCTCATCTGGTATCTTATTTAAAATTTATGTTTGATTTGCAATACTCCAAAATAAATACGTTACCCTATATTGTATCCACGTTCTAATTTTAATTGCAATAAAGAAAAAAAATGATAATTTATAGTTTACACTTTTAAAATATACACATAATTTTTATTAGATTATTGAAGTTTCAATTTATACAGTTACATCCTTAAAATTTTAATCGAGTTTCAATTTAGTCATTCTATACAATTATATAAATTTATTCCAACAAAAAAATGTCGCTAGAGTTGTCCATAAAATATATATTTATCTAGTAAAAAATATTTCTCTTAAATATATCGATATTTCTCACTTTATCTCACAATATCTCTCAAATTATCATTCTATTTTTTTTTTTGCAAAATCAAATGAAAAAAGTAAGGCCTTCTACCCTACATATAACATATTTTTCACTAGCCAAATATACATGTAATAACTAAATTCATATTCAAGTAAAATTTTAAGGATTTGATTGTTACAATTGAAACTTCAAAAATCAAATAGAAATAAAGAGTTCAAAGGTTGGGTAAAAAAAGTTTAGCTAATGGAGATATCTTATAGGAACGAGTAATTGGGGCTGATAGTCAAATGATCTCGAACGAATTTGAGTTGAGTTTAAAAAATCTTATTTTTTTAATTGAGTCTAAAAAATTGTTTAAGTTCGGTTCATTTTGAAAATGAGCCAAGCTTAAATGAACCTAAAATGAGCTGAACCCGAATATTTGCACATAAACGAATCAAGTTTGTCGAGTTCGAATCGAATTTGTCGAGCTTATTTTCCAAATAAGAGGCTTGTTTTCCTAAAATGGCTTCCCTCTTTACTAAGAGGCTTCCATGCATAGCCTTTCTTTTGTTGAGTTGCAACAGGATAAAGGAAACCGATTGATAAACTTGCATGAGATTGGCTATTCACTCACTTTTTTCTATTAATTTGCAGCGGCGATAACAACCCTACTAATAACCCGTAAATCATGCCAAACTAAAACGGATCAATATTCGAATGAAACGGATTCGAATCTCTCTTAGAATAGTTTTCATGCAGATCGAGTAACTCACATTAACTACACTAGATACATTTTTTTTTATTATTCTATCTTCTGATCGACTGGATTGGTTACCCCCAACCAACTAAAAACACCCCACCCCAAAAAAAAAACAGAGAGAGAGGCAGAACTAGCGTATGGGCTTCCGGATATGGCTTGGCTGCTTGTTAAACTAAACAGATGGATTGTGGACCATAGAGAAGGGGCTTGTTGTTTAAGGCTTATGCTGGGTCATTTTTAACTCAAGCCTGCTTCACCTCACTGAACTTCATACTTCTGTACAAGCCCATTGATTTTATCTGGACAGAGTATGTAGGTGTTTTTGGGCCTCACGTTGGTCGGAGTGGTAATGCTCCAGATCTATACCTGTTGGTGCTGGATTCGACTCCTTCACCTTTCTTCGATTTCTTATTTTTTCCCGATACATTAAAGAGGACCCGAAGCCGAGTGTGTAGAACCCATTCACCCGTATTGATACTTTATCTGAAGTTTGCATAACATATTTTAAGATAAATAGCAGGATAAGGTATGCCATGGCTGCCCTATTGGCAAATATGAAATCATTTAAAGATATCCATCGTAAATATAGATTATGATATAATTAAATATGATTTTTTGTTTGTTCTTAGTTTAATGGTCAAGGATATCTAGACTAGTTTATGCGCATTTCGAATAATCTCATCCCTGGTCCGGTCAAAAGTAAACCATTCACACCGAAAATAAGGTATTTATGAGCGATAAATTCCTTATGATTTGACCTCAAAAAATTATCAAAATTGATTTAGTTTCATGTAATCAATCAATAATAAATCCATGTAGCTGCTTCAGCTTTTAGTTGTCCCTCCATTTCCAACAAAAACAAGAGGAAACAATTTATTTTATTTTATTTGTGTTCTGGGGATGAAAAAAAAATAAAATAAAATAATATCACATAAAAACACAAATTCCTAAATATGTTGTTGTCGTCAAGACCATTGCTGTAAGAACCATTCAAAAGAATGATTCTGATGATTAGCATCCCAAAAAAAGAAAAGTAAAAGTAAGAATTAATAATCATAGACACTAAACTATACATAAGAACATAATTATTTAGGTGATTGAGGGGGACATCTTTTAGGAACCATCAACAGCTCTGTTGACACCTCCCAGTCCCAGCATATATTATAAACACATGAGAGAGAGAGAGAGAGAGAGAGAGAGAGTTGGAATGTATATATACACACACACATATATGCATAAGTATATTATTGTGTGGACCACATTGGATGCTTTCTTGGTTGTTTAGAGTTGTTTTGGGAACCAAATCATTCAAGTTAAATGCACCTACGCATAACAAATTCTATAATCATAGTCTTCTTTTCCTTTGAAGTAATATATATAGTTATTTGTTTTAGTGGGTAGCTGAAGTTCTAGACATAAACAATTCTGTGTCTTCTGTAATATTAATTATAATAATTAATCTGCATCTTATTGGCCATTTTTGGAATGAAAGCATAAGATTTGTCTTTGCTTTCCAAATTTAGAAAGCAATATAAAAATATTTCATTCTTAAAATAATTCTGCAGAGATATACAAAAAGGTATTCAGTGAAAGATATTCAAATAGAAGGCTTTAAAGTAATATTTCTCTCCAAGAAGTAACAACACTTTTTCCAAAAGGATTTCATTCTTATCGTATTACAATATTTTTGAGAGCGAGTGTTGGCTCAATGGTTAGGCTACTTCATTAAGATATTTTTGTCAAATAATTATTTCGTGAACACATCATCTCCACACACTAGATATAGTAAGGTTATGTGTGTATTATACGCTCCTCGAATTCTACAGTGATGGAAGTCTTATGAACGATTACCCTTTAGATCGGTTTGAAAGTTCTCATGTAAAATTAGTAAGGTCACTGTGATGGCTGGACTTAATAGCTAAACTTTTCAGGGGAGATTTGCAGTGCTTCAGCCAGCTAAACATCTTTACAAGAACACCATATTGCCAAAAAATTTAAATAGATGTGTTAATTCCATCCAAGGTGAATATAGTACCAGAAACATGCATAAACAAGTTCAAGGTGAAGTATCAAACTTCCCGTGTAATCCCTATATTACCCAATGTGATTGTGAAATATTAGTACGATTGATCAAACTAAAAGATCTAGTTGGTTAAATTAATTTACACTATAATTAGTAAGGATACAAATTTGTTATCCTAGCACTTAATTCGCTAGCTTAGTTGCAGGTGGCCATGCCAAGTAAACATATTTTTATTTTTTTGACGAAATTATTTTTTAAAAACGTGTAACCAAAATTCCCTATTTGACCCATCTTGGATTTGCAGGCCCCACCATATCACCATCCTGTAATAATACCTAGTGAGGAAGAGAAGGGGCAGGGGGGGCTATGTCGGCCACAATTATGTAGTGATAGTCAAACTTTGTTTTATCATTCAAAGAAAAAAAAATTTCGGCTTCTGATATATTATGAGATTCTGTATCAGACAAAGCCCCCCACCCCACCAAAGACACCTTTTCTATTTGATTTTCATGAACCAAAAAGTAGCAGAGCACACTAAAACAACTTTCAACAACGATGTCCCATGGCCGACATCTCTCCCTGTTTCTTTCTCTCTCTCTCTCTCATGAAAGATCGTGATGACTTGTCTCACCATTTCTAAGACCTTAAGAGGTTCAAAAACAACTTGGCAACGACAAGCTAATCTCTGTATCGGCTTTCTATATTTCCGGCACAGTAAAATATGACAGAAGTTCATGAAGACTATGGTTTGTGAAAACAATTTAAATTTGATTGAACATTCTTAGCAAGTGGCAATTTTCCGAAACTCTTTAAATTCAATCCAAGCCTTTGTTTTTTTTATTAAAAAAATCCAGGGCATGCATGACAACGTCAATTATAATCTTTTTAAAAAATGATAGGTGAAGGTTACCCATAATTAATGCAAAGTTCTTACAATGATATTCATCATGTGCTGTTCTTTTTAAATACTACTAGAGGTCCTGCACATGATTACCTCTATAAATATGATCATAAAAGAGTGAGGTAGGAAGAGAGAAAAGAGTTTGAAAGTGTCGAGAAATCAAGAAAGAGTTAGGCAATTCATAGGAGTGAAAAAAAACTATGATTTGTTATTTGAAAAAAATGGAGGGAAATAATGACATCTCTTTTTATCAATGGTGGTAATTAAATGGAGTTAAAGAGGGAATTACAAGTAGCTAGTTATTTAAGAAGAAATGAATGATAGTACATAAATTTTAAAAGTAGTCGCCAAATGACGCGCTCTCCCTTTATATAATATATAATTGTTAACCTACAAACTAATCAAAGAATTTAAGTTGTTAAAGAAATTCAAAAGCATGACCTACTCTACTCTATATCATGTTAAACAATTATTTCCTCATAAACTTAACTTTTAAGGTATTAGAGAGCATTCAAATTAATCTGTTTGTCCAATGTTACATAGTCTCCACACATGAAACTTTTTTTGTTTGTATAAGTGAAGAAAAATGAAACTTAGTTGACGGACGGAGGAGTCAATATATACACATTTGTACCAAATTAATGTAAAAGGGCAGGTTATGTTGACTCACTGAAGAGTAGATGATCATTTTGAAATGCACTTCAGATGGAAAGAGCACATGGCGTTTAGTAATTGCTGTATCCAGAAAGAGAAATGTTGATTTTATTCTCCTAGTTCACTAGGCACCATCATTCTTAAAACAAAGCACACATTTGCATTCAAGAAATGATTTAGTATAGTTTGAATTCAACCTCGCGCTTCATGACTTCTCTCTCTCTCGTAGAAATTGCTATGCCACTCATCTAACTTTTACATTTATAAGCATATCCACCCTATAGAACAGTATAAAATCTTCCTAATGTCAAGCTCAATGGAAAAGGGATCCAATTCATAAAAGTGACATTTCCATTGTCAATCAATTAACACAGGCCATGCAATGCTACCCTACAGTTGTTTCTGTATTTTTTACTAAATTTTTAAAATTTTCAAGCCCGAATTTGCATGGATAACTATTGCAGGACCTGTACTTCTTAGGTAGAGATCGATTCTTAGTTTTATAGCAACTTGGTGTTTCCAAAACGACATCCAATTGGATTAAAAATTATGTCGTTGTGAGTCCAATACTTGGGTCATTTTGGGAGGAGTTCCCCCGACGAACAGGAGAGGATCTCTACACCTACTTTTCATCCTAGCTAAGTTCCAGAATCTTTCTTTTCTTGGCATCAAGAAAGTTTCATTTTCAAGCAAGAGTGGACATCGATAATGAACCCCTAAGATCTTGTTAATGATTTCTTGGGTGAAGTTTGAATTGTTAAGCCATCCAAGATGGTGAAGATTTCAACTGTATGTTTGCAAGAAGTTACAGTGGTATACACTGAAGAACCTATTGAACCTGGCCATGTTTGCGCCCGCCCCGGTGGTTGAATATAAAGAATTTTTTTTTTTAAGTTAAACCCATTTAAGGCAAATTTTATTAATAACAAAATTATAAAGAGAGGAGAGGAGAGGATATAAACCTTTCCCCTTACATAATAAAAGAACTTTAAATACAAAATAAAATCTTATCAATGACTTCAAACGTTACATTTTACGGTCAACGAAGAGTTCAGAGAATATGAGCCAGTTGTCAGTCTAGCAGAAAGTTAGATGAACAGTATCGTGAACAGTACTGGACAGCTGAATATTAATCTGCTGTTTTTTTCGAATAACCCAGTTGAAAGACAATAATAAGAATACTGAAAGACAGAATGCTGAAATAGTAATAGTTGCTGGAGACCTCGTCAAGTAGAACCAATCCATAAAAAATTAATAATATTTAAATTCATAGGATTTCTTTGGCTTTGGCAACTTGAATGTTCTTGATCTTGTCATAATTATAGGTTTGACTTTATCAAGTGTCAAAGCCAAAGCAGACAACTTCTCATCTTTTCTCTTCTTTTTTTTTGCATCTCAACCTTATTGCATATTGATAATAACTTTTTAGAAGATGTTATAAAAGAATTGAAATTATTTTCTTGAACTACTGGTGCCTCCTTTCTATTAGTGTAAAACCCCTTGATTGCTCATGAAGGGAAGACCTCTTAACATAGTCATCTTTTGAATAAACTCTTTTTAGCTTCAAGGCTTTTTGAATCTCCTCCACTGACATGCTTGAAATTTTCTCTCCTTCACTATGAATATTTTTATGGACTACTGCCATCATTTCTGGAGTAATGGACTTTGATTTCTCCCCCCCCCTCCACTCTTAAGTATTCAAAATCTTACTTATAGTGACCATAATCCAACAAGGAAGAGCACTCGTCTATCCCATCGTCTGAGACATCTTCAAAAGAAATAAAAAATTCATTTTCATCCTCCTCATCATTTAAATTAACAAACTTATATGCAGCAGAATCATAGCCTGATGTAACCTGATTTCCGTTAATTCTTGATCAGTGGGATTGATTTTATTTACAATTTGCGATTCTTAGATTTCTGAGTGCTGGTTGATGTTCATAAGATTTGTTCATGATCCTCTTTTTCTAGTATCGAAGTTGACTTAGACAATGGTGGATTCTCTGAATCTTTGGCCTGAGGTTGGTTTCATTGTTCTGATCAGGAGGATTGACATCATTGTTTTGATCAAAAGGATTGGCTACATTATTCTGATTAGAGGGTGTATCACATGCCGTAGGATTCTCAGAATCTATCAGCTGCACACTTTCCTTTGAAGGAATATACTTTCCATGCTGCACTATTTTGTCTTTACTCGAATGATCACCCTTTTCCAATCTTGTAAAAGATTTCTTTTTCTCCATGTCACCTGCTGTAATTATCGAAGATATTTCCTTGCCAAAAGTGATTGTGGTTTCCTTTATTGGATTATTGACTTGCTTAGGCTGCTGTTGCTTCTTCCCTCTCCACTAATGTGTTGGTTTTGAGTGCTTTAACTGTGACTGAGATTTTCCTTGATATGCTGTTTCCTTATTTGTTTTCCCAGAATTTGAATTTTGCATTATTTCCTTCCCCTTAATTTGCTCTACACTTGCCTCTATAGAATTCTTTCCATTGCTCTTGTCCTTAGTTTCCTTTTCTCCTTCTACTAATTCTATGACTGGATTCTTTCCTTCTGAGACCATCAATTGCTCCATTGGTTTCTTCCTCCTGCATTCAAGTTCCTCATGGCCTGTAATTTTTACAGAATTTCTTGTTCCTTTTATATACTATCCGCTGCCATCTTGCATCCTCAACTCTCATATCAATCAAATTCTATTTGGATTATTTGCAAGTAGACTAACCTTCACACATACCCTAGCTATCCCCAGCCCGGACAACGAGAGTGTCGCTTATCATATGCCAAAACTTTGCCTATGAGTTTTACCAGCAAATCCAAAAACGGGTTTCATGAATATAAAGAATTGAATTCATGAATTGAGGGCGACATTTTCATTCAGTCTTTCATCAAAAATATATATATATATATAGTGACATTGTTTGACCTGCTTTAGTTCGGTGGGACCCAATCTGGCATGACACAACAAATCTCAAATTCCGGAAAGAACCCAAGATTTAATCTTGGAAAAATGCTATGTAGATAACCAGTTTCTTCTTTGAATGGTGGTATTAGAGAACCATGTTCTGCCTCGTGTAAGTTGCTTAAGTGATTTGATATCCTTCCACTAGGTACACCCACACTGTATTTTCATGGAGAGAGAGAGAGAGAGAGAATGCTTTGAAACATTCCATGCAATCATAAACCAACAACCCATTACAATATATATTTCCCTACTTTTTTTCGAAGCCAATCTGATATTGCAGATCATTGCATTTGTAACCATGTGATCGTATCATCAAACTATATTTTACCTGTTCCATTCAGAAACTCAAATTCAATTGACAGCTTGTTCTTGCAAATGTATGCGACACATGTTGCCATGCCCTTTCTTTTCTTTTTTCTTTTTATTTTTTTGTCTTTTTATTTTTTTAGCATTTTCTATGTCTAAGGAGTTTCGTTAAAAATAACTCCAAAGACTGTCTACATCAGAATTTCCAGGGGAGTCGTCCGATGGCGGTGACTCAATTCTCGGTGGGCTAACCAACAATCCCTCCGCCATGCCCACCAGCAAATTTGGCATATCAAACAGCTCATCTTCGTCGATGAACTCATGTCCCGGCATTGCCATACATTCACCACCCGTGTCATCACTTCCCGGTAGTCCCACAACCGTGCTCCGCCCACCGCCACTCCTTTCCTCCTTAATAAACGCCGCTGCACCAGCTGCAGCACTACGTATATCCGCCGGGGACGGTGACGCCGGTATGGGATACGAATGAACGTGATTTGGGAAATTCAGTACAGCGTCGCTGCCTTTGAGTGCCAAGGCCGCCACGTCGTAGGCGGCCGCCGCCATCTCAGCCGTTTGGTAGGTGCCGAGCCATATACGTGTAGTCTTACGTGGCTCCCGAATCTCCGACACCCACTTGCCGCTTCGACTACGTATCCCACGATAACTATGGTGTTTTCCGGTACCTGGCCGAGGTGAGCCACCGGAGGAGGTGGAGCTCATGGCGGTCTTTGATGGTGATTTGATCTTTGCAGAAGATATACTCTCACTTGCAGACGCAGTCGCAGTGATAGGTATATTCACTGTAGTATGTACTGATTGGTCCCCCTGGCCCTGGTGCACATTAGGAGGAAGAGAGTCAATGGGCGGTGAGGTAGGGGTTGGAGGTTGGTCTATTAGGCGCACGTTAGTAGAATTTAGAGGGTCAGCCTCAGCCATATATCTATATGTGTGTGTGTGTGTGTGTGTATAAGTAGGTAAAGGTAAAGTGGTGATGGGTGAAGAATTAGGAGAGATATTGAGAGGTTATGTTTGGTATATATATAAGGGGAAGATAGTGTCAAAAAAGTGAAACCGTGGGGAATTCGTGGACACCAAATTGTGAGTTGCAGCTAGGGTTTTAGAATGTGTTTCAGTGTGTGGGAGAGAGGTATGATAAAGAAAGCACACGGATCAAGGGCCAGAAATTAGCTGTAATCTAATATGTTTATGCACAGCCATCGACTTGTCACACATCTATTTTTGGGGCAACTTGGGGTTGTGATGCATTCAATAAATAGAAATATAGTGGTCATGCAACTGGAAAACAACTTAGTGCTAACCAAGTCCCATTTGTACACAAAAGGGTGTGAGATTGCTAGTCTAGGTTAAGAGAAAAAAATAATAACTTTAATTGGAAACTTAAGAAAGTTTTTTACCTAGTCTATTGCATCACAAGAATATCATTTTTAGACTAAATAGCATGTTTTTACAAGTATCTCTTTCGTGGGTATATCTTGAGAACTCGTCGAATATGCCTTTGAATTATATTGACTATCCAAATCTCGATCAAAAATAATTTTTTACGAATAAAAAAATGTAATATACTTGTAGAATCAGAATGAAAAACTTGAAAGCATAAAAAAGGGTGATATGAGGATACTACTTGCAAAATTTCATCCACAATCCGAAAGTTGGTGATCAGTTCAACAAAAGCTTTTTCTTTTTCTTTTTTTTATTTGAGAAAATTCTCAATTAAAAAACAAAATACAGAAAAATTGGAAAATATAGCCAAAAAATAGTGCCTATAGAAGTGTTATTACAAGATTATGTATGAAATTGGTTTGTAACATATGTGATCAGGAAATTTAGCATTAAACATGGCAAGACTTCTTCAGAATTGGTGAAGAAAAAAGCAAAACAGTTTTGTAGGTTTTAGTGAATTCAGCTGTTTTGAATGGCACCAAAAGTCGAATTTGACGTACGTGCAACCTTCCAAATGCCTCCTGTTAATCAAATCATCCAGTGCACCTTCTTGTTGTCTATAATTTTCCCTGATTATCTACGTAATAAGATAATTACTATTTTGAATTTTATTTTTATCACAAGTTAAATAATTTAATTTTTAATTATATTGTTGCTCAATATAATATTTATTTTAGATATTATTCATATAAATATATTAATATTTTTTAAGATCATGTATTTTAAAAAAATCATCATTTTTTAAAATAATAAATAAAAATTAATTTTAAATTATATAATTAAAAAAAAAAAAAATTAATATTTAATATGATATAATCAAATTTTTGAACACTCAAATTTTACTGAAAAAAAATACTGAATTTACTATAAAATAGGGGCTAGTTTGTAATAAAATGAGGTAGTTTGAAATTAATACTAATATTCTATTTTCGACCTCACCTTTTTTTTTGTTTTTTGATCATAACTTGACTCTATTTAGTATTTGGTTTTAACGTCATATAAAAGAACTTCTGGTTAACCCTAATAAGGAAAAACTCAAGTGTTAATAAAAATTAGTTATAAACTTAGATATTTTAAGTTCGAATCTTAATAATCTCTTATGAATATTTTAGTTTCGACGTTAATGACTTACCTTTGGTTGGACGAGAGAGAGAATAAGTTGATGTAAGTATAAATTAGTTCGAACATCTCTAACCATTGAATCAACCAAAAATAAAAATAAACTTTTGATTTGACCCAAAAAAATTATAATATTGAATACAGGACCCATCTTCGATACCATAGTCTACCATGTCAAGGATGAAATTTAAAAAAACAAAAAGTCTAAACCTCGTTTTAGTAGGGGCCCCCGTTATAGTTAGCCATGGAGATTTCCTTCTTCCACGAATGGCTAGAAGTCTCTTCCACACAACTTGTGGATGTCACACAATTTTGGTACTGTTCATGAGTCATTTCATATGGCCAAATCCTTTACCGAATTGTTGCTTAACCTTTTTGGGTATGATTGCTTTACGTCGTCCGGACAATGAAAGAGCTTGATTCCATTTATACTGACTTCTTGTTTTTGTGAATTTTCGAATCTATCTATAAATTTTCTGGATCTGCATGCACAACCATACGAAAGAAAGAGAAGTTTGTTTAGGAAAACATGTTAGGTTTTTTTGATTCCGAAACAGAAAGTACAAATAGAGAACACCATACAAACAGGAAGGAGATAAATGGGGTGTTGTGTTTTGCTTTTGTACGAAGGTGACATATGAGGGTGTCAATTTTACTATTAATATGAATTTGATGTGACATAAAATTTGAAAAAGACACGATTAATTGATAAAAATAATAAATAAATTAAATTAAAATTAAACATGAATAACACGATTAACAAATATTATAAATAGAAAATAAGTATTTAACAAACAATATAAATAGAAAATAAATATTTTATAATTTTTAAAACAAAATTATTTGAAATCGTATAAATTAAAATAATTTTTTATTAAAAAAAATATTAACACGAACCCGACATATATTAAAACTGATATGATATAAAAATGACATGATAGGATATAATTGACACTCTTAGGGACATCTGAATGACGACTTCTTGAAACGACGCCAGCCAGGGGAGGAGATTTCATGGTTGTGAACAGCCTGAGGTACCAATTGATCTAATAATACATTTAAAGTTTGGTGAATGTGTGTATTGTACACAGCATCTTTTGTTTGATTGGACACCCCCAATGTACCAAACATCGAAAGTAATATTAGGTAAAATAAAAATAAAAATTCACACCAACACATTGATGATGACCCAATTTATAATATAAAATATAATAAATTTTAATAAATTTATTTGATTGTCTTAAATAGACTCATTTAACAACCACAAACATTCCTCTTAAAATTATTCGTATTGTATCGTACCTTCATGTACAAATTATCCATAATATTTTAACAATTTTAGATTAGGCTAGTCGACTAAAGATACTCCAACAGTTAATTTAATTGATATAAATCAAGAACAATATATAGCAAAAATTTTGGGTTTCGCTTGTACTTGCAGAGAATATATCTTCTAGCAAATGAGAAGTTGCATTAGACATTTCATTTGTCAAACATCTCTATATGTATTAGGAAAATCCCATTAACCGTTGTGGGTGGATTATTATAAGAGCATTATCATATTTATTAAATTATTAGTTATTGTCCCTTCCAAAGGGATAAAAACAATAATCAATAATAAATATATTTATATTTACACTCAAAATCAAATTACAAACGTAAAAGAGAGATAAATGAATTTAAGCACTAATTGTAGTAGGGTAACAGATAGTCATTGTTATAGTGGGCAGAGATGACCATGGTGATGACAACAGTCGTGGTAGGCAACGAAGATAGTGGTGGTGAATTTTTAGTGACGATGGTGATAGTGGCAGTCATGGGTGACGACGACAGTGGTAATAGACGACGGTGATGATTGTTGGCAGTGGCGGCGATGGGGCAACGATGGTGGTGATGGGAGACAACGGATACTTCTAGGCGACAGTGTGATAGGTGATGACGAATGACAGTGATGATAGGGGTGGGTGATAGTGGGTGGTGGTAGTAGTGGGCAATGATGGGTAGTTGTAGGTTTGGTGGGGGTGGGTGACAGTGATGGTGGACTACGACAAGTGCTGGTGGATTTTGGTAATAGGTGGCATGATGGTGGGGGTGAGTGACAAAGGTTGGTGGCGATGGTGGGCGACGACAAGTGGTGGTGAGTTGTGATAGTTGGTAATAGTGTGGTGGGGGTGGGTGACAATGGTTGGTGGCGATGGTGGGCGACGACAAGTGGTGGTGATGGGTTGTGGTAATGGGCAACAATGGTAGTGATGGATGTTGACCTGCTGTAGTGATAATAAATATAAGAATAAGATGACAATTATAGTGTGTGGTGATAGTCGTAGGGGTGGAGGTGGGACGATCGGAATGGTGGTAGGGGTGATGGTGAGACAGTGGTGGTAGTTGTAGGGTGACAGCAGCGGTGGTGATGGTGGTGGTTGGGCGGGGGGGAAAGGGTGGTGATGACGATGATGATGGGGGTAGGGTGATAAGGGTGATGACAATTGTTGTGGTAAAAGTGGTGGTGGGGTGGCGACAATGATGGTAGTGGCAGTCGTGGGGGTAATGGTGGTAAGGTGCGACAGCGGTGGTGGTTGCGGCAATGACAACGACAGTGGTGGTGGTGTGGTGACAATGGTGATGGTTGTTGTGATGGTGGTGGGGTGGGGATGGGTCGGTTTCAAACATTTTTTTTTAAAGTACTTATGAGAAGTTATAAATTTTAGAAATACTTTTAAAAAGTCACCCCATATATACCGTTAGTGGTCTATTTTCACTATAAGTTTGGAGGGTTAATATTAGCCGTCAGATTAATTTTAAAATAAAATTTAAAAGGATCTCAGCCACAAAAAATAAAAGTCATTATATTTATCTTTTGATATTTGAATTGTATTATATTTTATTATGTAGATAAGTTATTACCGTGTTTGAAGACATACAGTAATAAAAAAAATGGTCAATAATAACTATATTTATATTCACTCCCAAAATCAAATCACAAACATAAAAAAAAGAAAAATAAATTTAAACACTGATTGTAACAAGAGGGAGTAGTAGTAGTGATGGTGGGTGACGACGACCGTGGTGGTGGTGACAGCTATGGGTGGCAATGGTGATAGGGGTGATGGGTTTTTGGTGACGATGGTGGTAGTGGAGCCATGGGTGACGGTGGTGGTTGTGACACCCCAAAATTCGGGTGGCTGTAATTATCCGATAGATCATCCATCGACCCACGGAATACTTGTGGATACCGTGTAATTCGATACCACACCGTTATGCCCCATTTATTTGGATCCATAACTTAACAAAATTTGGGCAGATTCTCCTTTGTACGAGGAGCTCTACTCAAAACGCAACCTGTACAATATTGACCACACCAGGTCTATCCATCCATTCAGAATTGTATATTATCGAATACTACCATAATCATCTTCAGTACATACATTTATTCGTAAAAGAATAAATGTCCCAAAAGAATCCCATATACATGCCTTTGTAAATATAAACAAGTTCTTGTTACAAAAGTTATACAAGACCAAAAGTAAATATAAACAAGGGACTACATTGTCAAAATAAGAGTCACAGACCGGCTCTGTCGTCAAAGCGGGCCTATGACCTCGCCTTTAGTGGACGCCTGTGCGATATCTGAAAAATATTCCCATAAAGGGTGAGCCAACGCTCAATAGGGTAACTCCTATAGAGAATACTTCTCAACCTAAATGCATATGGAATGTCAGATGCAACAATCATTTGATGCATTCATTCAAATATGTCTATTATGATCGAATATCATAAATTATGTCATGTTATGAGATGAGACTCACGCAAGTAATACAAATCCCGAGCCCTATCCTGAGCTCCCATAACACATACAATGTCATGTGTATGTATCCGGGTATTTCAAGCCCCCATCATTGGTGTTATGTACACTCAATGACTAATTAATTCATTTTCTTGTGTCTTTGTGGGAAGGTGATTTATGGTATGACACCAATGGGACACCAACCATCAACGGATCTTCAAGACATCCCACCTGCGGCTCAGTTTCTGCTGTTACACTTTTTTGAAATTTCACCGCCGAAAAGTGTATAAACCAAGTAAGCGGGTCTTGCACCTGAGGGAGAATCTAGCCCTTCTTGCTGTCCCCAACACATTTATCCATTTAATTTCCCGTGCGACTCAACCGAACCTTGGTGTTACTTTTTCGAGCCCACAATCAACCACCTATGTGGTGATTAATTTCATACATACATACATTCCCACCCATGTCAATGCCCATGAATGTAGTGCAACCCATGCATAATGCAATACAATATTTATTACATAATGAATACAATATAATGACATTTTAACAAGATCTCAAACATGTTATGTAAAATAATCAATTCAACTAACATACTTGTATTCACCTAGTTATTTAATCAAACACTTAAAGAGCACATCAATTTACACAACTAGCATGCTATGACTTTTAACATGACAACATGTTTATTAATTATATAAACATAAGCACAAGTCCACCAAAATAATCATATGTTAAATAATCTTTTAACATATATATTATTTCATAATCACATAACAAACTAATAATTTTATTAAACTTGATATGCCATTAAAATATAAAATAATGTTAATAGACAATTAACATGCTTTAAACCACTAACATTAACTTACACCAAGTTAATCGTAATAGAATTTTATTAATCACAAGGTTAATTATAAATCTTATATTTGACCCACTAGTTACACTACTCAAGACCTAACATGTGATATATACACATAGCCTACCCATTTTATATGCGATATTTTAAGTTGAAATTAAATCTAAATAGGAAAAACCCTACCTCTCGTAGCGTGAGCCCACGTTTAAGAACTCCGAGGAAGCCCAAATTTAGCTTCCCAAGCCTTAGGTCTAGATTATCGTCTTTGAGATTCTTTAAGAGAAAAATACGATATTTGGTGTGATTGCGTAGCTCTCGCTGAGTAGAGCAACTTTAATTCTTGGCCTTAATGATTAAACGGTTAAATTTTCGTAGATCTAAGAAGGAAGAAAAAAAACAAAATAGAAAAAAAACTCAATTTTCTCTCACTCTCTCTGTCTCGCCGGCTGGAGAAGAAAGTGAAAGACTTTTTAAAGTTTTTCACTTATATATATCTATAGAATAAATTTTTTTTTGAATTTTACGTTTTTGACCCGTAATTTAATAATTAATTATTATTTTACCCCTTAAATTAGGATTTTTAATAATAATAATACTAAATATTTTTTTTTGGGTTTTTACATTCACCCTCCTTAAGGGAAAAATACGATATTTAGTGTGGTTGCGTAGCTCTCGCTGAGTAGACCAACTTTAATTCTTGGCCTCAAACGATTAAACGGTTAAATTTTCGTAGATCTGAGAAGGAAGAAAAGAAAAAAAACCAAAAAAAAACTCACTTTTCTCTCATTCTCGCCGGCTGGAGAAGTAAGTGAAAGACTTTTTAAAGTCTTTCACTTATATATATCTATAGAATAAATTCATTTTTTTTTGAATTTTTCGTTTTTGACCCGTAATTTAACAATTAATTATTATTTTACCCCTTCAATTAGGATTTTTAATAATAATAATAATATAATTTTTTTTTCAGGTTTTTACAGTGGTGGTGGTGGTGGATGACGGTGATGCTGGTTGAAAGTGGTGGTTGTGGGGCAACGATGGTGGTAGTGATGGTGCTGGGTAGTGACAAAGTGGTGGTGTGCGACGACGGATATTTCTGGGTGACAATGTGATGGGTGGTGGTTGGTGGGGTGTGGTGGGTGATAGTGGGTGGAGGCAGTGATGGGTGATTATGGGTGGTGGTGGTAGGTGTAGTAGGGATGAATGATAGTGGTTGACGACAATAGTGGGTAGCGACAGGTGGTGATGGGTTGTGGCAGTGGGTGGCAGTAGGCAATAATGGTGATAGTTGGTGCTAACAGTGGTAGTGGTAATAAATATAAAAATGAGATGACGATGGTGATAGGTGGTGGTGGTGGGGCACTGGGGGTGGGGTAGGGGTGGAGCAGTGGTGATGATGGAGGTGCTTGTGAAGGTGGTGATGGTGGTAGTGGTGGTGGTGGTGGGACGGTGATGGTGGTGGTGGGGTAACGGCGACGACTATAATGGTGAGATGGTGATGGTGATGATGGTGGTAATGGGCCAATGGGTGTAGTGGTGGTGGTGAGGTAGCGACAATGGTGGGGATGATGGTTATGGTGGTGGAGTGGCGGTGGTGGTGAGATGGTTTCAAACAATATTTTTTTAAAGAATTTATGAGAAGTTATAAGTGTTAGGAGTACTTTTAAAAGTTTACCTCAAACACACCCTTAGAGACCTATTTTCTCCATTAAATTTGAGGTGTGAAAATTAGCCGTGCAAATTAAATTTAAAATAAAATTTAAAGAGATTTTATTTATTTTTTTAGATTTAAATTGTATTATACTTTATTATTTAAATTTATCAAAATTTGTATGTCATATAAGTGTAGGTGGTTGGGTTAATGGAATTCACTCACTCCCATTAGACTTTCAATGCAGATTTTATATTTTGTTAAGTCAATGCAAATAAAGAAGCTCAAGTCAGCTGTCATGTCATTTATATTCTATATTTGGTCTCAAATTTTGGTCACTACAACATTATTCTTTTGTCAAACTTGATTTTCCTTATCTGACAAATACAGCTGTCGGGTGTTGCACTCTCATTTGAGGACATTGTCATCCTCCATCAGGCATATTACCAGGACTGCCAACGGCTGAGGTCCATGCACAGGAGCCACAACTAAACAAGAGTTATAAAATCTAAGGCGCGATGTTTATGATTTTAGTCATTTCGGTTGCTGATTTCAGGGCTGCTTTTGCTGTTGGAGTGGGTGGAGAATCACACTGTGAATGGGAGGAGAATGTTGATGAAGCCACATTTCGAACACAAGTGGTGCATGGTTGTTGTCAATTTATACTATAACGTATTGGGTTAAATCCTGCAATAAGTACAAGTCTCGTGTTGAGTTGTTATCGTTGATTTTGGATCCCCAAAGAGACTTGAGTAAAGACATTTTGCTGTTGACATGAAATGAATGGTGGGAGTAGATTGTATGACCGAACATACAATTCATCTCTTTTGTAAGGTTGGTAAAATTGAAGAAGTAACCACTAGAGACGGTCATTTTACGTTTTGGTCATTGAAAGCAAATTTTGATTGGATTGAGATTGTTGAAAATAATGCAAATTCTAGTAGGAGTTGTACGAATGTTTTAGAAGAATTAGGGTTAGGTGTATGAATCATTTATATTTTATATTTTATTTTTAGTTTTAACTATGCGTAGTTAATTGACCCAAATCTTTAAGGGTGGTTCAATAGTTGAGCCTAACATTTGATAACTCAAATAGCCTAAATTTCAATCCCTTCTCACACCCCCTAAGAGCCGGTTACTCTTGTTCCTAAGAGACATACTCTAATCCAATTCAAGCTACAATCACAGTCGCTGAATTCGAAAGAGTAGTCAGTATAAGATTGAACATCCTGTAATTAAAAAAATATAATTAATTAGGGTAAGATCTCTCGTTTGATTTGTAAACTAATTTAGTCCAACCATATTGGATTAGGTCCTAATCCAAAACTAAATTGACCATGGGGTCTAGATACCGACCTCGAAAAAACTCCAAAAAACAAGCTAAATGGCCCATGGCCGGACTTGGTATTGTTATGACCCAGTGGGCTATGAGTTGACCCAGTTTGTCAGGTGGGCCAAAGGATGGAAAGCTTGCCCCAACCTAGGAAGTTGGGTGATTGATTTAGCCCACAGCCCCTGGCCGAATGGACCAGGAGAGTTTAAAAATGTTGAATCTACACTTTTGAGTTGTTACGAAAATACCATTTAGAAAATCAATTAATAAGATCTAAATATTTAATTTCCCTCTTAATAACATGATTTTTCCCTCCCAATTTTAAATTCATTACTCCAAATTATTATTTTTATATAATTTAAAAAATTAAAATTTAATTCTAAAATAAGACAGTTGAATTATTGACTGCTTAAGATCCATTAAGATTGGTCTGAATAAAAAGATCGTTGAATGCCTTTGGATCTGGCGACTGGCCTATCTAAATCCATAGAAAGAGACGACGCATTGACTGGTGGGTTGGGTCAACTTGACTCAATCCAATGCTGACCCATGGTCTCAACTAGGCTTTTAATGAATCGGATCTTGATCTGTCCAAATCCGGATTTCGAATTCGATTTGTTTACCCGATAATTTTAAAATTTTTATTTATATCTGTATTTGTTACTAATCAAATACTTGATCCGACTACCTGATTCGACATAAAATTTTGAATCTCACCAAAATTTTATAAAAAAATAATAACTTTATCAAAGTTAAGTTAACTTTCACTATAATTTAATCAACCAATCATTTTATTCAATAATTTTTGTTTAATTTCATGTGAATCTCATTAATAATCTAATTAGGTATATATAATAATTTCTTACAATTAAATATATATATTGTATCAAATTTTTATCAGATCGATTTTCAATATATCCAAATTTAAATCCATTTAAAAAAACATAATCGAATTCAGGTAAATAAATGAAAATATTAATACATATTCAATTAAATGGACTTGAGTGCGGATCGAATTTCGATTAAAGTCCGCTCCGTCGACAAAACCATCCCAAATTAGAATGACACGGTGGTTGTACTTATCTTAAACATGGATAGTTATGGTTGAGAATTTTCTCTACGCGTTTGTATGACCATGCAAGTGCCTTCATTTCACATTGGGAGTTCAACAAAGGGGTCCCTCTGGGCAGCTCAAGGCTCAATCAAGAAGGTTTCAACACTATTGACATGAGGACCAGGGCACTAGCCACATTACCATCAATGACCGTAATGGGCTAGAACCACTAGCATGATGGCTCGAGTGTCAAATTTCTAGCTTTACGAGTCAAAGATGGTTGACAGGTGTGCACCACGTCGTATTCACGAAAATGATTTCTATTTTTAAGGGTGATAGAAAATTTATCGTTGCACCTCCATAGTCGGCAACGAGTCTTTGATTGGTCAATGGGCCGGGTTTTTTTGTGGGTAGGGTAAAAGACGGATTGTTGGTGATTTACCCATGAGGCCAATTTTTATGGGCAATCTTATCAAATTTTTTTTTTTGTGTGAATGGTTGAAAATTATAAATTTTGCACTTAATTTATAAATAAGTCCAGGCACGGTACTTTTTAAGGTATGAGTTTCACCTCAGTTGAATTTTTTTGTCATGTAATTAAAACTATTTTTTTTAAAAAAATGACAATATTATTCATTGTGCAATGTACTTTGTCAAACTGAAGTCGAACCAAAGCCATTGTTTTTCTCATAGGTAAATCCAACTACTATTCCATAGAAATTCACCTCCCACCACCGAGAGACTGAGGCAGGATTTCCTCCGGAGGGGGGGGGGGCGGGGCTAAATAGTGGCATAGCATGATATTTTTATTTAATGTGGGTCATTCAATAGTATTGTTAATGCCAATTTTTCACATGTATATGATATATCAGAATTTACCTCACATGATACATTATAATCATTATTTTTAATAAAATAAATAAAATTAATTTAAACTAAGTCAAATAAATAGACTTAAAAATAAATCAATTCTCGCCTTAAAAGTGCACACACCTCTAGCCAAATCTCCCTATTTTTTTAATATTTTTTTTTACAGATCCATGAAAAAAACAGACCTAGTCATTGTAATTAAAGTCGTCGGCTGTCATAATAATATATTCTAAGACTATAGTTGCGGTATAAATCTCAAATTCATATAATTATTTATAAATTATATATATATTAACAAAATTAAAATTTAATATTATTATAATTACTCAAACTTAAGACTTACAAATCAGCGTCTTGTCTTTCATTAGATTATTAATATTCGCAGCACATAGAAAGAACAAGGTACACGTGTGAGATCAGATAAAGCATATACATTCCCTTCTTCATATAGAACAACCCACCACTCTATCGAGTGTTTAATGGCAGTTAGCTACCTGTAATTCTATGCTTCCCCCACTGACTTGTTGAATTTCAGCTTCACGTTTTTTTACTATTTCATTCAAACCCATTGGGGTCCATAAAGTAGCCGTGACCATAAAAAATTGTACAAGGCCGACTGGAAAAGACAAACTCTAGCAGATCTTGTATATTTCGCTATTCTCGTGTTGCACCGAGTTTCAAACAACGGGGAATGAAATTTATATTTAAGGACAATGATTAAGGACAATGATTACTCAAGATTCGATCGATGAATTTTTCTTGATCTCCTTTTATTATTGGCTTTACATCTACATCCATATAATATTTACGATTGATCTAACCTAGCCAAAATTTATTGATAATTACTAATACACTGATGATCATTATATATTTATAAACATATTTTTCTATACTGCATTTATGTGTATGAGTTTCACTTGGGTACCAAATGAGGTATAACGCCAAAATTTATCACTTTTTTTTTTGGGTTCAAAACAAATTGTTTTGGAGTCAAATAACAGCCAAAAAAAAAAAGTAGTTGTTGAGATAAATTCAAAAAAATAATTCTTTTGGAGTCAAATTACATTATTTTTGGGTGATAATACAGCGTTTTGAGGTGTTATTGATGATACATATCCATAATCTCAAAGGATAAATCAAGTGATGATAGCAGACACGAACTGTAAACTCAAACATCTTGAGTTCGAATTTTGATAACTTCTTAGAGCTCGGCCATAAGGTTTCTTATGGATACTCTAGTTTCAGCATAGATAACCTATTTTTGACCGGATCAAGAAGGGGATTAATTGAGGTGCGGTTCAAACATCCTGAAAAAAAAAAAATGATGCATGCCCACTTACAAGGACATGCATGACAATTGGCACTTTTACGAGGATACAATAGACTGTTGAGAATTTTTTTTTTTTTAAGTAATCTCAGGACAGGACTGTTGTTGAGGTTGAAATGCTTGAAAAGTCAAGCAGTAGCAGAAGTGGGATCGCCCTAAAACCGCCCAAAAGCCTTTTTACTCAGTTCGATGACAAGCATGAAACACCAATCTTCAACCCCAATTACGTTCATCACGCCTTACAATAAGATAAAATAAGAAATCTAAATAAGGTTAACATAATCCTATTGGTTAGAGTAGCACTCTCTCTCTCTCTCTCACACACACACACACTCACACTTCATGTCGGTGTGGGATTTCATGCAGGCCCAATAGTGACTTGTGGGCGGCCGTAAAAGAAAAAAAATTAGTATTTTAACATTTCCACTTAAAAGTATCAAGTGATGTTCACACCAATGAAGAATAGTGATGTTGCCTCAGGAAAGAACTTAGAACTGGGAAGCCCAATACCATTCAAAGTGTGGTTCATAAACTCATTTTTTTCCCCTTTGACCAAAGGCATGATTTAAATAATTCCACACAAAATCCCATCAACTCACGTCACCTTAAACCCCAAATCCTCACCCTTATAAGTCTTCTAACAACCTTCTGATTTCCTAAAACCCTCTCTCTGTCTCTCTCTCTCTCTCACACACATACACACAAAAGTGGGCTCAACTATGTGTAGGTTATCTTCTCCTACATCCTGTAAATGCAATTCAGGCCAACCAAAACTTCCCTCAATGGGACTACAAGAACCCAACTTGTTGACTCGTTTGGTTTCCCAAAATCCAACATTTAAACAAGGTGAGGACCATAACACAAACAAAAAAACTCATCTCTCTCTTGCAATTACAGAAGCCAAATGCATGGCCAACATAGCTCTTCCCATGATATTAACAGGCCTTTTACTCTACTCCCGCTCTATGATCTCCATGCTCTTCCTCGGTCGCCTCGGCGAGCTCTCTTTAGCTGGCGGTGCACTCGCTCTCGGATTCGCCAACATCACCGGTTACTCAATCTTATCAGGGCTTTCCATGGGAATGGAACCCATTTGTGGCCAAGCTTTTGGAGCCCAAAGATTCAAGCTTCTTGGCCTCGCCTTGCAAAGAACAGTAATTTTGCTTCTTCTCGCCTCAATCCCCATAGCTTTTCTTTGGTGTAACATGAAGAAAATTTTACTGTTTTGCGGTCAAGAAGCTGACATAGCCACTGAAGCTCAATCCTACATTATGTATTGTCTTCCAGACTTGTTGTCTCAGTCATTTCTCCACCCTCTACGTATATATCTTCGATCACAATCCATAACACTGCCTCTAACTTATTGTGCAACACTTTCAATTCTTCTCCATATCCCCATCAATTACTTCGTTGTTTCAGTGCTCAAATTGGGAATCAAAGGCGTCGCAATAAGCGGTGTCTGGACTAATTTGAATCTCGTAGGATCATTGCTTGTATACGTTAAATTGTCCGGGGTGTACAAGAAAACTTGGGGTGGCATTTCCTCAGATTGCTTGAAGGGTTGGAAATCTCTGCTGAATTTAGCTGTTCCAAGCTGCATTTCAGTGTGTTTAGAATGGTGGTGGTACGAAATCATGATTTTACTATGTGGGTTATTGCTAAATCCTCAAGCAACGGTAGCTTCAATGGGAATTCTTATTCAAACCACAGCTTTAATCTATATTTTTCCATCTTCTTTGAGCTTTGGTGTATCAACTAGGGTAGGAAATGAACTGGGTGCTAACCAGCCCGAGAAAGCGAAACTTGCCGCCATTGTTGGCCTCTCTTCAAGCTTTATACTGGGATTTTCAGCATTGTTCTTCGCCATTATGGTGAGAAATAAATGGGCCAAAATGTTCACACAAGATTCGGAAATTATAGCTTTGACATCATTGGTTTTGCCCATAATTGGGCTATGTGAGCTCGGAAACTGCCCACAAACAACAGGCTGTGGTGTTCTAAGAGGAACAGCTCGTCCCAAAATGGGCGCAAACATCAACTTGGGATGCTTTTACCTTGTGGGAATGCCAGTGGCTGTGTGGTTAAGCTTCTACGTTGGTTTCGACTTCAAAGGACTGTGGTTCGGCCTTTTGGCCGCCCAGGGCTCGTGTGTTGTGACCATGTTGTTCGTTTTGGTCCGAACCAATTGGGTGGTTCAAGCCCAGAGAGCCAAAGAGCTGACCGGAACCATCTTTGTCGACGGTGATCACAACAATGAAGATGAAGAAAAGTTTATACATCAAAAAACTAGTGATTCGTTGAGTTCAACAGACAATACAAAGCTTGACCAATCACCTGTTTAATTAACTTACTTGAGATTATAAGGTGTTTTTTTTTGTTAAGTACAGGTGACAAAAAGTGAAAATGTAGGATTAGATTTGCTCCTTACTTTATTCATCACTTCGATCATTCACTTGAAGGTTTCTTCACTGTATATGATTCAAGTTTATTACAAGAGAAATTAAATAACGGACCTTTAAACTACATTCTTCATCTTTCAACTCAACTTTTAGTTGTTTAAATTTAATGTATTCTATTCAATTCGAACAAATGAAAAATCTACTAGACGACGGCAATTAATTACTACAATATAGGTTAATAAGTACTATTAAATTGGTTAATTTTAAAGTTGGTGGGACTTTATAATAAGATGGGAAACATATTAGAAAGCTATGGGCAATGTGGTCGATTAATGCTTTGAGAATATTATCACTCACATGGTACAAAAGAAAACAAAGAAATGTTCCATTTTTGCTCCTTGGTTGGACCAGTCAAGATTTGCAACCGCCGGCTCCGTAACCGAGTAAACGACCCCCTCTCGCTCTCTCTCTATGTGGATGAGTTGGGCATGGGGGGAAGCATATACCTGAATTTGGTATTTAGATAGAAGTGGACCATCACCAAAGAAAAATTGCTGATACCATTGGTCATCACCCCCATGAAGCTTTGAAGCTCAACTTGCAACCCTACCCAATCAACTCTCCACTTGTATCAATTTCTCCTTGTCATCTACAAAAATAAAAATTAAAAAAAGGTTAATAATATTTCGTAATTTAGTCTCTAAAATATTCAATTCGTGTCATTTTGGTCCCTACATAAACTGACCGTTGAGTTTTTGTTAAAATGATCACGTGATGTCGTCTAAAAATGTGACACGTAGTCTTTTTCGTCAAAAAATTTGACGGATTGTTTGATGAAAGACTAAAGTGACACGAATTAAATATTTTTGTAGATAAAATTGATACAATAAGTACTAAACTGATAAAAAAATGCATACTTTAAGGATCAAAAATACTATTAACCCTAAAAAAATAATATTTCTTCACTAAAATTGCCTCTTTGCATAGGACATTTTATAATATAAAACAAGATAGACTTCAATAAACTCATCCAACAGTCTTCAATAGACTCATCCAACGACCACCAATATCTCTTTCAAAATCATTCACCTTGAATTTTACCTTCCTCTCTTTTCACTCTCTCTCTAAAATCTTCACTCATCACTCACCAAATTAAGTTGTTGATTTATGTTGTACCGTGCCTTCAGGTCTCCTAGTATAATTATAAACATTAAATAAAGTGAAGGTTTTCTATTATTTCATACTTTTCATGATTTGAAAATTGAAAGGACCCGAGCATTCCATTCGGATCCAGACTATGGATTGAAACTCCAAGGATGAATTTCCATCCAAAATAGCCTCTCAATTTGAAAAACATCTTCTTGGAAGTTCGCAGACGGAGGACGCGACAGCATCCTAACTACTAAGAAAATATGAAAACTTTTTGTTTTAGTTCATACTTTCGCTTAGTTCGAAAATAAATTAATATGTTGTGAAAATGTTTAGAAAGCAAAATGGAAACACAAAAAAAAAAAAAAAATTTTGTTCCAAAAAAGATTTTGAAACATTAACTTTAACATTCTACAACATCTCGAACAAACCATGTAATATTACCAAACATAGAAATTTTAATATTAAACAAATGATTTGTTTCTTTTTCACCGAAATCGAAATATATTGATTATTCAGATGAAAAGGAAATGAAAACTTTAATTGTGCCCTAAAAGATTCTAATCTTGTTGTGAATTTTGGCATAACATTCTAAGGCGACTAAGGTTGAACATTCTCATTTGGGCAACGGAATAATCAAAATGTTCTTTCGTGAAACCTCATAGATAAACTCTAATTGGCGGTATCGTGTCTCCATTAATCTCAATTATAAACTTTGAAATGAATAATGATAAAATAATAAAATTATACACGTGATATATTTTTATTAGTTAAAGAGTAAAGGGTATCATACGGAATTTTTTTTTTTTTTTTATAATAGACCCAAATAAATGTAATATCACTTTCCTTTTATTTCAAAAAATATCATTGCGTCAATTATTCTAATTCATTTGTGATGGCCTACCTTCGATTACATTCTGTCTCGTAATCAACCACCTGTCCTCTATCCTATTTGAAAAACAAATCTTTTTGTCGCATCATCAACATTGTTTCACAATGTAACAAACTTTTTTTATTTTTTTAATTAGTTGTTATCTGCAATGGTCGGCCTATTGGCCGCCCTTGGTACACCTGATAAAGAAGGTTCCAAAAATAAAAATAAAAAAGGGTTGAAAAAAACATGAGTACTATTAAAAATTAAGGGATAAAAAATGGGTTAATCTCATTTTACACCCTGAAAGATAGTTCAAATCTCAATTTTACATCCTCAAAGATCAAAAATCTCAATTTGCACCATCAAAGATAGAAATTTGTATCAATGTGCACCCCCAAAGATCAAAAATCTCAATTTGCACCCTCAAAGATAGAAATTTATATCAATGTGCACCCCAAAGATAAAAAATCTCAATTTACACTCTCAAATATAGAAATTTGTATCATTATGCACCTAAAACTAAATTGATAAATTATACCTAGATCCTCTCATGTTTGTCACTTAATCATTTGGACCTCTTTACATTTAGAATATTACTCCTACATCTCATGACATTTATGCACGTACAACATGTAACCCATTTTCATTGATATCTGTTAATATAACCGTTAAAAAATATAATTTTATCCTAATAAAAAATTATAATTTCATATTACCCTTATTTTATGGGTCCAATATATTCTAAAGTTCAAAATCAAGCTTACCATTTGAATGTCTAATAAAATGTAGATATTTATATAATGTTTTTCATATTTTCCTTTTTATAAATATCTACATTCTATTAGACATTCAAATGGTAAGCTTTATTTTGAACTTTAGAGTATATCGAATCCACAAAATAAAGGGTAATATGAAATTATAATTTTTTATTAGGATAAAATCATATTTTTTAACAATTATATTAATAGATATCAACGAAAAGTGGTTATGTTTACACATGTACAAACGTCATGAGATGTAGGGGTAATATTCTAAATGTGAAGGGGTTCAAATGATTAAGTGACAAACATGAGGGGATCTAGGTATAATTTATCAATTTAGTTTTAGGTGCACATTAATACAGATTTCTATCTTTGAGGGTGCAAATTAAGATTTTTGATCTTTGGGAGTGTACATTGATACAAATTTCTATCTTTGAGGGTGTAAATTAAAATTTTTAATTTTTGGAGGTGTAAATTAAAATTCGAACGATCTTTCGGGATGCAAAATGAGATTAACCCAAAACAAAACCCAGGTACCGACAATGGCATTGGATATGTGGGTATGTCTGTAGGTATATGTTTGTTTAAAGACGCACAATCTATACTATTAATTAAAGAATAACCGGGATTTTGTGCCTTTATTGTAGAATATCTATGAACTCGCACGCTGCTAGTAAACTTAAAAGAAAGAAGAGTGAAGAAAAGAAAATGCAGGCCGGGGCCATCTACAGAATTAAATAACAAACCTACCACCGCATGGGCGGCCAGTGGTTGGTGTTCCAGCTAGCAAACCACCGTCGTCATGTGGCTGTGCTCCGCCGGCTGACCAACCATTCGTGATGATTTTATAACTACAAATGCTACTTGAAATGAAAATTAAGTTCCACTGGAAAGAAAGGGACGGTTCAGTAAGATTTCGCTGGATGATACAATAACTATAAGTGTCAATTGTATCGGATTAAATTGTTATATGTCAGGTCTAATCAGATTTGTATGTAAAACTAATAAATCTATATACGACTCATTTAAGTAAACGAATGAAAATTTTTAAATCGAACACGATTCGTTTATTAAGCGGGTTAAATGAAATGACAATAAACTTTTTTTTAAAACTAATATAATTAATAACTAAATATATTATTTTAGCTAATTTTTTAATAATTATTCATATTAATTTTATTTAAACAAATAAACGGACTGACATACCTCACCTAAATAAGATCCATTTATTAAACGAGTCTGATGATTTACCATTGAACCCGATAAAACCTCACTCACACACACACAGAGAGACAGCCACCACCACCTATTCAACCCATCGAATCCTTAACTGACTTCCTAACTGTATTTTGACTTTCAATTCTTGGCGCGCATGCATGCTTTCTCAGAAGAGGAAAAATGGATGGTTCATGCACGCTTTCTCGGAAGAGGAAAAATGGATGGTTCATGCATTGCACATTTCTACCAGGACACAGTATGAAAAGCACATTTGGTTGCCTTACGGAAAAAATATTCAATACAACAGAGATACCATGTCGGTACTAATAATGATATAGTATTACCAACTAATAATAAACCTCAAATAAACATAATAAACCCTACTTAAATAGTTATCTACTTATGTGAACAAACAATTATTGGCTCATTTGAAATCCGCTTCCTTATTTATCGATGGTTGCTAATACCACGTATCAATATTGACGCCGTTACAATGAACATCACCCTTTCATTACCCCTCTCTCCTAAATTCAACCCAAAGTTGTATAATAGATCACTCCCCAAAAAAAAAAAAAATCAAATCTAATATGACGGATCATAGCTCTACAGCCGAAGTCTGATTGAAAATCAAATGATGCCAAGTCCCAAGTAATCATTAGGAGACACGTTTATTTCTCTTTCACTATAATAGAAGCAAAAAAATAAGAAAACGAAAACACACAGAGTCACCTTTAATGGTAGTACATAACCAGTACAGACTACATACTTTAAACGAGAATTGAGACATATAAAGTGATTACGGATCTACCCATATTTCTACAAAAACGGCAGTCTAGATATTATCTCTCTTTCATTGATAATTATACCAAGTATATCTAATGAAATATCATTTTAAATTCTTTTCTATATTCACTACTTTTCGTGCCATGATATGCACTTAATATTCTTTTGTTATAAAATATTTTTGTTGTGAT